GATTTTAGGTAGTAGATATATTATGTTGGCTGGAAGGGATTTTAAACCATCAATTTTACATACAGTATATAGTTTATTTCTGTCTGTCTGTTTCCAAATGTGTCTTCCTTTGGTCTACTTTACACGTGATGAATTCTGATGATTTATGAGTTGGTTCTTGGCTGGTTCTACCTTGCTGACTTCTGTTCTTGCTGTTTTCATGGTGACATGGTACTCGCTGATCCGACCAACCTCATTCGCTTCGCTGACTTTACACATAGTAACTTATGCATGAAACTGACTGTCTGTCTCCGTCCATCCTTCTCCCTTTCTGTCAGGTGATGAGGGAGAAGACACTGAAAAAAGCCAGGACTCCTCAGCTAAAGAAAAGGAGACTCAAGCTGAGGGCAGCTAAGCTGACATTTGTGGACCGCTTCTTCTTGTTTACCTGATCCCTGAATGCTAGGCCTCTAACCGGCCAGTTGCATCTATTGACTGTGAACAGACACAGCAAAATCCTCTACTGCCACCATCCCGTCATCAGGAAGTCATCACTATGGCAACCACAGCGCAGTTTCTCTTCTGCACTTGGGGGTGTTCCAGTCTCCTTAAAAACCCTCCTTTCCTTGCTGCCTTTCCTTCCTGACTGCTGATATGAGATTGGACCTGTTACACAGCATGATGTCAGCAACCAAAACCAGCCCCATGGATCTCACTTTTTTCATCTATTGAAGTTTGTGTGAGCTTGGTGGACATTATCTCAAACCCGCATACTGTTTTCAAAGTTCAACTGAACATCACAATGTATTTTGTGTTTATCCATGTCAGGAGAGATATCTCTACTGATTTGCTAACTGATTACATTGTGACCATTTTGTAACATCAGATGTTGTAAGCCATTAACTTCAAATATTCATTGTGAGACTGGCTTTATTACCCTCACCATACATATTATGTAAAACTAGATCTTGCTTGGTTATTATTAAGTATATTTAATCACATTTAGTCATCCTGCTCTTTGTCTGTGGCTAGTATGTGGGGGAAGTCTTCAGTACAAGAAGTAAAGGTTTCATACAACATACAAAAAGTGTCCATATTTTAATGTCCTGGTTCTCCTAGATCAGTACACTGCCGTTCAGCATATCCAAATGTGTGTCTGTTAGGAAGTGCTTAAAATGTGATTTGGTTTACGGTGGATATTGTGACAAAGAATTAATTTGCTGCTGAAGATTAGATAAGGTACAATACTGATTGCACTCATTTATAATGTATTATATTGCTGTTATTTAGAAGGTTTGTATGTGTGTGTGTTTTTTCTTTGTTATGAGGGGTCTGTTAGAATGATTCTTGTTGTGATTGCACAGACATTGCATTTTCCATTCCTCGCGTCATTTAATCTTTCATTTTGACCTTCAGAACCCTCTCGATACTGTAATGGTAGCTATGATTCACTGCCTTTTTCTGTTGTACCATTCAAATATGTGGATGTGCACTCTGAAACTGTCTATCTGGAATTCATATAACAGTGACATAGTGACTTGTTGATGAATGACTTGTTAAAGGGGTAAGGGGCATTTTTACATTGTATTTATAGATACTTATACATTGAGTCAGGTATAGTGTGATTAAATGACCAGTACTGTTGCACTGTAGGTGACCTAGAGCACCCACGATCATGTTGTATTTTCCATATTGTTATTTTCTGCATCTCATTCATGATTCACTGTATTGTCAACTTTACTGTATAATTCACCCATATTATATTTTGTCAACTTTATTAGTTGTGGTGTATAATTAAACCTCATTGGTGAAAAGTGAAAAGTGAAAAAATAAATAAATAAATCAAGATAAATTCATGCCCGTTGTCCTGTGTACAGACGATAGGGCTGAGTAAACAAGGTCATTGTCTCCCTCTAGTGGTCAACTTTATTATTCAACCACAGAAAAGCTATACCACTGCAATTTTGTTTTGAAACAATATGGATGGTATATACTGTGAGTTTAGGTCTCTATAATGGGAAAGATACTGCGTTTGTTGGTCCATGTCATAGGTTTGGAGCTTTACAATTATAGGCCATTGTAATGGGATAATGATTACGTCTGTGTTGATGATTAGATAGTGATTAGGGCTATGATAAAATACTGTGATTGCATGTGAAGGGGCACCAGTGCACAGAAAGCCCTGATGCATTCATGGTGAAACAGTACCAAACCAAACTGGATACAATTATTATTGTTACATAATGAGACTCAGATTTAAAGTGTAACTTCTACAACCCTGTAATAGAAACACACAGGGAACTATTTAACCATTTGAGCCTCGTAGAGGCTAACACATTTTCTAGCATCTAGAGGAGCCCCAGTGGCACTGCATTACTTTTATTCTTTTAAGGGGAAATTTCCAAATCAGGTTTATTGCCAAGCAGGTTTTCACATACAAGGAATTTACTTTGGTGTTTTTGGTGCATATAAAACTGTGTCACAAACTAGAGGGGAGAAAAATAAGGTGCCAATTAAGTATTTTATCTGAAACAAACAAATTTATAATAACTTTTGACAAACAGCACGGTGTTGGGGATCTATGGGTGAGTGAGGAATGTGTAGGCAGCAAAATGTTTGACAAAACTTGGAGATGTGGATCCTTGGAGACAGAGATAGAAAATGAGATCAGACTTGCATTTATAGCCTTCAGGGAGGACCACACAGGTGTCACCAAATCTAGTACAAAGTCTAGTACAGGCAGACTGAGGAGGGGTCATAAAAATTGTAAGTATAAATATAAAGAAAGATAAAAAGCAAATACTGCAAGCGAAGAAGCATGAATATAAAAATAGAAAATAAACTATTCTAAAAGATATGTATACTTAATGTTTAAATTATTGACTGGGGACTGTGCAAACATTCACAGTGTGAAGTATAAAGAATATTTGCAATGTGGGTCTCAAAAAAGTTTCTGTCTGAGGTTGGTAGGGTTGGGAGGGTCGGCCACGATCCTGCTCGCCTCTGGGTCCAGGAGGTGTACAGGTCCTGGGGGGATGGCAGATTGCTGCCAATCACCTTGTCAGTTGGGCGAATAATAGGCTGCAATCTACCCTTGTCCTTGGCAGTGACAGCAGTGTACTAGGTAGTGATGGAGGAAGTGAGGATGGACTCACTGATGGTGGTGTACATATTCACCCTCATTGGCTCTGACAGGTTAAACTTCAGCTACAGCAGAGAGTACATCCTCTGCTCGGCTTTCTTGGTGAGGGAGCTGAGCTGAGGAAGGTATGGGGGTGGGTGCAGATGGGCTCCTCCTGAAGTCTGCAATCATCGCCACTGTTTTTAGAGCATTGAGCTCCAAGTTGAAGAGCATAGGAGAAAGAACGCAGCCTTGTGGGGATCTGGTGCTGATGGTCTGGGAGTTTCTTTTGATGCTGGAAGGGTTACCAATGTTGGAGGAGTTCAAAAGTTTAGCTACCATGGGTTCCTTTTTTTTGGGACAATCAACATCAACAGTTCTAATCTGAAATTTGTATTGTAATCATTATTTATTATGGTCAACCATTGCTGACATCAGTCCATTCAAGATCATTATTGGTCATCCATTACCTTATCTAATAATAAATTCAAGATAAATACATAATTGCCCTGGCTATCAGCTACACTTCCTGTGATTAAATGTCACGTTTAGTTTATTTTCCCTCTAGCTTCTCCTGATCAAAATAGGTACTGTGGTTATAGGCCTCTGTGATGCAGCTGATATTGTTATTACATGCAATAAATAACACATGCTATACACAGTATATAATGTTTCATCACAAAGCTCAGTGACGTAACAAGGCACTTTTTACAAACTAGTGTAGCTCCAAGTCCCTTAAGCACATATTTTACTTGAAACACAACACCACGCAACTTTCATATCATAAAATAATCAAAATGGACCTGTGAGTTAACTTATCTTAGATTTCTACGTTTAACGATATGAAGATATGTTCTATCTACTACAGTCTACTACAGCAGATAGAACATATTAGGAAAAATAATTAATCCTGTACAAACATCTCATAACAAAGGATTTTTAAAATATTATACTGTATGTGATAACACCTCCAGAGGTGTCATGTTCAGCAATTATTTACACACTTACAATCATAAAATGAACTCACTAATAATAATAATAATAAAACATTTTATATGTTTATGTGCTACAATGAATGGGAAATCACATCATGTAAGCATGCCATTGCTGTTTTGACATATTAAGTTGTTCAGTCTAGTTCATATTTTTTCCCACTGGTCTTAGTCTTTCCCCCAGTTTACATAAACAGCAACTAGCATACACAGCTTATTTTATAAACATTAACTGTCCCTGCAGTACTTTGTCCCAGCTGTAATCCACGTGGAAAAGAGCCATAAAGTTTTTAAATACACATAGTCTTAGTACTGTCAGTAGGCTGTGTACATTCAAGAACCAGGAACCACCAACTGTCCTCCTACTATCAGCTGGGTTGTCAGGTTCACTGATCACTGCCATTTTTCCTGGAGGCACATAGGTGAGATTCCAATGCTTCCATGTCCTACGGAGTAACAAGCTGTTTCATTAATCCATTAGCTACACCCATTTATCCTTTGATGGTTCGAAGCTGACAGTTGGGGTTCACCCAGGACCAGTCAGGAATACGGGGGGAAAATCATTATGTACATTAGCATGTATGAAAGACAATAATCCCAGTCCTTACAGCCAATGTGTTTTGGGCTCAGAGTAAGGCAAAGGGGTCACCTCAAGCGTAATATGCTTTAAACTTTATTAATTTATTGTTGAAGAAAAGGGATTTAAACACGTTCCAGCACGTGTGAAAGATATGACGACCTACTTGCTCAGGTGCTTTGCCAATAGGTGATAAGATGTACTGAAAGACATGGTGTCATACCTTATGTAAAACGACATGATTGTGACCATGATTGCTCACCATGACTCCTCCCAAATGTGGAGTGTTGGATTCATTCTTGTTCTCTTGTCAAACACTGGGAATACAAACTTCACATGTTAGATTTTTTTAATGAAAAGGAGGAGCGCAAGTACAATAACGGTCACAGCAGTACGATAGAATAATGTGGATTGCATAACAAACAGTCATACTATATACAAGATTAAGCAACATTTTGATCTACACAAAATCAATAAATCTGCATGTTTCTTAAACACAGCAAGAAAAATGTGTTTTGATACAGTCACTATTACAGAGATAAGGTAGTACATGAAACGATACACATCCTCACCACACTTTTGTGTCAAACTATTAAAATGTTCAAATAGATACCTACCTGTGCCATTCAGCACAGTTTTCTGGAGGACGTTACATATACACAACTCACTCACTTCCTTGTGGGATAAAAAATCCATGCACATCTTTGTTGAGCTCAGCTTTCACGTATGCTCGGGCTATTTCTTTAAATGTTCTGGCATCAAGAATCAGGATGAAACAAGACTGGCCTGGGTTGGTGTTGATAACTGAGGTTAAGACCACACCTAGAAATGCAAAGGAAGAGGTTAATGTTGTGCAAAGCATGTAAAAAAAATGGAATCACATCAAATGATGGCAGGTTTTTGGATCTACTTTTACTTCAAAATACAGTTAACATACAGTCTCATTGATACAGATGTAATCAGCGAGGGTTCTTAGCTTTTTATCCGGTATTATTGCCTATTTGTACTCTAGCCTATATATATTAGCACAAATACACATGTCATACATTGGGCATGCACACCACACAGTATTCTCACCATCATCCTCTGCCTCTCCATTTGGTCTGGGGATGAACACAGGCTCCGACGGCCAGCAGTTGTCCTCGCTCCAGTAAACCATCTTCTTGGTTTCTGTGTCCAACTTCGCAATCTACAGTAGATGAATATATGAGGGAAATAATTAAGCCTGTACATAACAAACCATTAAAAAAGAGCACTCATACTGTATGTGATAACACCTACAATACGTTACAAACTAATATGAAGGGTAATTTACACCAATAGCAGTTATTAATAAGCATTTTATTAGTTTTAAGTCTGATTCATTTTCCCACTTGTCTTATTCTTTCCCTCAGCTTACATAAACAGCAGCCAGCATTCGCAGCTTATCTTATAGGCATTAACTGTCCCTGCAAAAGGGGTCACCTCAAGCGTAATATGCTTTAATCTTTATTAATTTATTGTTGAAGAAAAGGGATTTAAACACGTTCCAGGCTTGACGCAAATGTTCAAGGCCCCATCTTCCTAAAAGGAAGCACTAGCAATGAATTTCATCAGCATAATGTTTGCCTTTTCCTTTTCCACATCCTGTTTGTTATTCACTTGGGCTTAACGCTGTGTAAAATCCATATCCAAACACCATTAAAATTCAAAGAAAACTCTCTGACTCTCTTTGGTTCTTGGGATTGTGTGTCAAGTGGGAAAAAAACAAAAATATCTAATTGTTTAAACCAAGGTGTTTCCTTTTGTCCCAGGTACTATGGACTGTGATTATGCAGTGAGACACAAGGGAGGCTCTTTTCCACACTATAAGAGTTTTTTTACTTAATACTTTGGATCCTCCCTGACTTTATTGCTTCTTTCTATTGTGTCTGGTATCAACCGGTAATCAACTGATAATTCTCGGTTCTGCCATTTGCTCACTACCTCTGTAAAAACAATGCTACCAGGAACAATCTGTTTCCCAATAGCACAACATTGAAAATGTCTGTTCTTCAAGAGTTTGCACGTTTCAGGTCTCTTTTGGCAAATAACACTTCCCACCAGTTCTGTTTTGCAAAAGCCAAAATAATCAATTGGGAATGTTACCTGTTTTGACAGTGCAGACTCTTCCACACAGTTCCCATAGACAAACTGGTGCCTCTTGCCATTGATGCCATAATTAATTCTGGGTAGTTCAAAACCTGATGGAAAAAAAAAAGTGGTATTTGTATAAACAAATCAATGATTCTTAAAGAGACAATGTAAGAAATTCTACTTGAATAACAGTTACTTGATACATTTATGTGAGTGACATTGGTTTTACCTTCACAGAGCACCTCTGCCTGGCACATTAGTTTGCCTTCTTTCTCCTTCACAGCACTGGCAGTTGTGTATTTGAGTTTCACCAGGTCCTCTCCAACTGCAATGCCCTGCAAAACCCAGTCAAAAAGTAAAAATCAAGCATCAGAGGAACAACATCTCTAAATTTCAGGATGAAATAAATAAAATTTTAAAAAACCTACCGGGTCAGAGTGAATGGGAAGTACAAATCTTCTGTAGTTTGGTTTGGAGTAGGAGTCATCGTGGAAACCGGGGTTTTTCTTCAGCTTGCTCAGGTAAAACATATCATAAAGGCTGCTATTATTGTAGGCGATGACATCGAAGAGCACGTGACCGTCGTCCTCATAAGCGTTCACGTGATGGTAGACGACCATTGCTCCAGTGTAGTATTTCGTCTCAATCTCTTTGCCGGTCTTTCTGTCTATCAGGTGGATCAGAGTCTGTTGAAGAAAAATAAACATTTAGAAAGGCTGCACGCATTTATATAAAAAAACAAAACACAACTCGAGCAACCTTTACTATCAAAAGAGACATTTTTGGTAAGCCTGCAAAGTTGGTGGTAATAGCAAACAAATCTGTACAAAAGTTCTTTACTTTGCTCAGACTTTTGTTTTTGGGGATTTGGAATCACTTACAATAATGATAAATGAAAGTGTTGGAAAAATTAATTTTCCATGTAATTTTTTTTCATGGCACAGGAAGCCACTAGAGAGGGGCTAAAGAGCCACCGCTTGCCTAACCCTGATCTAGGGTCCATAACAGTGGTAGACTTGTGGTAGTTCAGTAGTATGAAGATAAAGAACAACATACATGACAATAATCAAAACAGACAGTAGTGACCGCTTACTTTTTCTTCAGGGCAGAATTTCAGGCAGCTTGCCCAGTTGACCCCCCTCATGTACGCAGTGGCCATCTTGAGGATGTCCAGTTTGAAAGGCTGCTCGATTAAGATGAAGTAGTTCTCCGTCATGCCGAAACTGTGGTAGTAGCTGGGCGTGAGCAGCGAGCGGCAGGGAACTGTGCAGACCACCTCAACATTCTTCAGCGCAGGGACATTCTTGTCTTTGTCTAATGGTTGAAAGTTGAGAGAAAAAGAAAGAAACAAGAAAAGAAAACAAATAAAGAGAGAAGTTAATTAAAAAGAGGCTTAAACGTGTGGCAAAGCATTATATAAATTTGTTGGAATATCAATGATAAATATAACAGTTAAGTTCATTTGTAATAAAGGGCACTTAGGAAGTAGTAGTAATAGTGAGACTGTGATACTTGTGCAACATGTGTGTGTCTAAAAGTGTATTGTTATAAAGATGCATTTAAATAACATGTTGCACTCATTCTATGCTAGAGACGTACTGGTTGGTTTCAAGGTTTAATGTTGCAACCATAATGATGCATATCTGACATATGAATGAATGTGTGATAATCATTAAATGCGCAAACTGGACTTTCAGGCCTACAGTGTATACTACTATTACCTATGCGACTGCGGACGGCACTGGATTCACATTCAAGGAAGGAGCCAATAGCAGCAGGCTAATCTGTTCTGGTTTGCCTATATATTCTAGTCCATCAGATAGGAAGCGAGAGTACTTTGAGGTTAGGACAGAGTAGGGAAGGTCATGAGGTATACATACCTTTCTCCGAAACAGCAGGGACTTTGAACAGCATGTATTTAGTCTTGCCCTTCTCTGCAATTGAAGTTCCGATGTTGTAAGCGTTGCCCTCTTTGTCATAGTGTGGATGGGATGAAGCCATGTTTACCGGCAGGAACTTCATGTAGTCCACCTGCGTGAAACAATTCAGCAACCTATGAGCATCGGAAATGCGTGATATTAGTGATCATTGGTGAGTGATCGCGATCAGCAGATGACATTACCTTGTCCTGAGTTTCCAGGGTCACAGGATCAATCTTGCGGATGTAGTTGGTTTCGGAAGTGGCATAATAGTCATTTCCGTATTTAATGAAATTGCTTGCGCCATTGTCAGTGAAGTCAGGCACTGTGTGATTGAGAAAGGTAATCGCCCTGAGAAGAAAGAAGAAATGTTAATTTATTATATATATATTAGAAAGAGAGGCAGGGGGCCATCCAACACAAAACACCTCTCTCACACTGATTCGTATTCTTATGGACAGGCCCTCAAACGTTCCCTGGAAGGTGTGGGTCATTTGCTAATTCACAACAGGAAGCTAAGGAGGGGGGTGGGGGTTGGGGTTCTCCAACACAAAAGAATGATAATGTTAGTAATAGATCCGTTAGAAAGCTGTTAGTTGCTTGGCTGTCATTTGTGTATTACAGATGTTACAGAAGAATCTTATCAGGTTTTCAAATTAATGTTTGCACCGTTACATAAAAATAATGTCAACTCTAAAGAACTGTGGAAGGAAGGGATGCCAAACAACTATTCCAACTATAAATTTGCTAAGAAATAAAGTAAGGCTATTACATTGATACAATAAAGAGGATAAAATAATAATAAAAAAAAAAGTGAAGAGTATGCTTACTTGACAATGAAGTTCTTGCTGGGGTCTGGGTATGCCATTGTCCCCATTTCAGACACAACTATCCTGTTTGCAGCCATGTTAGCTTTATAGGTGTCACTTCTAAGAAATCTGCTCCTGTGGGTCACTTCACCTATAAGGAAAAAAAAAAGTTTATGCATTTAGTATGGATTCCTAGTTGACACTGTAACAGAGCTAATATCAAAGTCACAGATTAAGTAACTTTAAAGCAAATAAACGTTGTTCTTTCATTATTTAATGAGGTACACCTGAACACCAGAAATACAAGACCAACCGTCTTTAAAGTTGAAGCTGTGCATGAGGGCCATCCCATCGAACCAGTGGTCGTAGCTGGTGTCCCCCACAGTAAATATGCCAGGGCCATTACGCAGCAGTGTGCCCTGCAGCCAGCTGGGAATATTCCCTACAGGAGAAGAAAACGCAGAAAACCATAAAACCGTCAGCAACGAGGATTCAGCCGGTGCTTCTGTTGGTCATTTTAATTGTGTACCAAAAAGAAACTCGACCTACCTTTAACATCCGCCGTACAGGGCTCCGGTCTCTCCTCTGCGTTCTTGGAGAAGTCTGTGGCCATGTTTGCTGTGAGAGTAGTGAAGAACAGGCGGAGGTGTCTGAATAAATACTGCAGCCCAACCCGCTGTAGGGAAGGGAGGGGGTTAACTTATCTTTTGACTGTCCTCTGTGAAGACTTCAGTGAATCCCTCTCATCTCAGTTCAGAGAAAAAGGTTCAACTTTGATACTCACTGATAATTTCTTACCTGTTCCACCTTTTCCACCTAGTTCGATATGAGCCATTTCACAACAAAACAGCATCAGCCTCTTTTGTCCTTACATTGAAAGAAATAGTGTAGCTGAAGTGTTTACCCTTTTATTGCGCCTTTGGCTTGTCTTAATAAATTGCGTAATCTGCAATCCACTTTTATTGGCCATCATGTTAAATCCTTATTTGTTTTGTTGAGTTGAATGCTGCATAGATATTATTTTCTTGATCAGCTCTGTAATTATCATGTAAGAAACATAGTTTTATGACTGAGCTTGTAAAAAAAAAAAATGAATGCAATATTCCTGCAAGCAGTATGATCTTAGATCTTAAGTAAGGTTATTTTATCTGCTTTGGTGATTAAAGGTTGTAATGTTGTTTTATGGTATTACATCACTTGATGGCATGTTGACCTTATTCACCGTGATTTTTAATTGTGAAATAATTTTTCTTGGAAGTACAGGTAGTGATAGTGACTCCTCCACAGGGCAATTAAAAGTGAACTCCAACTAGCAGTGTATCTTCTCCAATCTCTCTTTTGAGGTGGGGTCTGTTTGTTTCCCAGAATAATAAGCATGACCATTAGATAAACCTGTCTGCTCTGACATGACCCAACTATGTTATATGTATTATGTTACTTCTTATCTATAGCCCACTTTTTGCTGAAGGGATGATCCAGTTTTCTCTTCAAGGGCATTCAGGTTCCATCAAATCCACTTCAAACACTGACACTAATAACTGCATTTAGTATAATTAATACCTCCACCCACCAAATTATCAAGACACAGCTTTCCAATAAACATTAAATTCACATTGTTTCACAACAAGAAACAGTCTATCTCAGATTGTTTGAACTAATAGTTATTGTCCAATTGGGGCAATAACAGATGTTCAGTCTTAGGCTTCCATGTCCCTCTTTGGTTTAGTGAAAAATCATTTTGTCCTGTTTCGCTCTACAGTCAATCTTTCAACAAAGTCATGTGCTATGTCAGAGTTGTGTGTCATGTCCACTGACAACTTTACACACAAAAGAGGCTAACAGGCCAGGGGAAAAAATAACCCTGTTGCTAGAAACTATAAATAAAGCTCGGCATCACAAAGTGGGTTAGTGGGAGATAAAAGACACAATTGTACTACTATTTGAATAAAAGGCTTATAAAGCTCGTTAACATTCAAAGAGTAAAGTAATATGTGTCTGTGTGTGTGTTTGTCCACAGGTAGATAAGGGAGACTTGAGAAACCACATCGGCACCTGCTCTGATAATGATTCTGTACTTTGATCACACTGTGGAGCAGGGGCGGAAATACAGTACAGTGCAGGCAGTGCAGTTGCACTGGTGCCCAGGGGGTGGAGGGGCCCACAGAGAGAGCAGGCCCTCCAATGATGTGTTAGATGGAGAAAGGGTCCTTTGCGAGTAATTCAGATTACTACTTACATGATGAAAGAACCCACGTTAAATTTAAAGTAGTTCCATTTGCACTTTTTAAATTTGCAATATATGGATACAGTCTCTCTGGGAGGTCACCCATAGGTTTCTGAAGAGTCAGTGTGAAGCTCCCAACTAATCCAAAAATGAGCAGAGACTTGTAGAGAGGCCAGCCACCAATGACGGCACCCATCTGTCACTCAAAGCGGGCATGCTTTTAATTAGGCTTTAATCGTTACTTTAAGCATTAATATAATTTAAATGGATTTTATAAAATATCACCCCCCAGGCAGTTGTCATGAACGGGGGAAATAATGTCATTGAATAAATAGCCTCTCACTTAAAAGTACCTCAAACTCAGTGCCTTTGTAGCTGAATAGTAGTGCGTGCCGCGTGGTTGCAACTGTCGCTGGTTTGACCCCAACTGGTGACCTTTATTGCATGACATATCCCTCTCTGTACCAATTTCTAGTCCGCCTCTTCAACTGTCACTATCAAAGGAAGGCAAAAATCCAAAACCAAAATCAGTTAAATGAGGCCTGTAGACTTGTTTGTTAAAGGATTTTCACAATTTTTCTCAGTGTTTACTTGTCTCTGTGAAGTCAGACCTCCAGTACAGTGCCTACAGATACTACATCTCAAGTGAAATGCTGTCCTCTAGTGATTCATGGAAGACATGACCTGTTATGGTAGTGAAACATGGGAATTGACATGCAGTTGGTTATAATTGGTTAATTATCACAAAAATAAAATAATTGTTACTCTGGACATTAAGAATTAAGCGCTTTTACTTAACACTAACATATTTGCACCATTACTAACTGAAAGCTGAACCTGTGAACTAAAAATAAAGTAGCAAACTGAGATTATTTGACAAGACAAATTAAAAATATTATATTTACTAATGAATGCAGCATAATTATTTTTCAACTAAAACATTTTTGTGTTCATTTAGTGTAATTTACTTTAATTTGCATTTTGGAAAATGAATAAACTTTGTGAAAACACCCATAAAATTGACAAAGTAAAACTCACTCCTAATATTTGACACTGAAATATATTGCTTTATTATCAATGGAAATTGTGTAATGTGAGCAAGGTCAAGACGAGATTTTCAAACATTGCTGTAATAAACTAATTAGGCTTTTGTTGTAACAGTATTGATCATGTTCTCAGCAGCATAATGGAATCCATATTTAAGACAACACAGAGGCTGATTAAACAAGTGAAACAAGTCAGAACCTGAATGATACACACTTCACTTCATCAGGTAATTTGGTATTTATTGTAAAGAACAAAATGTAAATGACAAATATTTTCTCTTCTCCAATACATTCATAGAATGTCACTAAACACTCCACTTACTCACATCTCCTCCACACAACATTCAGAACAGAAACATCTACACCAGTTTAACTAGCTGACTGCAGCACCGTGTTCTCTCTATTACCATAGCATCTGCTTTGTTTTATGTCTACTTCTCTTGGATTAATAAAATAAAGACAATGGTACGCATATAAAGCAAGATGCTCATTAGATTAATGTTTATTTGCACGGCCCAGATTGTTATAAACTGTGCTGATTAGTATTCAAGTATTCCCTTACTGATTATTTCTGTGCTGGATATTATACTAAATATCTGCTTTATGATGTTCTCACCACATCATATCATCATCGTCATCTGTGGATTACATTATGTGGCACAGTACAAGAATAACGTTTAAATAAACATTATGTACATGTACTAAGAAAAAGAAAACAACAAAATTTGTTTTGAAAATGTATATGCTATTTTGTTTACAGTGCAATCTCCATGCAATACCACATGCAGTTATAGAGGGTGCATGAAGAAGAAGACCATATTGACCATGCATGACCTTGCATACAGAGCCACCGCTGATTCTACCAGATGTGGCCTGCTTTCCTGAAAAAAAACCCTGCATGATTTCCATTTAATTCCAGTGAAATATTAACAAACACCACATCCTGGCTCTTAAGATGTGAGATAGTGATATCCACATGTAATGTAGATGGCATCCACCCATAATCAGTTGTCAAGTCCATCCTGTTCCAAGCACACTGCCCAGTGATTGATGGCGTAACTCAAAGAAGTCTTTTACACTGTTTTACTGTGACAAACTAAACTGAGCCTCAACGTACAGTGACCGGCCACAGCGTGCAGGGATGGTTATGTGTACAGAATCGATCTGAACCATTAAATCATGGTTTCAAGTTGGCACTGTCGTATGCAAATGCTCATGGATTAAAAAAAAAAAAAAAAAAAAAAAAAAACCCAAACATCTTCACCATGAAGTGGCTTAAGCACTGGCACGAATACATAAATCTTTGAAATTTTAAAACCATAACAAAACAAAAAGCACTAACAAAAACCAGCTTTAACAAGCCTCTTGGTTTTACATTTGAAACTGATCTATTACAAAGGCCAAACAATCATGTGAGACAGGCATCAGACAGGCAAAACACACAAGTAAAATCACTGAAAAACGACACATTTTTTTCAGTGCTGTGAGGAGTTGGGTGTAACAAAATATTCACTGTGCAATCATAAGTTGTTTAAAAAAGGCAACAAAATCAAATGCTGAACATAGCAAGGCGTATTTAAAAACTGGCAACCCCCGTTTCTGTTTCACAAAACATCTGACAGAAGCTTTTGATGTACAGCTCAAAAGATACATTTACAATGAAAATTCAAGTACGTGTCTCATAAATCATCCGTGAATTACTTTGTTATCTGAACAAATGATACATTTGTCCCAACTTCTGAACGGATTTGTTCTGGCGTTCTTGATGATCAACATGTCTGCGTTGTCAGTAGAATGACGCTTAAGAAAACAAGTAAAACGTCAATCTTCACAGCCTTTCTATAGATTCATGTCCACTGAAAACACATCCACTGTATCCGTCTGATAAATAAATATGAGAGTGCACATTATGTTTAACAGCTGATTGGATTATGTAATATGAGGCAGAAGTTATGTGTATCACAATTCTCTAAAACAATTACAAAATCTTGACGTATACAAAATTATTACCAACTGAAACACTTATTGTCTTAACATTACATAAAACTCCAATCTGCAGAAGCACATCCAATGATTTCAGTCAAATCAAATGAATGTACTCGAATCATGTACTTACTTTAATTTGCTGGCTAAAATAAAAACACACACAGCAAAATTTTCTGGCAAATCTGGCCTAGGGGTAAATTAAACAGTTTGTGCCTAGAAAGATATCCTAAATAGGAAAGTGTGAATATTCTAAAAACCTAAGGTCAACACCTGATGCTGGAAAAAACAAGTGTCAGAATCTTAATAACATCTCCCCTCTTGGCATAAATGAACATTTCAAAGCAGCTGCTGTTTGCAATCTGTGTTTTTTAGGTTTGTCTACGACGCAGATTCCGAAGGTTAGTTTTACCCCTTAACATGCATTGCACAATGTGAAATAAATATAATGCAGGCTCCCACAAAACAGTGTCAACAACACATCTTTGTCAATGTGATATTTTTTTCATTCTGTGAATTACTGTATACACATTAAAACATGGGGATGTAAAAAGCTAATTGTTGCCTCAATGTTTCCTTAAGGAAACTGAATGTACTTGCATTGCTTAATGTCAGTGTACAAACAGCACTGACATTCAGTTTCCCTTTAAGCATTTCTAAAGTACTCTGTACATCAGGCTCCCTTTCTTTAGAAACAATTATGTTTAATCGTTTGTATCTTTTAAAACCTATTTGCCTTGACACCAGCAAGACAAAAGAAATAGACAACATACAGCGTACCGATGCCCGTTCAACCCTCCGTTATTTAAATTAACCATTCAAATGCAAATGAAACCAAGACTCACAATATGCCAATACACTTCTTTAAAAAAGGCTGGCTTTTTAAATGAACCTCTTTACTGAATGACAGTGGGTGAGCGATGAACTGATTTATCCATTCTTATGCTTCTCTGTGATTGCACTTGATGTAATCCCATCTCGTGTCAGTCAAGTCCCTGCAAATTTAGCTCAAGATCTACCGAGGAAAAAAAGAGATGCTTGACCCCTCTCCTCAACAGGCATCTGACAATCATTTTATGGCACTGACCACTGATGAGGAATCACTGAATGTTTTCAAGGTTCCCTCAAATCTTTGCTTCATCATCAACCCTTATATTTCATCACTTTTATTCTGGGACTTAGGCAGCAGTAATAATAATAATAATAAAAAAAACATTTTAAAGTTGTTTTGTTGAGCACTAAGTACGTAAAGAAAGGTAAACTTTTTTGACAATTTGTAGTTGGGCAGTCCATTGTCCCGGGACGACCTCTTTTGTGTAGTGGTAAATTGTTCAAGAGAAAAATAATTGGCCATGCACAGAGTATTGCTAAGAGGTCATTTCATGGCTTATGGATGGCCAGCTAAATGGTCCATTGGTACATCTCAGCGACTGCGCCTGCTTTCCAAAAAAAAACTACATTTCCCTCATTACATTCGGCCCTGTAATAGAATTTGTCCCAGGTGTTACAGGGCAAGTGTCCAAGCTGCTACTCGCCCATGCACTGACAGGGACGTCATTTTGTCTCAGTTGTGGCATTTTCTCACCACTGACACCCTGGTTCCCTTAATCCGTCTTCCCATTCTCCTGAGGTGTGCTGGCTTTGCTCTTGCGTGCCGAGCGCAGCACTCTGTAGCAGCCGCGGGCAATCTTATGCATCCACATAACGTTCATGATGTCCAAGCAGATACTGGAGCAGATCCAGGCTACGCGGCCACCCCAGGGCACCAGGTAGAAGGCCTCGGTGCCGTAGACCGCATACATACGACTGTAGTAGACTGGCATGACGGCGATGCGGACCATGAAAAAGACTACTGCCATGGCGACGCCATTCGCCATGTTGGGCCGGGAGGACTTGGGATACCCTAGTACCTCAAAGAACCAGCTGAAACACAACACGTTTAAGAAAACGGTGGCTAGCAGGATAAAGATGTAAATATGACAATGACAATCACGAGTAACTAGACACTTACGTCAGAGAGGAGAACATGCAACAAGCAGTGGATTACCTTCACGTAGTTAAAATTACCAACAATAATTACACATTCTGAGATATAATATCTAGAAATGTTGTGAATTGAGCTCCAACCCTGACTTTAAAAGACCCAAAGCCCAGGACATTAGTAAGCAGGTACGTACCGCTGGTTCACACATGGTGTAGAAAACTCAGCGAGTAGACGGAAGTTAGCAAAATAAGGCAACATTCCATGGCCCTAGAAGAACAAGGTAAGAAGAGGAAGACAACGAAACATGAAAGGGACAAAAACAAGACACCGAGTCATTTGGATCAGCAGGCGTGAAGCTCATGTGCCACCTGCTCCTCAGACTAACTAGGTAACTAAGGCATGTCTACAATTAGATTAAGTCCTCACCAAATATAGACCTATTTGGCAGATCTAACAAAAGAGCCCTCTCCTTCAGGGCACACAATTATTCCTCCAAGTTTTACAGGCCAAAATTAGACTGGTCTTTAATTTGACTTCCTAATGATTCATTCTCTTCATTTATTGTGAGCAGAAACTCATCCTCACTATGAAATGAGCATACAGAACTGGTGACGTGCAAAAGAACAGATTAACTACCCTTAAAACTTTTGATTACTTCTGTTTGCAAGACAGAACCCGAACAGTATTAGATTTTAATTACACATTTTTAAACATTTCTCTTTAAATCAAAAAGGTTAATCCCCTAGGGAGCACAAATGTTTGATTATCAGATATCTTGCATGTAACCTTGATGTATGTATGTAAATGTAATGACAATGGCCAGTACCTCTAGGCGAAAGCGCTACACAAGACTATCTGATGAGCAACACTGGGCTGGCTTCAAGTGAGACGATAAATGGTTTTGCCTCATGTAATATATCAAAGTAAATTTGCATTTATTAAAATAATCACTCAACCCAATTATTAAAAGTCATAATCACAAATGCATCCAACTGTATGCCAACTACTGCTTGCTCACATTTTGTCTTTTCATCCAGAGAGCAGAAAACCATACTGTAAAGACCATACAACAAGACAATTCATCGGGATGACATCTGAACATTGAAAAGGTATTGAGCAAATATCAACACAGCACAATATTTGATACATATACCGTACAACCATACATACATTCAGCCAGCCACTATTTAAAAAGGAGCAATCAAAAGCCATGCAGAGTAAAAAGCAATATGTTTAACTGCCAAACATATCATTGTTTCGAAGATCAGGGCCTGAATTCCACGTTGTATTAGGTATGAGATCATCTTCAGCAGGATTTACCCGCCTTGTAACTGAACCCAAAGGGTTCATGAGCGCTTGAAACTATTCTTATGAAACTCACCATGTCTGGATTGATACCTGATCAGAATTCTAAAATGCCAATACAATGATTTCGACCTGGACAGAAGCCACCTTAGTAATAAAATAAGCATAGGTGGCTTTATTTCCAGTCGCTGTTAAATAGAATGAAGATGATGTTAAAACCAATATGTTTTCAGGACAACCCATCTTATACACTGTTGACCTGGACTGTGTCTTGGTAAATCAGCTGTAACCTTTGAACATTAAGCTGAAACCATGTTAAAATTGTGCCATTAGCCAATTAAACTTGAATTAAATGTTTTCTGACAAAGTGCGTTATAGAGACTGACTGCAGTGATTTGTATCCGCAATTAGTTTGAGTCTGAAATAGAATCTTATGTTCAATCCCTCGCCATACAAATTCTGAACATAAGTCAAATTCAAAACTAAGATAAAAATCGCAGCATTCAATTTCACTTAAATACCCGCAGAATGATGCAATTCGAGGTTATTTGGCTAGTGGCATGACTTTTACAGCGCATAAAAGAAGACTTACCGTCAGGGCTGAAACAAAAGCTGGTCATTGAAGCATACTTACAATGTGATACAAACAGGGTACATCTGCATTTCAGTTTTTGTACCATATGATGTGAACTTTCTTCCTAGCATGAGGATGCCAGTACCTCTAGGAACTGGTAAGTCCATACTGTGACTGGGCATCATATCTGCTCAGTGCAACACAACAGCAATAGCAGCAGACAAGACAGGAATTAAGAAGTCCTCATCCAGATCAAGACCTGCTCTGGGTTTCTAAATGTCAAACAACCCTTTTGGTAGTTTTTGCATGAACGGGGATGACACAACCCGACTTGATGTTGGTAGTTTTTGCATGTTGGGTTTGAAGAGGGGCTATTTATGTTAAAGTCAGCAGAGGACACAGAGACAGACAAACAGATATATTAGAAGAAGAAAAAAAACAAAAAAAGATGCCACCACAATTGGAAGCAAATAAGAAGCAACACTTACAACACTGAGAAGAGAGCATGCATCTAATATTTACCTAGCAGTTATTATATTATGTTTCCATCTTTTTTAATTAAGCTACATTTAACTGTTAAAAAAACACACACAAAAGACAGATTATACTGCTATTTAAAGAAACAAATCATAAAAACAACTTGAACACGGTTTTGAGCAAGACATTAGTGACTAATCAAACATCAAAACATACCAACAAGCTCATGAAATTAAGCTGATTTGTACTTTTCAAATTACAGGTTTCCCAACCCAAGTACATTTAATTAGGCTTTAATTTGGCTGTGTGCCTCAGGGTTTAATATTTGCATTGAGTAGGTAGAACTCATTCTGTATTTGACATGAATACTTCCACATAAAAACACTCAACACATTAACTAATAAGGAGACTTTGACGTAACATGACAAATTTGACTGGGTACAAAACTAAATAAAATGAAAATGACATCAAGGATCAGCCAAATTATTAATAAATTATTATTTTTTGTTTTTACCACATATGTAATATGGCTTCAGTAACGTGGCTTTCTGTTTTCTACCACAGTTGACTAATGAGGACCAATCATTCTGTTATCCCGCATGAATTTCTGATCTAGTCTGAGGAAACAGTCATGAGTGTACAGTAACAGTATGGCCTACTTCATCTCTTTTACCTAACAGTTTTAGATACAGGTGCATGCTCTGTTTCTCCAATTGAAAGGCTGGATTTACAGTCAGTTGCAAATCATACTTTTATTCCAACAATGTGACACCGGTTTAATCTTATTATTATCGTTTAGACACACACGAGTAATATTCCTCATTAACAATGTAATGAAGACAGACAAAAAAATGGATGCATATATGATGTTGGTCACATTAAAGAAAAAAACAAAATCTGTAAATCCAGCCAGTGACTGGGGTGTAGATACGGGTAAGATGTAAATCTGGACCGCAGGGTTTACAATAAGTCCATAGTGCTTCACTGCTTTTTTTTTTTAAACCAAAATTGTATAACCATTTGCCCATGGCGATGCAAACCCAAAAGTATAGTACTGTAAATGTAAAGCTTTTTTTAAAATCCAAGAACAGTTTAAGTATGGGGAGTCAGAGGCAGAGCAATGCACACTGTACGTACTTTTGCATTTTTTTCTATATACAAAATACAGAGCATGTACTGTAGAGGAAAAACTTCCCTGTTTGCTTCACTAAAATATAATTCTGTACACCTGACAGAATATATTTAACATGGTATTAGAAAAAAAAAAGTGCCTGGCTATCTGGTGATGCACTTGGGGTCATGTGGATGACATTATTTGAGTGGCTTTGTCAGTTGTCCCTCATGTCTCAGGAGGAGTGTAAGGAAGAGAAAGAAGAGGCAGAACTAGGCTCTGGCACACAAACAGACAGGTGGAAGGTACTGTATATAGGCAGGTAAGTAATTAAGAAAGTTCAATACTGTTTGTTGGCATGCACAGTAACAAGAAAGGAACCCTGTCTGTGTAGAAGGCTTCAGAACTGCCAGCATGCACACAGTGGTTACAGTTAGGCATTCAACTGCGCTAAGCTCAGAAATAGTTCAGCTTACGTCAGATTCACACAACATTAAAAAGGGGTCAGTAAAACAAACAGAAAGCACAGAAATTGTAAGGGCAAGGTGAGGGGGGAGGGGGTCATCAGCCAGTACCATCATTGAGCATTCCATGCAAAAAATACCATAGTCATTCATTTCCATAATAATTATCCACAGATCCTGGCGACCTAGAGGGTTTCAGATTGAACCAAGAGTGAACAGCAGTGCCCATAATTGCTGAGAACACTAAACCCATCTCCATATCTAGTTAAGAGCCAACGGTATACTAGCTGGGCAGCAAGAACAAATGAGTCACTAATTAGTACTTCAGATGAATTGTGAAATTATCATCAGGTTAATGTCAATACCCACAGCGGATTTCACTCAAAATGATACAGAATGACGCTTATAGAGCCTCCACACCAAATAGCTGATTTGGTGCATTCTGAGATTAGTTAGAGAGCTTTTACAGTGTAGCACTGAAGCCGTGAAATGTCAAACCAACTTGAAACCTACGATTATCAATGATGTTACTGCGAGCCTCACAAAACCACTCACACTGTTACTTTTTAAATCTGTTATGTCCAGACACACTAAAAAATACAGTCACTTAATACTTACACATCTTACTAACGCCCTAACTGGCCAGGCAAACAATGACTCTTGCTGGAACGCACTATACCTCACGTACAAAAGTACAACAAATAGCTGATTTGAGACTGTAACTAATCAACAATTAGATTGCCTTTTGTTTTAACATCTACTGAAAGCAATGAAGCCATAGGAGTGGATTTTGAACATCCTTATGGTTTCCTTCTCTGGTGTGTTTGTACAGTTTACAGTATATCACTCAGCACAGAGCACGGACACTGACTACGCTGACCTTGCCTTGTGCATATTTAACTAACCTATATGAGGTCCTTGGCTGCATGGGGACAGTCAAGGGCACATACTGAATGGTGGCTAAATCGGTTAAAAACACCCAGCTTGACAGGACACAGCTGTTCACCCTTAGTTGTCTCCTTCCCATCTTGCCTGCATGTTCTGCTATTGGACAATAGGGCACTCACCAGTACATAGTAGTAAGCATACAACGCTGCCAGATGGTGAACTACAAAAAACTTGTCGCCTATCGCCTTCCAATAGTAAAATATTAGCAGCAGATCTGAAACACAGAAGTACAGGGGAAAGAGAGATAACATGTTATTGGTGTAATCAAAACATTTACAGTACATACAACTAATAAAGGCCAGTAGGGTCCAAACTTGTGTAAGTCAACTTAACAACAAAGTTTAACACATCTTATTACCAATTACGTAGATGTTCTTCTGGTCTCACTTTAACAAACATTACCTGCATAAACTGTGCTTCTCTTACCAGATATGAGGTAGCCTGTTGTGATGGCAACATTAGTCTTCACCAGTGTAGGATCTCCCCTGTTGAAAAAAATACATTTGGTTTGACCGGGTTTGTGTGAATTTCCCTGAAAGCTTGTCACTGAAAGCAACATTATTAAACTACATTCATTATGTAGAATGGAAAAAAAACTTCTATTAGGGACAGTGGTCATTAAGTCTGGGACAGTCGAAAGAATTTTGAACAGTTGTGAACAGATAATTGTGTGTTGGTCATTTGTGTTTAACTGTCTGAGTTTTGTCTCTTTTATGGTTGGTTTTAGGGAGGCTGTACAGAGGAGGGCTGTGTGGTGTAATAATCCACTAGTCTTGTTTCATTTTAATGCAATTGTAGCCTAAACGTGTTTTGTAATTTTACAGTAGTATCACTAGACATATACCAGCATCTTTGTATACCTACAACCCCATGCACTTAATGCTATACCTTTGGCTGCTAAGCTATGACTGGAAATACTGGCCTTATGTTTAAAAAAAAAAAAAAAAAAAAAACTTTACGGTGTAAAATTAACCAAAAGTATGGAAAGTAAAGGTTAAAAATATGCGATTCACAGCCAAACTCTCACCAGACTGGGTCTTCATTGACGGCATCATCAAACCACAAGATGTGGAGACAGAAGATTCCCACCAACAGTGCGTGAAACGTTGACACCGTCCTGAAAAAAAAAACAACAAAAAAAACAACACAGCCATGATGACCTAGTCCTGTCTGACAAGGACAGATGCTGACACGTCAGAGATTTTCTGTTCAATAAGCTCGCTAAAAGGAGTAGTGAATATTTATCTTTATTCATGGAAAGTGCCTTGGAGCTGCTCTCTGGTTTACGGTACTGCTTTTTTTTAGGACGCACAGTGAATCAACTGATTGCCTGTCAGGGCTGCACACAGATTCAGACCAATTAGACTAAGAGATTAAACACTGCTGAAGGGTCAGGCAGAGCAACACACAGTCCCAGTCAGTCATTAAGGCAGCGAGACAGTCCAACAGTTCTCAGCAATCAGTCAATAAGACAGAATGACAGCCACACTGACTGTAAGTCTGTTTAAACAGAATCTGTAAAGTCACTTCAGCAGGGATCCCCGTAGCCTAGATCCATCTCCACCAATCATTAATTTTCATTTGCTCATAAACCATGTGACCATTTCAATTTCACAAGTGCTCTCATGAGCAATAAACTGAGTATGAGAGAAAATGAAAATGAATGATTAATGCAAGTTGGACCAGGCAGGATTCCTCCGCACACTCTTCCCTGCTGGACGTCCAATGGCCTTCAGTCTACGGTAGAGCTTTCACCGATCTCACAGCAGCATGTCTGTCTCGCTCAGGATACAAACACACTCCCATCTTTTTGTTCCAATCTAGTTGTTCTAGCCTGTATCTGCAATGTTCCCATAACAAGTTCGCAGATGACAACACTTGGTCGTCGTCTGATCAAATGGTCCAGTCATCAGTGTGAACACCCTGGCCCTGAAGCATTCCTACTTGTCTATTCATTTTGACTGATGAACTGCGAATATAAAACAGTTCTATTGATTAAATGCGACAAGGATGATCTGTTAGAGGAAAATGTTAGTATATTTAGCATGTTATGCACTACATTAATTAAGTTATTCCTTCAATTTGAGGAATGTGGCAACTCTGCTAAATATCTACAGTAGAATCCATTAGCACAAGTAACATAAGCAAACAACTACTGTAACAATGGTAGGTCAGAGTTAAAACAGGAGGGATCTGTTCAGAATGTAATGGACATTTACAGTGGGCGGTTTGGCTAAAAACCTCAATATTTAATTTTTTACTTCCAAACTGAAAAACATTGTTGCACATTAATTTGTGCAGGAAATGTGTGCAGGTGTGTAATTTTGCACACTTTGGCCACAATCAGTGGAGAAGAGCATATGAAGAAGAGAGCAAATTAACTGAATCGCTACTGCTTCAGAATCATAGAATAGAAATCTTATGGATCACAACTTTAAACTGGACATCTGTTTAATGCTATTCTGACTTCTTGTGCTGTATGCACTAATGATGTCAGAAATGTAATTGGTGAGTAAAATGTTAGCATACCCAGCAATGATGAGGAGCTGTTGTAAAAAAAGAAAGTTTTTTTATCTTTGAAAAGGCACAGAAACACTGGGGGAAACAGTTTTGCATGAAAAATTCCATGATTTTCTATGCTTTACAATCTGTAACTGAACTAAACTAAACAAGGGTTAAGCATATTTAACTGTGCCATTTTAAAATGATGAAGTTAAATTAAGACAAAATGCACAGGCAAAAAAAAAAACGCTGAACAAAACACCAACATGCTGCCAGCACCTTGAAACTGTGGCATGAAGAGCAAGCATTATAAAATACACAGTGCATCCCACTAGTGAATCAGATACTAGTGTCACAGGAAATATGTGGGTTGACTGTCAGTACGTATCTTTGGAGCCAGCTGAAACAAATCCCCTCTGGCCAACATCTGATCTGAGAGCAGTGTCGCACTCTCTGCCATACATAGCATGTAGATAGTCAGAGTCATCATGATCGAAAGTTTACGTCAGGTCACCTTGAGTTCCATTCCACCTTCTGCTTGTCACTGAGGCCGAGGAAGCCTGGGCTGATGCGCGTGGACATCCAGGGGCTGACTTTGTGGAAGAGCCACTGGAAGGTGAGGAAACTGGTCACCGAGATGGTGAGGATAAGCTGGCTGAATGGGTCCATGGCCACCCAACCCCACTGTGGGAGGATGGAGAGAAAGAGGGTAAAGGTTAGAAAGGAGGCCATGTTCTGTTGTTTCATTACAACATCCTGCAAACAAGAACATATCCAACAAAATTCTGTAGGTATTAGTGACTGTGTTTTCCTCTATGGAATCAAATGCCTACAGAAGGACGAAGAAATGTAGTTGTGACGACTCTCTCCACAAAAAAATTTATCGCTGTATATAAAATGTAGAAAATTCAACATATAAAAAGAGAAGATTCACAAATGTATTCCTGCTGCACACACAAATACGTCTGCTGTTATGTGTACACTGTGTAGAGACTGTTGAACCTGCATTTACAAACTTCTTTTCACGTCTTCATTGCGTTTGTGTGTGGGTTTGAGACTTCCTGCCACAGCTCGATACACCATTTGTTCAGCCAATCACATAAACACAAGGATTCCATATTCCTTTGGTATCATTGGACACTTTGAGGTCAGCCAACCAAAGCAGCTAGTGTGTCTGGTATTTGATGACCATTGACAACAACTACAAAAAAACAAACACTTGCTAGTAAAGGGTCCAGTCACTTTTTAAGTCAACTCTTGAAACCAGTTGTTGAGGTATCAGCACACACCCACCCACCCACACACACACACACCCACACACACACACACACACAGGTTCTTTCCCAGCTCTACAACAAATATGTTTGATGCCTCCACAACGTGACTTTGTTCACTTTCGTTTTGAAAGCGCTGTAAAATCCAGAAGAATAACTTCTGTAAGAGATTGCACTGTTCCCTTTCATCGCGCTGCCTTTTGAGAGTCTGCTTTAACATACATAAAGAGTTCTATCAGTATCTTTAAAGTCAAAATGAAAAATGCCAATATCTGCTGATTTTAACATACATGTGATGCCGATTTGGTGTGCGAGTGTGATGTACTACTGTGTGTCATCTGTATTAGCATACGTTTTGTCGTGTTTGTCTAGTTTGTTTGGTGCCATTTGGTCACTCAACAACCACAATGTGCCTTTAAACCCAACATGGACTTTGCCGTGTTTGCTTAAAAAACATACACACACATGGTTGCGACCTCAAATGGCTGACATGTACACCAATATGAAGCCAGCGGGACAAGTTCGGTGAAAGCAACACATCCAGTGTGTTTTAGAATAGGTTTAACACTGAGGGGAACAAATAGCTTTCTTTCAGCTTTTGAAAGATCATTACAGTATTGGGGTGGGGGACATATTTCCTATATTTCATATGCTGGAGGGGACGTCCCTCTGGCGAGTATGTGTTTGAATTGTCTACATGATTAGTTAGAGCATCACTAAAGCTGCTCCATCACTTGGATTACATTAATCCCAAAGTGTACAAGAGGAAATCTTATAGAACCAAAATATATAGTCCTGTTATATTGGTCCAGTTTCCAATGTAATAATTCAGGTTAAGGCTACAAGTGTTGTACTGACCAAATACTAGGATACCACTACACATCAATATAATGCATCAGCAATATTTTTGGGAAAATAAGTAGAAATTTCAGTTTTGCTGCTTTAGGGGGTTACGGGAGACTGGTGACACAGTTTTACTATAAGAGCATCCCAAATGGGCACGGGTCAGTTGGAAAATGAGAGTGCAACATGGGTACATTGTATAAAGGGTGACCAGCATGGGATGGTTCAATAAAATCCATTTCACATAATTTAATTAAAAATCTAGTAACATGATGCATAGTTGAACTCTGCACTATGGCCCAAAGTCACCTACAAATCTATCCATTCAGTCACATATTTGAATCAAAAGTGAGCGTTCTCTAAAAGCCAACAAAGATCTAAAATTAGCCGCTCTGCATTCATGCTGGCTTGCAGCCAGTAAATGTATGTCAGTGACAGAGGTCCAGTGAGTCCAGACCAGCGAGTGTTGCTCTGAGCTATTTGCATATAGGCTGATTTGACTCTTGGTAGGAGACAAAGTCAGTTAACTTTAAAGACATATTTACATCTCCAAAGCAACAGAACAGGGCTCTCCTAGCACAGGCACACACACACACACAAAAAAACACACACTTCTCACTCCCTGGGGCTCTGGCCTTGGTGATTTTATACCTGCCTTTGTTCCTGCATTACGCCAAAGAAAGGCTTGAGGACAGTGTACTTTACTGAAGCACTATAGCCAAGAAAAAGTCATCAGGGAACTGAAAGGCCAATTCCACAGAGACCTCTCCTTATGCCTGCCTGTAATGCATTAGTGGGCAGTGAGCACCACTATTTTGATGTAGCATGCTGCAAGGCAGAAAGACTTTTTGTTATTAGAGGGGGACTTAAAGGGTCCATATTGTGACTGAGGAGATATCTGGATATCTAAGTAATGCTACCTTCAGCCATTCTAGAGAAGTACAGCGGAGGTTTGTTTTGGGTGCACACATTCATGTTTGCAGTGCAGGACCCTTTTGCCAAGGGTAAATGGTTACAGAGGTCAACTTAAGGATACAGAAAGGAACCAGCTGAAGCACCACGAAGAGAAAAGCACTTACTGTTTATAGTCTGTGTCAAGAAAATCTTATTTTCAACAAACAAGTTTGTCAAGGCGAGTGTGGTCTGCAACCCCTTTACAATAAACTGTAAATTTGAGGTTCTAATAAGCTGTGCAACTTAAAAAGAAAGATTAAAACTTGCTCACACACTTCCTGGCCAACACGTTAAGCTGTGAGAGGGTTCGGCTCTTACTGTCCCCAATTTCAAGATAGACATTTTATTGGCGATATATGAAACGTGTCTGAAACTTTAACCTCCAGTCAAGCTTCAGAAGAGACACCCCAACGGCCACTTATTTTGAAAATCACACATTCCTGTTTGCTCCAACAACACACTGGAGCCACAGGGCATGGAAGCAGATGTGTCAGTGACTATGTATGTGACAATAACTAGGTGAAAAGAAGTGAGTTTAGAGGAATTAACCCCAAACTGACTCCACGACTCAAGAGCAGTATTATTCAGACCCCCACCCCAACATACACAGGTTTATTATAGTCTCAGCCATTAGGATAGAGACTGGTATATTTGGCCCTGCCACAAAGATAGGCATCACTACCCAGCACATTATGACCTGTTTCTTCCTGGAAGATTGTTTTGCCAGTTTCATGCGTTCCTATAACGACTGTAAGGTTAAAATGCGCTTGCGTAAGACGGGTGGACCAATTTTTTTTTTTTTTTTTTTTTAAAAACACACAGGAAACTATATCCCCCCCAACGAAAATAACTTCGCAATGTGCATCACCCGATCGCGTTTTAGAGATGCTCGGCAGAATCAATTCAAGCACCAAAACATGTTATAAGACCCCCCCCCTTAAAGCGAGGAACACGGTGTATAACAGCAACAAGGCCAATCCACGCCGCATTGCTTGGCCAGCTGCTGTTGCTGTAAAATGTGTTGAGTTGGGGGGGAAGAAAAAATCAACACTGGCCTGGTCGTGTTTGTGTGTGCCACCAGCCGCGGACATGGAAAAGGAACACAAGCTCCCGGATGGACTCACCGTATGACTTTCATTAAGATGATTTGCGCCTCACTCTCTCAACTGGTTACGGTTCCCAGGGGTCGCTCGCAAAGCCGCGTACGTTGAGTCAAAGCCACGGCCATGTCGAGTCATTTTGGATAAACAAGACGAGCCCGCCTCTTGCTCACACACACACACACACACACACACACAAACACAACACGCTAACAAGTTGCGGGGGACGCGGTGTCGCCGGTGCTCCGTGCCTGCGCCGGCTTTGCGGCGTTTTCCGAGAATCCCATCCGACACGAAACGTGCATAATTGCAGAGGTGCAGATCATGCAGCTCGACGCTCGATTACACAAATGGTGGAGGCGGGGGTGGTGGTGGTGGTGGGGGGGTGTTGGTGTGTGAGGTAACTCCCTCTCTCTCTCTCTCATTTGCTCTCTCTCTCCCCTATAGGACTCAAATTACAGCAGAATTCTTAAAGACACACACACACACACACACACACACACACACACACACACACACTACCACCACGGTCTACCCAAGAACACTCACTGTGTCTATTTATAGCCCAGGCTGGTTGAACTGATGCAGGGTAAATCAGACGAGATAGACAGTAAAGCCCCACTGGTCTTAAAAATCAATGAATCCAGTTAAGGCTTTAACCCCCCCCCATGTGCATTAATCTCATTTTTGCCATAAGATTTGTCACACGCATTCTGCAGTGTATATATTTCTGAATGGCCTAATAATGAGTGTCCCAGATGTACAAGATTATTAGGCTACGCTGCAGGAGCTGGTGACTAAGCATCAGAGGCTGTAAACATGGTCTGCTCACTCTCATTGGGCTGTAACTCAATGAGAGTCTATATTCACAGCACACACACTCAACAACGGGAAATAAAAGAAAACAAAATCAAACAGAAACAACAAACAACAACAAATCAGGGTTGAAGAAAATAACAGACAGTACAAAAGGGGAGTAAACATACAGCAGTAATCTTAACTTCTATGGCATCATCCCCTGTCCTCCCTGTGTGTCCACCCATACACGTTACCAGAGGGCAGAAGACAGATTAAATTACCAGTGGCTGCAATATAAAATAACATCTCCTATGAACTGAATAGGCGAGGCAAGTATATTTACAGCACAGATCATGCTGGGCCATGCCTAAATTTCTATGAGCTGATTTGCTGTTGTGCAGATTAATGCTTCAAGGTGTCATATGCATAAAGCGGTTCCTGCAGGGCCTTGTTATTAGTCTCTGACACACAGTATCAACAGAGCGCTCCTAAATGAAAACAGAGGATATGAGAGTAATAACAATAATAAAGGTATTTTTCCTAATAAGAGAGGTTCACACTTTTCCCCATATACAAAAAATGAAAACATAAACTCTGACAAACCCTAATCCTAACCGACATGTACTGGGGCTGCTTTGTATTTGTATTGAGACAGCCTTTTGAGGCTGATCTGATTTTACTTTTAACATTTCAGCAACCCCAATGAGGCAACACAACCACCCTTTGGTCTAATAAAATCCCAGGTGACCGCACTGTTAATATTTTATTTGCTCTTTTATGGTGACTCAGTGTTAACATGTTTAGTTTACACTATTTGTACACCCAAAAACTCTCTGTTTCATTGTCAAAAATAAGACTTTTGGTTTGGTGTCAACATTTCAAAATAAAAGCACACTGTGACTGGTCATCATTTATATTGAAATGAATGGGTCTGTTTTGAATTAAGCGACAACTGGCAACACTCTCACATTGGGTCCGTTGTCATGGGGGTGCTGGTCGGGGCCGACGGTGGGTGGGGGGGAGTAGCAGGAATACTGACACTGTCTGTAACATTCATTTGATTCTCCACTGTCATCCGACCAGCCATTCACTCCCGCCTGCGTCCCACGCTATAAATACGACCTGGTGGACATAGAAAGTTGAGTGCGGGTGTGAGTAAATGTGTGTTCCTCCAGCGTGTTAAAATGGACTCGGACTACGTAAATGTAAAATAAATGTAAATGAAACATTGCCACAAACACTTGCTTGCCAATTTATTCGAATCTCAGACCTATTTTACACTCGGAATGCATTCTGGGTAAGCTGTCCAGAGCAACCAGAAGGGAGAAAGTAGGAACCTCCGCAGACGTTTTCACTGAATAGACGCTGTTAGGTCAGTCATTCAGTTAGTAGGTAGTGGTAGCTATATTGGGGTTATTCTGGTGTGAATTGGTGCTTTATGTGGATCAAATCTGCGTTGTGTCTGCTTTGATTCGTATAATAAGTGCCTCCTCTTGCTCAAAAAATGTATTTAAATTGCGTTGCGGTTTATATATTGATATAATCCCACCTTCCCCCCTCAAATAAATATTTTTATTCACTAAAACCGCAAGGTATGACGGGATACCAGCCAGAGTCGGCTCAATCTAAAGAGGAAAAACACGCATTTTATTTTATTATTTATTTTAACAGTGTTTCTTTTTCAGTCGCTTCATTGTAATATCCCATGGTAAAGTACAGTGTGACAGTCTGCAGTGTATCAACCACTGAGAGTATCTAATAACAGACTGAACCTGAGAGCTGTGTGACAGTACCGACCTCTGCCACACGGCGGTGCTCTATCTCCATGTTACTGACTGCTACTGGCTGGACTGGGTGCACCTTATTTTAAAAGAGCAAGATTTATACCTTACAACTATTGTATTCCAAATATTAACCACTTTAAAAAATAAAAATGAGGCATCCTTTACAATATGTAAAATGTAATTATTATCATGCACAACATAATTATGATTAGATAAGATAGACTTTATTGCTATTAATATTACTAACCTCATTCACAGAGAAAACGTTCATGTTTCCTGCAGTTGTTTCCCATATTATTGTGGTGAAGTTTGACACACTAACTGGTTAATGTTGCTTTTTCCTTTAAGAACTTTTGGTGACTTTAGGTTATTTTGAATCTGTTTCTGAAGAAGGTATTGAATATATATATATGTTACACATTTGGCACAATAGTTAAAATGTAACTATATGATAGAATGTAGTGCTCAACAAGCATGGCATATTTCTAAACCTCCTGTGTCCATTGTGTAATTTGCAGCCGTTATTTTGTTGTTGGCAATCTGATCCCTGCTAAAGTGGCACCTTGGACTGATGAATGTATTTTTAGAATCCAAAGAATAGCAGCACTTAAACAGATAACTGGCTGAAACCAGAAGCATCACAGCTTAGTAAAGGGAATTTATACATTTCATTAATTGTTTTTTTTTAATTATTAGATCCTGAATCGTGTTACTCTGTTTGACATGAGATGGAACAGTATACAAAAAAACTATTATACAAAAGTAAAAAGATATACTATACTCTAAGATACTCCGAGCCCTCCCTTCTGTTTTACTTATCAACTTATTCAGTAACTCTTTGAGCTATTATGATTATTACAATTATTATTGTTATTTACTGTTATTTGTATTATTATTATTATTATTATTATTATTATGAGGATGAGATTGTGGGGTGAGGTGGTAAGGAACCTACAGTAGTCTAAAATGTTGGTTGTTTATTACATGCTTTGTTTACTTGTCCGAAAAGTAACTAGAGTAAGGGGTCACACTTCAATAAATATAGAAAAAGTGACTTCTCAGGAAAAGTAAAGGTAAAATATATTTTTTTATTATTCATATGGAAATACAAAATTAAGATACATGCATTGGTAATGGCATAAATACAGTAGGATCAACATAAAAAAATTAATGATTAAAAAAAAAGTTGGGTTCATGGAAGCTTCCACTGTAACAGCTCCTTTAGTTGGTGGAAAACAACCATGTGCCCATCATGTAACAACAGATATCATTTGATCTTATCTGGCTGTACAAAGAGAAGTAAAAGCAAAGAAACCACATATACACTATACCACATAAACATGTACTTTGGTCATTAAAACAAAACAAACAAAAAAAAAACCACCAAGAGGCAGGATGATCAGTGGACTGAATTATTCAGACGTAGTATGGAGTATGATATACAATATAAAAGCAGCTTCAGTGGTAGTTTAACTAAAACATTGAATTAGTGGTAATAAAAGCAATGCAATAAAATGCAGTGGACCAAGCAGCATGATACTCAGTCAGCTTTAATGACTAAAGGCCTCTTAAGGGAGTGTGTGTACCATAGATTTTTTTTCCTCCGGACACCTTAAAAGACAACTTAATCCTACAGGGGCTCTTTCTCACAAAACCACACAGGACCATATTTTGCACATTCGTGTGTTTTCTCACCACAGACAGGCAGTTTGGCATTTAGTATATAGATACATGCAGCTCTTAAAAATATAGATAATAGGCTTGTCAAAATACTGTCACACAAAATATGATAAAAAAAGGCACAAACAGGAATCTTAAATTTCTAATGGACCGTAACTATCTTAAAACTAACTACAACTTAGAAACAAAATGTACAAATATCACAACGTTGTGCCTTTTAGTCATTATTCCTCGTGTTTATTTAACTCCTTCTATTGGAAAATAACAAGTCGCTGTTTTAACAGTTGTTTGAGCTTCATTTCTGAGCCTGTGGTGACACTGTAAACCCAGAACAGTAATCCATTATAAAACTCCATTTGGAGTGTATTGTTACACCCCAATTTAATGGTTTTACACGAGGAGTGTTGCTAGTGTCATTTACCATGTAAGAATAGCACCTCGGAGCTACATTAGAAGCTCACAGTAAATAGGCGTGTACATAGAATATGCACACAAAACAGGCACTTCTTTAGCACACGTGTATAAATCCACACGTGAGCGTAGGATGCATGCATGCACACCCACACACACACAGTTAAGACCTGAGAATGCCACAGTAATGATACATGAAATTAAATCAAGATGAAAAAAGTAGAAAATTAAAATGCATATGCTTAACTACCTTTACTAAATTAATATGCAGTTTTTTAATTATGTACAGGAAATGGTCTAAAACTGATTAAAATCATTGCATAATTGACCACAAGTCACATGAGAAATGTTAAAACGGTTTAGGCTTTGTATGGCACATTTCTAAACCCAACTACTGATTCACTGGTATGTATTCCTAGTTGATGTTCGAGATGTTGATAATAACATCATATAGAGCCACTCAAACTGGTAGAAACTGGAGTCTTCGACACATAAAAAATATTTGTAAAAAGCATTTTATCCTAAAAAGGAGATGCTGAATTATGGTCAATAAGGTTTTTTTTTTTTCTTTACATGAATGTCCTTTACGCTTGAGAAAAACTTTGAGATGCACCTGAACTCACTACGAGGCACAGCAGCGCACCACAGCAAATTTCAGATCTACTTCTCTAGGACTGAACCAGATTGCCTAAAAAAATGTCAAATTATGATCTTGCATCTGCCTACAATTTCACACAAATCCTCCACGTATGATTTTAAACCCTGCCCGTCTTGCAAATGAGGTGGATAAAAGGTTTAAAAATCATTAAGTTGTAGTTGCTACAACTTAACTCTGTTCATTCTTCAGCATAGATGACAATAACATCCATCCAGGCACTTTAAAAGTCCAAGGAGAAGAAAGGGGATGGAAAACAGTCTTTTAAGCCACAAAGAGCCGAAGCACGTTGGTACATCGTGCCCCTTCACTACACCATGAACTGGGTGTATCCCTCGGCTCCGGTGACAATCACATCCATCCAGATCCTCATGGCCTCAGGAGAGGGAGCAACCATGTAGTAGACTCTGTCGTGAGTCTTCACACTGAAGGTCAGGGAGGGGTTTGGGCTCTGAAGGAGAGATAGGGAGGAGACAGATTTATTTATATTTTTAAAAATGAGAACATTAAATTAGAAGATAAACACCACCCCCCCCCCCACACACACCACACACACACACACACACACACACACACACACACACACACACACACACACACACACACACACACACACACACACACACACACACACGTAAACACATACCTTATGTGCATTCTTCAGGTGATCATAATATACTTCTTCAATAGCTTGGAAGTAGATAACTCCTTTCAGCTTGGCTTCATGCTTATCTGCAGAAGATATAAAAGTAGCTATTAATATTATATATATAAAAATTTTTTTTTAAAATACAACATTTTAAAATCAACTTAAATATATATGTAAGATACATGTGTGTGCACTGCGCCATCTATGTGGATGCTCTGTACACCTATTCACAGTTGTCTGTGCATTTGCATGCTTCTGTCGCAGTTTTATTCTGCCCTACCTGCATAGTAGGAGAGCGTGCGTCGGTTGCGGTCAAAGACGAACCAACGTTTCTTCCAAGTTTTGATTTTGCCTCCCATTTTGATCAAGTAGCCACGGCAGGTTTTTTCCGAGATGGACAAGTGGAAGCATGTGTCTGCGCTGTGGCCCGCAGACTCGATGTGAGCCCGTAGGTCAAAATCGTCCTTTCTCACAGGCAGGTACCGCGTCAGTGGCCGGGACTGGAGAGAGAAATGAGTGAACGGGTTCATTGAGAAGGAGAGGAAATGTATTTATAATTTCTTCTTTGTTTCTATAATCATGCAGATGTATATCATATGTTAAGAAAGATTAAAGATTCTTTCTTCTGCTGCCAACAGTTGATGGCCCAGGCAAGAGAACAAAAGATGATGGATTAAGCTTATACTGAGAACTGTCAGCACGGACATGATTGAAACCATGCAGAAAAAGGGAATTATGCATGAAACACACAAAAACAAGATGGAATGCTTTGTGAAAAAAGTAAAATGTTAATTCCCTATAAAGGTGACATTGAGTTCAAAATGATCTTTTGGATAAAAATGATCCCGTAACAAATTGTTCTTACTGTTGAAGAAAGTTTTTTTTCCGTCTTACCTGCGCCCTCTGTTTTTCTCGCATTTTCACCTCGCGGTCAATGAGTTTCTGGCGTCTGTTTGTCTCCTCCTGTAGCCTCTTCTCCAGATCCTCCCTTCTCCTCCGCTCCTCCTCCAGTGCCTGCTTTCGCATGTCCATCTCTCGCTCCTGAAGAATCAATAAAAATGTTACAAAGTTTTAAAACACACACACACACACACATTCATAGAAATGGGGAAAAAATTGTGTTTTATTAAAATGACACTTTTACCAGGTAGCGTTTTTTGTAGTGTATTTAGGGATTTATTACAAAGGCAAATAACACAACACCACTTATACATTTATTTGGCCAGTCTCTACCATTACTGTAAACCAGTGAAAACAACAGAATAAAATCAGTGTAATTATGATTTTATTACGTACTGACCTTGTGTTCGATGAGGCTTCTCTTCTCTGCCTGGGCTTCTCTCAGCAGACGCTCCATCTCCTCTAGCTTGGCCACATTTGAAGTGCTGGCACTGCAGCACACAAACACATGCAACACGCACATCAGAAGAAAGAAAAAGCAGACACAACTAATCTGTGCACTGAACCTGAAATATACTGAAAATTGAATGATACTGAACAGCTAGTGAATGTACAGATATACTTAGTGTGGTGCTAAAGCTATTGCTGAGATGGTGGCGTATATTATCGTTATGCAAGACTAAGGATAGTAACAGAAAAAACATGCACACAGTCGTGTTCTGTTTCGCATTCCAACAAAAAGGCTACACTCTCCTGAGAATACTCCTGATTATACACTGTTTATGCAAGTGTGTGTGTGTGTGTGTGTGTGTGTGTGTGTGTGTGTGTCGAATCAGAGAGGAAATGCAGTAGGAAAGGAGGCCCACTGAAGGATCGGACCATCTCTCTTTCCTCCCTCTTGATCTTCCCGACTCTCTGCTGTGTCACTGCCTGTCTTCAGATTAGAACAGTAGGCCCAGTCTAGCTTCAGGTCTTACAGACTGCAGATGGTTTACACATGCTATGCATTCTTGACTGACATCACAGGGAAGGGATTTGTGTATATGTTTGTCATGTTAAACAGTATTTCCTCTCTCTCGCTCATTTTCTTGCTCAGCTTTCCTTTCTTTCTCTGTGACATGCAAACACACGCAAATTCTCTCTGATCCCGAGCCAGAAGGAAATGGATACCCAGCGTTGATCCGTGATGATGTCACAACATTGTTAAGATGAATGGTACACATCAGACTCAGTCTAAACAAATCAGGAAGGAAGGGAGGGTGAGAGAGAGAAGTAAGGTACCCAGAGTAATTAAAAAGAGAATTAGAAAGGATTGGGAGGGAGGGTATGAAAAGATGAAAAAAGAAGAGAACGCGGAGGAAAGAGAGTGCTTTCCCGCTCTCCGGTATTTTTTCAAAATCACTTGCGAGTCTGATGTAAAATAAACACAGCTCTCACTTCATATTCTGCCATAGTTTTAACTGCATGCAGCCAATTTACATACCAGCAAACACTCTTACAGTAGTGGCCATGTTCTTAATTATTCTCTTTGAACTATAAAAACTAGGCAAGAGATAAAAAATAATTAACATGCCATCAGAGACTCTAACTAATCTTACATCACGCTGTTTCCCTGTCATTACTACACTTAATTAAGCCTAGCTTCATCCTTATTGTAACATCCATCCATCTCTCTCTTCCTCCCATCCCGTTGCCATTCTCTTACCTCAATCGATGAGAGGGAATCGCACTCATAGTCATTGTCCAGTTCAAATATATTTATTCAAGTACGTGGATTACTCGAGAAGAACTTTATTTATCTTGTTCAAACACTTCTGCCTCTAGAAAACATGACACATCACTGACAAGATGACGAAAAAAAAAAAAAATCCAGTTCTATCATGAAACTACTTTTTTTTCCAGCACCGATCCAGGTTCCACCACACACGTCTTCCTATCCAATCTGAGCCAGTACCAAACAATCCAACTGGATCCATACTGAGGATCACAGAGGCAGCCTGTTCCAGGAAAACTCAGCACTGCAGAGAGGTCAATCTGCAAATGGTTTGGGACTGTGCAAAATGTATCAGCAGAAACAAGACCATACCATTCAGAGAAACAAGAGGAGGGGAGACAAAAGACAGATGCAACCACTGTAAAAAGGGGAGACGGAAAGCAAGCACACATGGTTTTAGTCCGGACGGGGGGTGGACCCCCAAAGTACCTCCATACTCATACTGCTTTGCTCAGTTCATCTGAACCTGAGGGGGTTGACTGTGAACGTGAACACACACACACACACACACACACACACACACACACACACACACACACACACACACACACACACACACACACACACACACACACACACACACACACACACACACACACACACCTTCCGTAACTTGACCCCTAGAACACTAATCAAGAGTCCCCCTTAACTCATATAACGCACATACACACACACATACTTCTACACATCTTATTCTTCAAGGGGGGGACCATGAAAGGCAGGAAACACACTTTTTACATTAACTCACTTTCTACTCTTTCTTTGTTGCTCCCCCCCACTCGTCCCGTTTCCTTCCCACAGTCAGTGTTTTATATTATGAACACAAAGAGACATTTCTATGTTTTCAAGCTTTCAAATGTCTCTTGGCATATTTCAACTTTTCAACCTTCATTCACTTCTTTCTTGGTCTGTCAGTTTGCTCTCAGTCTTTTTTTCAAATCATTCTAAAGTGATTAAAAGTAGCAGTAAGTACTATTCATCAGGACATTCTTCAGATAGAAATATTCATGGTAAACAAATTGTACACCGCTTACATACACTTAAGTACTCCCTTACCTGGAGACATTGTCAGGTGAGCAAGCAGAGATGCTGGTTTCGATGGAGTCGGTACTATCCACGCTCATTGTGTCAAACGCTTGGTTGTCACGGTACCCAAAGGCATCGAGGTAGACATTGGTCTGGGAAGCTGTTCGGGAGCTGGGCTGACCTGGAAACACACGCACACACAGAAAGAGAAAAGAAAACAGCTTCAGTAGGTACTAACATGACTTATTCTTCCTTTGCATGCATGCACACGTGCTGTACCTGCTGTCTGCGTCACGCCATCTGGGACAACAGTTTGCCCAGGTGGCTTCAATTTTGGATCACAAATCCCCGCCACTGTGGAATGCTCTTATACGTTCAGTGAAAAATAAATCCACACCTGTAACTATATACTACTACGTGTCCAGATAGTAGAGCTCTCAAACAAAAAACTGTCTGCTAGACTAGTACATGCAGTACAACAGAGTCCTAAAAGCAGCTTAGGCCGTCCAAAGATGTCCTCAAAAGTAGAAGGAGGAATGTTGACTGAATTATGGTGCAGATACTTAACAGAGAGACTAACTCAGCCACTTGGTACAGGAAGAAAAACCTGATACCATCTGCCCCATGCAGCAGACCCACCCATCTGATGAGCCAGATCAAGGGACCAAAGGGACTGAGGGACCAGATACATGTGCCCGTGTCCGGAAAAACAGCAGTACTATTATGACACAAGGCACACAGTACTCAGAATATGAATTTTACAGCAATGAAACAATGCAAATGCTTAGTCTGCACATAAGCCATAATACACTTTAATTCAAAATTCTAACACCATGTTCACGTCAAACTTCAGGTAACGGACCATCCTTCATCTTTCAGCAGCTAAATTGTACAGCACTGACATAGGCAAGGATAAAACTGTGGTGAGTGAACAGCAGATATTCTTAATGATGTAAAATAGCTGGTTAAAGTTTGTGACAGTAAGTTGACTTAGAATAAATTGTGGCTATTTTTGGAAACAGACAAAACTTTTACCAATGTACCAATTTTCAACTTGTTTATACTTAACCGAGCACCCACCCACCCCCCCCCCCCCCCACCCACACACACACACACACACACACACACACACACACACACACACAATACCCTCCTCCACTTACGTTCCTGCACTACTCCCACTGCCAGATACACAAATGAGAAACTTTGTACTCAAACAAAACACACAAAAAAAGCACACCACCGCACAAAACCTCCAACAAGGATAGAAGTTACCATGAGGTGTATTTTCAGATGACAACCCAGAGACGAGTGTATTTGTTTGTACCTTTATGCAGACGTCGAGATTCAGTTTCCTTATTGGATAAGGACAGGATTCTTGGAAGAATGCTGCCACAACTTGTGCTTTGTACCAGGGGCTGATGGGACTATAAACAACCAAGAAGAGACAAAATCTTGTTACTTCCATGTGTCAGTAATTAATAATCGGACTTGCATCTTCAAAATTACACAATGTACACAGTAGAAAGAAAAAGGAAATGATTTGTATTGATTGGCCTCATTAATGCATACATCTACGTGTGTGTACCTTGTTAGGGTAGCTGCGTCCCAGCGTTGCACACGTGAACTGGGGGGTCATGGTGGGTGTGGTTTTCTTCCTGGGTAATGTGTCACTTAGATGGGAGCCGCCTTCTTTCTCAGACCTCTTCCTCTCTTCCAGCAAACGGAAATGCTGATCAACACACACACACACACACACACACACACACACACACACACACACACACACACACACACACACACACACACACACACACACACACACACACACACACACACACACACACACACCAGAGGGAAGGGGTATACACGGTTAACTGATTATTGATTATTCATTATAAATCATTTTAAGTCATATAACGCTATCCCACTTCTTTAGAGGAGTAATGTAATGACTGAAGTTTTGAAGTTCCTATGTGTGGGACTTTGAATTAATACTAATTTATTAATATATTATTTATTATAATCAACTTTAATCAATCAAAGCAATTGTGCAAAATGTGCATCTGGATCAACACACAGTTGCTGATACACACAGACACACACACATTACCTGCCTGTGTCGGTGATGGTGTTTTTTGACAGGAAGGGGAGGTGGGGGAGAGTCAGGGAGGGGAGAGGGGTCTCGATATGACACCATGTTCTCTGGCCAGTGCACAGAGGGTGGTTTGGGGAGGGGGCGGGGATTTAGATGGGAGGAGGAAGAAGAGGAGGAAGATGAGTGACAGTCGGCAGGGGAGGAAGAATGACAGAGCTTTGAAAAGAAGAAAGGAACATTTGTCAGAAAATTAAAATGGTGCGAAAAGAAGAATCAGGAAGGGAAATTGGGAAAAATAACACTCTAATACACACAAACAAACACACGTACACACAATTTGCATCATCTGCGTCTGCGTGCTAAACTACACGCGCTGAACACCACTACACACACCTCATCCTCTGGTGGTTTGGGGGTGTCGCCGTCAGGGGAGGGGTTTGCCACAGACTCAGGAAAGGCATTGGCCAGAGTGGAGCGAGGGGCGGGTTTAGGGTCCCCCCCAAGCTGTGAGTAAAGCTCATTGATTTCACTGACTGTGACATAGCCCTGGAAAGTATCATGTAGAGAAACGGGGAGAGAAGGGGTGAGGCATAGCATGAAGTGAGTCAGCCCTATTAAGATGTTATGACAAACTTTTAGAATTAGTTGTTAGAATGATGCAGAATTTGGTGATTTCCGCACTTTCAAAGCAAACACGTCTTCACTTATAAACAAGTTAGACACTGCGATGTTAACATGAATTGAGTGGTGTACACGAGACAACAGACATTCTTACAAGGTTACCTTAGTATTAATATATTTGAGTATAAGCTGTGCACAGAATTAATGAAATAGGTCTCAGATTCCTGTAATTTCTTCCATTCCTGTATTGCAAAGAGTGGCAGGGGGAAAAAGAGGCAACCGGAAGGAAAGGAGGAACGAAGGACAGGGAGGAAAGATGAGATGGATTTAAACAGACTATCTGGACAAAGAGGAAAAAAAGACAGAGATATATTAGTAAAACAAGACAAAAGTACCTCAGCATTCTTGAGAAAAATAGAGGAAAGGAGGGATGAGAGGGCACAAAAGTCGACTGGAGGAGGAGAAAGTATGGCTGAGGTGTTGCCGCGGCAACAATCAGTGAAAGACTGACAGACATCAGCCAGAGAGGCTGTATCCTAGCAAACAGAGAAGGAAACCCCAAAGATTAAACATAATGAGGTGGTAATGGTCCTGGCCACTTTAAGAGTTAAGGAGTTTGATAGTTCGATAGAAGGGTAGTTCTCATTTTCTTGCCTGACAGATCAAACTTACCTCCCTTAGGGTGAAACCCCGGCCACCAGTGAGGTCAGCATATTTTCTTTCCAGTGTGGTGAGGTTTTCTTTCTCCTAGCAGACAGAAAAAGAAAAAAAGGAAATGGAAAACAATGTTAAATACACATTTTCTTTCATACACAGAAGCAAGGATGGTCACATGCAAATATTGATATCCTCTTACTCTTTGCAGCATTGCTTCAAGGGTGCTCCTCTCCTTCAAAAAGCTCTCCTTCTCTCGCTGAGCCTGCTGGGTAATCTGTGTTGCCTGCTTCTTCAGCGTTAACAGTCGCTCCTGAAGGAAAAGCAAAACAAGCCTGTTGCATGTTTCCAGCTCACTTATAGAGCATGATGGTACCAAAGCAACTAAACAAAATAAGTTTGTTTCACCATGAAGCTCTTAGGATACACAAATATATATATATATAAATATATAATATATTGCTATGGTCTTGTTTTGGATTTGAACTCAAAATCTAATATTGTGATATTGCACTTCTATTGCATACATTTTCCCCCTTGGTTTGACTCATAAAACATGCAAACAGATAGCCGTTACCTTGCGAGTGACACTGCTGCGCTGGTAGTCCGCGATCTCCCGGAGGAGCTGTTGAGTATGGGTCTCCTTTTCCTCGTCCTGCCTGCTCTCTCGCTCTAGTTGCTGGAACTCCAGGTCCTCGAAGCGCTTCGTCTCCATCTCGAGCACCTCGCAGTCCTGACACACAAACACACCCCAGGAATAATGCACAGGTAAACAGACAGGACAAAGGAATGCATGTGTACAGGACAAATGTAACTACACATACACTTGACTTAACACAGACTTTATAGCACATACACTTCAGAAAACATGCAAGATGCAGACACAAAAGGTAAAAAGTACCAGTATACAAGACCGAAGGATTTGTACTCACAACCTACACAGGGAATGTATTGCAGTTAAATGCATGCAAATACATCGGTCTAATAAAAAGTTTAACGATGGACTGTAGCCCTGCGGACTGGAGTAGTACTGAAGCAGTAATATATCAGGTTACATGTTTCAGACACATTGTGAACACCTGACTGATGCTTTATTGATCAAGCAATTTAACATATCATGGAAATAATTTAATGAATGAAGTGTATATGCAAGTGTTTATGCCACACAAGAAGCTGAAACCCTTGACCCACTATTTCAAAGTTTTAGTGATGCAAATCTTTCCCAGTATGTCAAAAATATTGTGAAAACGTGACACAATACACTGACACGAAGCAAATCAGACACACAAATCCCTAATGTTTTGTCAGCGCTTAACAGTCATGCAGACTACTACACCAAAGCATAACCAGCATCTGACAACACATGCAACATGTTGCATACTGTAGGCATTCCCCCAAAATACAGAAATCAATATAACTGTTATGTGAGAGGAAACCAGAGCACCTGGAGAAAACCCATGCAGGTTAGGTTCATTTCATGTCTCAAGTGAATGTGAGTGTGAAAGGTTGTCTGTGTGTGTGTGACAGTGTAAGCCCTGTGATTGATTGGCAACCTGTCCAGGGTGTACAACGTCAGCTGGGATCCAGCCCCCTGTGACTCTCTGAAGGATAGGTGAATATAGCTAATGGATGGATGGATATTGTTATGTGTCAAACACAAAGGTTTCCATAATAGTCAAACATGTCTTCAAGCCAAACTCTTGGGATACTCTTACAGGCTCAACCCTTCTGATGAAATGAAGAGATGTGTAGACATAGAGAGCTAGAGTTAGACATAGAGAACAGAGAACATGAACTGGGTAAAGATCAAAGATGGCTATGGGGCGGAGAGCAAGTTAGCTCAGGAAAGAAAATGTGTGCATGTTCACATGCAAGTCCAAGTATAGGGTGTGTTTATGTGAACACCTGTCCACATATACTGTATTTTTGAGTGTCAATATGCATATCTGCTTTTGTTATGAGCTTCCTCTATCAGTGTATGCATGCACAATTGTCGCATTTCCCATTTATTTACAGTATTCTTGCTTCTATGCTCGTCTATGTGTTGCATTTTGTCTGCATGGATACACACTCGAGTACAGACTGTATCTTCCTGTGCATGTGTTTGTGAGGTGCGAGTGTGTGTGTGTGTACTGACCCTGGCCAGCTGCTCCTGCAGGGGCTCCTTGGTGGCCTCAGGGCAGCTGTCCAGCTGGGAGCGCTGCTCACACACAATCTGAGCCAACCTCTCTACTCTGCCCCTTTCTGCCTGCAGCAACTCACACGCCTGGCATACACACATGTACATACACAAAGACGCGCATACGTGCCCGCACAAACACGCATGTACACATTTGTTTATGTGTACACACAAACAAAGAGACACACACATGCACACAAGCACACACACGGGACAGAGAGGATGGCAGCGTTAGTGGGACTGGGGAGCCACAGTTAGTCACTACGGCGACCAGGTCAGCAAGATTAGCTTGGGGGAAGGGGGGAGGGGGAAAGCTGGAGGGAAAAAAAAATCTACCAAAGGGATGGAGAACTGGAGAGGAACTGAGTAGAAATTGAGGCATGAAGGTAGTATGAATAGTGTCATGAGTTACTTCTCCTGCCTTTTGTCTTCTGTTTGTTTGAATGGAAATGAATGAGGGAATGGGTGAAAAGGAATGGCTCAGTAGATTAATGGTCCTCTCTATAAATACCACAACATATACAGGCGCCCAAAATCTCTACAAGCAGTCATCCTCAACTACTCTTCAACAGACATTTTGAACACTCAGGGCAACACTTCCCTCTGTCTCACGCAGTATCATGATGATGTTTTGTATCATCTACGGTTTCTGCCTGCTGTGGGCGGTCCATGGAAATCTCATAATCAGGCTGGGACTCCAACAGGGGAGAACATCCCAATACCAAGCCAAAGCATGTGCACGCAAACACACACGGCCAATTCAATCCGTTTATCCACTTACGCATCCCACCCTGTCAATGATACCAGATAGTGGTATAAATGTAGAAACACGCACACACACACACACACACACACACACACACACACACACACACACACACAGACTTGGACACAGACACACACACACACAGACACACACACAGACACACACACAGACACACACACAGACAGACCACAGTCCTCCCGCAGGAGTGTGTGTAAGATGGGATCACTTGGTGACCGCTATACCCCGGGCAGCATTAACAGATATATATTTGGACCAGAGACAGCATGAGAAGGCTTATCACCTACCAGTTAGTCACATGACCCCTACATGTATGAGAGTCTCGCAGCAGTGTATGCATTTTTAAAACCACATGCACACATACACCTTTGGAAGGGAAAGGCAGGTTGCTGATTAAAACCCATGTTTTCTGTACATGTTTGAGGACGAAACACTACACTATGGTTCTCCTCTCTGCCTGATACCACTGTCACTTACCAGGCCCTCAAAGAAATTAAATTTGAAGAAGATGCATCCTTTAACGTCTGGGACTAATTTTAACTCTTTTAACCCACCATTGTGTTAACAGGCATTATGAATCTCTGAGTTTCCCTCTTCCTCTCACTGTTTTATAATGAAGCGTAGTCTGTTGAATACCTTTTCTTTTTCCTGCTGGGACTTGGTCTCTAGGTCAGCCATCTTGTTGTGAAGTGTTTCCAGGGTATCTTTTTCCTGCTGGAGAGCAGCTACCTCTGACTCCATCTCAGCCTCCACAAGAGCTCGCTCAACCTCCACCTTAGATAAACACACACCAATAATTAAGTCATTGTAGTGATTCTGGGTCTCTCTGGTTCTTTTTCTGAACAGAAGTGATTTTAAATTCTCGTTTTATCCTTACCGTTATTAAAACCTGTAACCATAACACTACCTATTAAGGTGTGATTTTCACCTACAAAATGTGTTACTGAATTAAAAAAAAAGGCATAATTCTTTACTTCTCTTTAAAAATATGACTTCTAGAATTAATATTAAACTATGAATTGTTAATATTTTAACATTGTGTCTTCTCTTTACCTCTCGGGCAGATTCCTCCACTTGGTTGTCCAGCTCTTTGATCTTTTGCTCCAGCTCCTCCATGTTGTTCAGGACCTGGATCCTCTCCTCTTCCACACGCCTCACTTCCTCCTCCGAGGGCCTCATTTCCAGTCCTCGGCGACGAGCTGCATCATCTAGAGCCTGGTAGCAGCATCATCAACACAGTCACAGATTGAACCATTGTTAAGATGTAGTTAAAACTTAAATTGGGGGTTAACTTCCATCACTTGTGCCTTGCTAGACATGCTTATGGGGGAAAACATCTAAATTTAATATTACAGCTAAATAATATTTGCATGTGTCCGAGTTATTTTACAAAAACAAAATGTGAGCAGACACAAGCACACATACACCCACACACAAACACCAGCTGTCAATTCTAAATGGTAACACTTAGCCTGCTATAATCTAATAAATGGACTGTAAATATCTCCCATCTGTGTGTGTGAAGGATGTGTATGTCGATACTTCTCGAGTATTAGGAGGAGTAATCTTTGTCACTCTCATGTTTTCCAGACAGAACAGGGAGCATAAACACTTCCCACATTAATGCTGATTAATCTTTACAAAGCTGACCGAAGTCAAAAGGTGCTACGTTAGCAGTCAATTTTCACGTGTGTATGATGCTGAAGATTGAGATATGATCATTTTTATATTATTATTTTATTATTATTATTATATACTTTTTTTAATGAGTAATGTGGTCTATTGAAATTAATTTTAATTAATGTCCCAACCCTAAAAGAAATACATGCATGTTTTATCTATGTGCATTTAAAGTGGTAAAGTGACTTTTTTCTTGACAACAGCTTAAGATTTTACATTAGTATGAGAACCTCATGTGAACATATAATAAATATCATATCTCTTGTACCTCATTGGTCCTCTGTGTGCGTGGAGAAGGTGAGGGAGCGTAGCTTCGCAGACTGACAGTGGGTGATTCTGCCCTGTTGTCTCGGTGACCGCTGCTGCGTCTCCGTCGTACCTGTAGATCATCATCATAGTAGCCATTCTCTGATCTAGGGGAGGCCATGTGTCCATTAACAGCTGAAGAGTCCGAAAAGACAGATGGCATGTCGTCGTCATCATCGTCGTCGTTCAGCTGAAGCTTCTCAAGCTCCTGGTTGATCTTTTGGAGATCTGCCACAGCGGAAGTGGGACTTGTTGTTGGGCTACCTCCATCTCTCTCAGCCCGGCCCAGCTCCGAACACAGAGACAAGATGGTCTCTAGCCTCTGTCGCTCCTGAGATGAGCACACACATATAGACAAACACATACATAAGTGTGAGTACATGTAGTGGTGGCATACTTTACGATGCTGTCTAGAGTAGGTTATTTAAAAAGTGCAGTTTTGACTGAATAGGTATTAAGTTGTCCATTTTGGTCTAAACTCAGTCTGTCAACTGCCTCTTACCCACAGCACAAATAAATCATAACTGTATGTTATCAAATAGCACACCTTTTTATAAAGCCCTATAGTGGTGCAGATATGTGCACTGAATATATAACATTACATGGTGAGATACATTAAACAGACGACTAACAGACGTTAGTCAGACGTTAACTATCAAAACCAGTTTGTCGTCATATTGATTCTGACATTTTATTTCCTCACATACATGCACGTGTTAGTTCACAATTAGTTCAAATAAATGCACAAATTGAATGTTCTGATATATTCCATACTAGAGACAAAAGGTCACAACAGCCCAGCTAGTATTATTTCTTTCCATTACAAAATCAAGTTTCCAATGCTCAGGTTACCTGGGGAAGCATCGCAGAAGTCAATCCCTCGAGTTAAAATGTCTTTGCTTAGTCCGAAAGACTCTCAGTACCATTCTCTCTTGTATGTCAATTACAAACTCTAGTTTAATATATTATTTGCATACTCTAGAAAGAATATTTCTTCTCACTGGGAATTCCTGGAGTAAGAGTTCCGCTCGCCGCAGTTCTGCCTGCCTGCGCACAGCTATATGGGGAGCTATGGAGGCATTTTGGAGTCAAAATACCGCCCCCCCCCCCAGGTTCAGCAGTAACTGCTATGGAGTGAGAAGTATGTAAGCCACACAGCAGGCCTGTGTAAGTAATATTAGAGACGGAAAGGATGTTAGAAAAAAAAGAACGTGGGATGGAGGTGTGTGTATGTGTGTGTGAGAAAGAGAGATACAGAGTGAGAGTGTAAGCTAATGAGACGGTAGACAGCTGTCAACTATGATTGGAAGTGTGCACGAGAACAGGCCATGACTTCAGAGACAGGAATGTGTCTGTGTGTACTGCCACTAAGAAAACAAGACACTTTCCAGGGAATTGTGCTCTAGGAAGGAAACTGAACCAGGTGAAGGACTATGAAAGTCTTGAGACAGTCATATATCTGTTTAGAAAGGCCGGAGAGAGACACATTATTTAGGGAAAGCATAATAGCACTACACATTGCTTAATATTTCTATCTATTATTTAGAAATGAATTATGAAAAGGAAATGTATTCACATCAATATACATAATTAATCACACTCATTATTTACGCTTGTATTTATGTGTGTGAATGCACACAAACAAATACACACCCCATTTATAGTGCGTAATGTGAACCAGGAGCTGAGGCTAAACAAGCCTGTGTCAGTTTGTCACCTTGTTCTATTCTAATGGACACAAAGCCTCTGTGGAGCCCTTATAGTAATCAGCTGTTAACTAGAGAGAGACAGGCGGAAAGAGAGACAGAGACAGGAAGAGGCACTGAAAGAACGCAGCCAGCACAGAAGAAAAGATGGAGAGAAAGGCAGAGAGAAAACCAAAGACAGGGTTGTAATGGTAATGGAAAATCTTTCCCTTGCCTTGAGCTAAGATAGACATTTATCTCACTCCTGTCTCCCGTTCTCCCTCTCTGTCTCCTTTTATTCCTCATGATTACTCCTCTGTGCTCTCTTATCTTATCACTCATTCCGGTTCTGCTGTCATTTTAATTCTTTAAATTCCAAACTTTTTACGTTAACAAGACAAGCTACTTCACTAAATGCCAACTTGTTAATATGGACTGATGGAAAATAATAACCTAACCTATTGTCTTTTTGGTTTTTCTTCACTTTGTTGCTGGTAACATACCCAAATGTCTGTTTACGCTCAACGCTTTAGCATGGATGGAATGCAGTTCTCCTGTACAACCACTAGAGGGCAGACAAAGTTAAGACAATGCTTTCCTGAGCTTGAGCCTTGGACCCATAGATACCTCCTAGTGGCTTGGCTATAATGCCCAGCTAGAAGCAGTTCATTGTTTTATTATTCAGTTATTATTTAAAACATATTTAAACAAACAAACAAACAATATATATATATATATATATATATATATATATATATATATATATATATATATATATAAAATACATAATACATACATACATACATACATACATACATACACACACACACACACACACAAACATATTTTTATTATAGAAGCCTAATTCACTGTTTGATTGAGCAACAACTAAAACAAATTGGTAGTAAATGAAACCACGTCAAATACATGTTGTGTTTGTGTTGTATTTGATGTGGTTTCATTTACTACCAATTTGTTGGGTTAAATACATTTTCCATCTTGATAGTGGCTCTCTGATCAGAGCACAAGAGGCAGGTCCACAATATTCCGTCTTGCAAATTAAACTACATTGCAAAATATCTGGAGGCTTGCTGAAAGCCACTGTGAGGCTTGTGTAACAGTTTGGTTTGTACATCGCCCATAAAATTATTTCTCACAGTTAAAGAGACAGCCATTTATTGGCTGTGTGAAAGAGAGAGGAAAATGAAAAGAGAAGGATAGTGGGACTAGGAGTCCAGTTGTCATTATATGTTGAGCATCTGTGTGTTTATCCACCTGCTACACTATACCACTGCCCTCTAATCTTCTTGGTTCCTCTAACCCACATCTGCCTGATGTGTTCTGTGGCTCTTCAGTGGTCCAAACCGCACTGGGCGGACCTCCAGATGACTGACATAAACACGCACCACACATACACAAACACACACAATCCAAGCGTGGGGTTAAGAATAGTTATGTTAGTATGGGCTAACTGCCAGAGGCATCCGTGTAATGGTGAACCTCACTTTCTGTGTGTGTGTGTGTGTTTGTGTGTAGAGAGGACATGGAGGAGGTTGGCGTGAAGGGAGGCATTCCTATACTCATTCCATTTGTTGTGTGTCTTTATGTGATTGCATATGTATGCAATACAATAGCAATGGTCACTGCAAATTTAAACGTATATCCCTGTCTGCTTTCAGCCATCTTAACAGCAACAAACTGATCACCTGTCTATAGTCTGCACATCTGTAAGCATAACTAATTTGCACATTACCCCACAGGTCATATCTACACATCAGTGTCATTTTATCCCAATGGCTTGACTGACTAATGACTTATGTTGGTATAATTTGAATTAACAGATTTTGGGGAGAGGGGGGGGGGGAATGATGTCCTCTGTTTAAACAAGCTGTGCAAACACACTCAAACTCACCAGTCTCTCCACCTCCTGCTCACGGAGTCTCTCCTCTTTTTGGCGATGGTGGTAGTCGGTCAGCTCCTCCTTCCCACTCAGGGAGCTGATACTGCCCCTTCTTTCCCTGAAACCCCCTGGTGGGGTCATGCCTGCCTTTCCAAATGATGCCCTCCTCTCGCCCAGCCCCATTCCAGCTTCCAGCCCTGCCTTCCCAAAGGAAGACCTTCTCTCTCCAAGGCCCATCCCAGGGGCACCAGTGAGTTCTGGGCCTACCCCTCGCCTCTCCCCCAAATACAGATCCACTCCTGGGGAGACTCCACGGCTGGTCAGCCGTTCTAGTTCTGGAGGGCTGGAACCTGTGGAGCTGATGGATCCCACAGAGCTAGTGGAGGTCAGGCTGAGTTTTTTGGCCACACGAGGAGAAGAAGAGCCCCCCGCCCTGGATGGGATGGTCACGTCAGGTGGAGCAGTTGTGGAAGAGACGGGGGTGGTGGAGGGCAACTTAGGGGTAGAGAGGGAGATAGACACAACACCTTCTCCCTGAGTTGTGGACTGGATTTGATTCCTGATGGAGGAAAGCTGGCTGGAGTTACTTGACTTGTGGTTGAGGTCAGGGCTGGCATTCTGGCTGTTGTTGTAATGGTCTTTGCTGAATTTGTAACCCCCAGCAACATCAGATCGCCGTGGGGGCAGCGTTGACAAGGTCAGTCCACCGTTGTTGTTGTCACGGGGAGATGGAGAGGGGCAGAGGCGTGGCAGAGAGCGACTGTGCCCTCCTCCCATCATCCCAGTCATCGACCCTGCTGAGTATTTCCTGGTTCGACTGCTGGGCGATGGCTCTTGGTTGCCATAGCTACGTCGGCCAAGACGGGGACTTGAGGGCATGCTCGCCGCACCTCCTGTTGATGGAGTGCGGGATGAGACGGAGGAGGGAGGAATAGAGAGGTGGAGGCTATTGCTGCCATCAACGGAAATCGAAGAGCCTCCGCCGTTCCACGTGGACAGTAAAGTAGAGGAGCCTGGGTTGTGAGGCCGCCTGCTATCACTGACGCCGAAGTTGTCCTGGTTACGACCCATGGATGTGCGAGAGCCCAGAGAAGAGGAAGGGTCGGATCGCCGTCCCGGGGAAAGAGGGGAAGCAGATTTCAAAGACATGGGCGGACGATCTGTGCCATAGAAACGCCTTGCCTGTTCCTGATAGGCTGATGAGGATGTGGCAGGACTCGTGATAGGTGTGGTGGGTGGAGACTGAAACAAAGAATGGAAAAAAATAAGAAAATTGGAAATGCTTGGAAATCCCATCTTATTGTAATATCTAATGCATAAATATGAAAGAGATGAAGAGATATACATAACAGATAATTATAGGCTTTAGTATGTGAGCAGTCTTCTACTTACAAACAAGAGTAATGAGCAAATCTCGTTGAACACTGTAGTAGCCCAGCATAATGGGTGAGCCCTGGTTAGCCACGTTTGGGCTTGTCGATAATGAGTAAACCCCGGTTAGCCATATTAAGCCCACGACAAACATCCAGGCTAACCATACAGATTCTACAAGCCCTGTTAGAGCATGTTAGAGAAAGACGAAAAATAAATCCCAAAGCGAAGCTAAATGATGGCTGACCTGTGTCACGCTGAAGTAGGAGGGGTTAGCATTCCCATTGGCTCTCAGGCTGTTCTCCAGGGCAATCTTCTTGCGCTGCAGAGTGTCCATCAAATCCCGGAGCTCGGAGGCCGATCGCATGCCCCTAGCACTGCTGGTGCCGCCCACCACCGCATGGCTATAGTCACTGCTAAACTTCAGGTAGTCTGGAGGTGGGAGAGAGAGAACATGGAAAATTAAATGGATATTACGGAAGAGTATAGATATATATGCACAAATGCAGGTGAACAAGATATAAATAGGGAAACAAAGAGGAATATGAAGGGAACTGCGTGTAAAGAGGAAGAAAAAAACAAAAGGGGAGATACAAAAAGAGAAAAGCAGCATGACTGGGATAAGTTATATAGATGTATACATGTATGTGTATATAACACATGGATGGAAAAAATTGGAAAAAAGAAAATAATGGAGTAGAAGGAAAAGAGGGAAAGGAAAATATATCATAAATGTCATAAATGGTGGCAGAAGAGAGAGAGAGAGAGAGAGAGAGAGAGATTGTGTATGTACCTGAAGTTGCAGCTATTCATAGATGGGGTCCTTGGCAGGACAAACCCAACCCAAACAATCCACAACTGGCAGTGAATAACCAAGAATAGGCTTACACTCACACTCCACACACACACACACACACACTCACACACACACACACACACACACACACACACACACACACACACACAACCATCCATTAGATCCAAGACAAACATTTTAACTCTAACTGGAGTTCAGTTCCTTAGAGTAGGATTTGGGGAAATGAAAAAAACCACAAAATATTCTGGAATACCCTCAAGAGGCCCCCCGCCCTAACTAAAGCCTTTTATTTAAGGCAGTTTCAGCAGTGAGGGGGTCTTTTTTCCAAACCTCAACATAGTCGGTTTGTACTTCCTTCCTGCTGAATCTTCCTAAATCAAGTGAGCAAAAAGCTATTTTTTCACTTGATAAAACATTGTTGAGGTCAGGCGTATTTTTTTTTAATAGCACTAGTTCTGTTTCTGGGCAGAATTCCCCCAAAAAATCCTCCTGAAACATAATCCTGTCATCAGAAATACAGGTAAAAACACTGAGGCAGGAGAAAGCAATATGTCAGAAACATGCCCAGTTTTCTTTTTTATCCGTCTGTGGCTTTATGTGGAAAAGAAGCTATTACAATGTTCAAGCTTAGACCACCCAGCGTTTAACTGTCATGAACGCCCATGCACAAAAGCTTTCCTACAACTGACAACTGTGGGAGAAACACACAAATGTGTACATATGCTGAGAGTGTAAGAATATTCAACTACCGCTGTTTAGTTGAGTTATATTGTAAGAGAAACAACAGCGCACGTCATCGCTGAATATAAGCCTGTGTGAGAAAATGGCAAACCTTACATGGTGGAGAGAAATGGGGCAGAAAATTAAAGACATCATGAGATCTAGAAACACACACACACACACACACACACACACACACACACACACACACACACACACACACACTTGCAGGGTGTTTGTGTCCATACATGGGCAGATTTATACTGGAGGCCTGGCGTGCATCAACTCTGAATATTCTCCTCTATGCCCTGCTCGTTTCTCTTTGCGTGGGAGTCTTCACTTAAGGTGCAAGTGTCAGTGTGTGAGTCTTGGCAATCCAGAGGATAACGGTAAAGATTTTGGCTGCCTGTTATAGACAGTTGGCTAAGTGCGTGTGTGTAGGTGTGTGTGTGTGTGTGTGTGTGTGTGAGTGTGAGTGAGGGAGAGAGGGAGACTGAAGTCATTCTATGAAAACATCAGAGGAGCTAGGGGAGAGAGGAGTGCATTCCTTACGTCTAGGAGTTTAAAGAGCAAGGATTCCACTGATTATGGCACACACACACACACACACACACACACACACACCTTGCTCACAGCCCAATCAATCACTAAGAGTCCAGCTGTATCGCCGTGGCAACCGAGGGGCAGCAGATGACAAAAACATTCCAGTATGCTTCAAATTTAAGTTTTAGCATGTGTGTGACAGTGAGAGTGTATGTTTAGGAAAGACATATGAGAGGGCTGAAAGAAAAAACCTGTCCCCACCCTACACACACACACACACACACACACAAACTCTCGCACACCTGTCTACCTGTAACTTCATCCTGAGACCCATACCAAAGGATAGTAGCAAATATTTTCATGAGGACACTTGTTACATCAGGAGAATACCCTGATTAAGAACTATAGGAGGAGAGTAGGTGAAAAGCAGATAGACGGGGGAGGGATGTGGCAGAACAAAGGCAGAGAGGAGGAACAAAGAAAAAAGGACAGGGATCAAGTGCAGTTCATGGGTCAGGGAAGAGGGTTACCAGACCTCCTGTGCGTATGTGTGTGTGTGTGTGTGTGTGTGTGTGTACCTGTGTTGTAGGCTAAAGCGGACACAGGGCTCTTTGGTGGAAGCATGCTCTTCATTCTGCTGGCCTCCTCGGGATGGTTGAACCGGAAGAAATAGGACTTACCCAGACACAGGGAATAACCTGGAGAGCAAAAACACAGACGCACAAGGGTAAAATTAGAGAAAAAACTAATGTTTACCGAAACAGAAGGTGGGTAATCTACAATCAGGTAGAGTGTAGTGCAATCACAAGGTAATTCTAATCTTGTACTTGGCATTTGTGCGAGTGTGGCACAAACACCAGAAAACACAGAATCTTGCAGAGCACAAAACAAACTAGACAGTGGTGACATATATTAGGAATTCTATGTGTGAGGAGGCAGCCTTAAGTACAGCTTCAAATTGGTATGAGCCTGGGATATTTATTCACAGCCAGACACACACTTGCACAAGCTCATGCACAGCCAAACCATTCCAGACCACAGTGTTTGCTCTGGCCATCAATTAGGCTGAGAGGGCCAGGTATTAAACAAGATGTCAGGGTCACAACCTCTGTAATACACACAGCCAGGCACAGCTGTCCAAATACCTCTGAAGGGAAGCGAGAGACAGCAGTGCTGCTGACACACACATATAGGACATCTGATAAAGGGAAAAGAAATGAAAACACTACACTGATGCACATTTTGAGCGGACAGAGAGGACAGAAAATCACAAGACTGACTGAAAAACAAATCCCCTTCTTCATTTGTCTGACTTCTGATGCGCACATGCGACCTCTTCGCTCTCTCCATTCTTTCGACCTCCACCCCCGAGGTTAGGAGGTTCAGATAAGCATTACAGTAAACCCCCATAACGTTAGCATGTGTGTAAACGGCTAAAAAAGCACCTCCTTAATGGCTCCATTACAGTTACATCAGATTCCTTGGACCTGAAGTCAGACAACCACTGAGGCAAGAGGGGGGATAGTGAGAGGGCGAATGGAAAAAGACTGAATGGAAAAATGTCAAAACTGTTTTTCTTTCTTTTCCCTTCTCTCATTCTCATCTCTCTTTTGCCCCCTTTCTTCCTCGCTCTCCACCTAACGTCCAGTCTCACAAACATCACCCAATGAAAAGCAGTGCTAACAGCCAAATTGGAGATTACGGTTTAACTGAAAAAGGGGCCATATCTGTCTAGACATTGCCTTAGGAGATTGCCTAGAGAGCAGATTATTTTACCTTCAAAGCAGTAATTTCTCGGCACAGGGGGAGACCGGAGTGCAGTCGCGAAGTGGAGCTAACACCACACGCACAAAAACAGTGTAAGAGATGTTTAGTCTACACAGCTGGACTTTGAACTTCTCAAATACATACTCATGTAAACATGATCTTGCAGGTTTGGGCGCAAACTGTGAAGCAGCGGTATCGTGATGGACAGATCAAAAGATGTGTGTCTTGTCTTGAGTAAAAAGAGAGAGAAAAAACTCACACACACACACACACACACACACACACACACACACACACACACACACACACACACACACACACACACACACACACACACACACACACACACACACACACACACACACAGGTCACCACGAATGCTAGTGTGAGCCAGATCTAATAATATGTGTTCCTTATTGCCAGACATGAGTAATGTGTATGTATGTCTTCAAAATATTGAGCGCACTCTGTATCTGTGTGTGTGGAAACACGTCTCATAACAGTGTCTGCCTAATGACTCACAGTAACTCTCAGTATTTAGCACAACAGCAAACACACAGGCATGGACACACACACACACACGAGCACACACACTTTGCCAGCAGTCAGCTCTTGTAAAAATCTAATTTCCTACCCTCAATAGCCTCGCCATGTGCCACCTTTAAAGTGGAGGGTAAATTGTGTTGCCCTGATTTGTTCACAGCCCCCCACCTCTCCCCTCTTTCTAATTTCCTCTCAGGGCTCCTTGACTAACAAATAACTACCAGCTAATCCTTTCCTCTCTCCCATCTTCAGTAGATACTATACTAAATACTGGCAGAATGTGTGTGTTTGTGGTAGAGAAAAAAGGTGGGGAAATCCTGAAACAGCGTTTTAAAATATAAAACCTGATTATTCAACTTCCTCTTGCTCAACTCAAGGAAAGACCTAACCTTTTCCTAACTCCCTACTCCTAAACCCCATCAGTGATACGAGTACAAGGGAACACACAACATCCTTCACATCAAAAAAGTGTAATCCTAACTGCTTGCACACCAAACTAAATTTAAGTCTGCCGTCCAAAATAACTTGCTCACAAACACATGCCCACTCCCCTCCACACACACTCACACAAAGACACCATCCATAACAAAAAAAACGTTTAATCTCATTCACATGTTTACTTGTTTACCACCTAACTGAGTTTGCCTCCCATGTCGCTGAGTTTGCCTCCCCCCCCCAACGTACACATGTGGACAGACCCTCTCACAACAAAACTGGAAATTAGTCTGTATATACATTTATAGGATAATTTAAAGTTTGCGATCTACAAAGTCAGACCTCAGAGTCTTTGAGGGCACAGATGTAGGAGCCCTATCACGTCTGGAGCCAATTTCTGTTCCCATGTAGATCTGAGCGAACCAAACGACACTCTCGCCACAATGTTATGGAAGGGGAAACTCAAAACTGTTTCTCTATTTGGTTAACATAAGTGGAGGAATTGCCAAATTGAGCCCGTTAGGTTGGAATGAAAAATAAACCAATTACGAGGATCCCATGTCGATGAAACCTACCTACCTGCTGATGGTCGGTTTGACGAGCAAAGTAATCACAATCCAAAAATTTCAGAAGATCCCTAAAATAAATTATTTGAAAAACCAGTTGCCCTCAAATTATTGCTTTGACCCCTAAAATCGGCATGGTACTGAACTAAAGCTGAATTTACTCATTCATGAAAAGATGCATGCACACACAGCTCCCAGTGGGAGTGTAAATTGGCCTCAAAACCACAAATTAACCCTCTCTGGGGCCCAAGGGTCCAGCAGTAACATCATAAAAAAAACAGACTGGTCTTTCTCAGGGGGGTCGGTGCAGATTAGTTCAGTCACTTGCTCACACACAAACACGTTCATATGCATAATCTGGCTCCAAATCACAGGCTCAGTAGATATCTTCTCTCTGCTTTATCTCAAATCTCACCCATCAATCCATCGACCCCCCCACTTCTTTCAAGCGAAGGTTGCAGGCCTGGGGACAACCACCAGTATAAACTATTAACTTCCTCTAATCCATCAGAAAGAAAGGTAAACACACCACGGCACGTAAACTGATAACAAAGGCCATATTCCTTATTTATCTGATTTATAATGCAAGATTGGTTAAAAAAATAATAATAATGTGCTAGAGGCAGGCTGAAGAAAGACTGAAGAGAATAACATCCAGGACAATGAAGCAGGTTTTGCTTTCAGGTGTCAGGTATCCTGACCACTGGGCCTGTCCTCGTAGCCATAGGCTAGTTCTTTTTGTCACATGCGCTTACACCAGTCTGTGAACTTGCCTGCTAATGTGTGACCCTGAGGCATGCACACCAGGTTTATTTAGATCAAAAGGTGCAGGCAATATGCTAAAAATCCACAGGTTGTAAGGGAACTCCTCCAAGATTTGGGTTTGCAAGTAAGAAATTTAGCAGCTTGGATCGCACTGACTCACACCTGCTCTCCTGCTGAAACAATAAGATACGTGGGGCTCTGCTTTACAGTCTTCTCCAGTAATTTCAGCTTAGTGCATTGATCTATAGTGACAGATGGTACTCCACTACTATTTCTGATGGCTTCCATTGCAGCCAATAAAAAAGAGCTTTTGATTTTAAAAGGAAAAAAAAAAAAATCAATAATATTGGCTGGTGAACAAATGTTTATCCTGTCTGGTAAAAGTAGCCTACACTGCTCATTTAAATGTCAAATAAGGGAACGCTTCAAATAATCAGAAGGATTGAGTGATGGTGACAGATCGAGGTAGGGTCCGAGATCGATCAGAGAGCATGTGAGCAACAGTGTGCTCACAAAAACAACTGAGAAGAGGCGAGTAACACTGGCTGAAGGTGAACCAGCCATCATTACCACCAGAATGAGAGTGAAAACACACACTCACATCAGATAGACAGATAGATAGATAGACAGACAGACAGACAGACAGATAGACACAGCAACAGATGTAAGATGCTATGGTGTCGCAGGTAAGTACAATAGGCTAAACATAGCTGGGTATGAATATGAATTAACTGAGAAATGGCGCATTTAAGTGAAGCAGAAGGGTGTTAATTTAGCGTCTTTAGAGTAACTTCGCGGTACTTTTATTAAAAGAGGTAACAGAAACCCGTTACTAACCTTCTGAGTCCCATTCAGTGAGCACTTATCACGACAAGAAATCTGCTTTCTAACGACTGACAAACTATCATGACAAAAACTTCTTCTAGAAAAGGTAAAACAACAACAACAACAACAACAAAAAATACTGTATCTACACTTCTGCCGGTTGGTCCTTCTGTTGTTGTTTGTCCTTCCTCCTCAATGAGACGCCTACTCTTCCCCTCTTGACTCCGTGTGGAAGAAAGTTGCCTGGCTGATTTACCATGCACAAGTCTCAGTCCGGGACTGTACCAACTTTCGGTGAAAAGGGGCTCGACGCTCAGGACTCACGAGAGCAAACAGTTTTAAATACTGTCCAGAAACATAATGTCACTACTGGAGGTTTACGAGTTGAAAAACAACAATATAAAGAGAAGAAACACAAGTGTTAAGAATTTAAAAACATATGAAAACTAACCCCGTGTAACGCCACTAGCCCTCTCTGCAGTTGGTAGGTTCAAAGGCTATTGAGGTATTTGGTAGACGCCCCCTCAGCTTTTCTTTGTCTACCTACCTATTTTCCTTCTCTTTTATTTGAAATACCTTAGACCCGTTTAAACCTAAACCAGTAGGTCTATAAAGACTGACTTAAAAAACCTTGTGAAACTGGTGGCTTTATTCTATTAAAGCGACAACCTAATTAATGTAATTAATTAATTAATTAAAGCAATTAATTTGATTTCTGGGACAAAACAACAATAGAGAAGGGGGCTGAAAGGAAAGGTTGAGGGTGTGTCAGACAGTCAGACTGACTGTCTAATGAAAGTGTAAGGATTTGGAAAGGGAAAGATAACTCTGAAAAGCAAAGAAGAAGTAAAATCTTTGCCTCCCAACCTAAGTCCTGGGTAGTCTCACCATCTGTTTCTTGCAGATGCCTCGTGATCTGCAAACATTTTTCAACACAACATGAACAACATGAACCCATTGACAGCTACTCTGTCTTTTATCATGTATGCTGATGTGCATGTGAGACAGAGAAAGAAAGAGAGAGTGGTTTGTCAGAGCAGCTGTGTTTTGTTTAGCAGCCAGATTTGCATTTGCTTCATAGTGGTGTGAATGCTGGGACATTGAGTCTTATACCCAGACTCCATTCAAATGTAAACTGAATTTGCGGATATAGAAATAAGTAAGCCTGCAGCTGTTATACTGCTCATTTGTCATCGTTGTTGTTGATGCACAATGATTTTCATTGTCATCTTTGCTGTTATTATGCTGTAAACATATTACTATTCAACAAGTGACTTCCAGCTGTTCTGGTGACTTAGGAGTGATGCTGATGTGATTCCAGGTCAAGCGCAGAAGTTCCAAATACAGAACAGATCACTTCCTAAACATAGCTAATCATCTCCAGACTGCCCTACAGTGTGTATGTGTGTGTGTGTCCGTGTGTGTCTGTGTGTGTGGTTAGACTAACTCAACCCAGAGCATCCAAGGCCAGTGGATATTCCTGAAAGATCGCTCTCTCGCTCCATAATTTTACAAACCATGCACTTTTGACTTTCTTTTTAACCACTTTTTCTCTTTCAGTCCTTTTCTCCACCCCTGCAACTTTACAAAATCCTGGCCTGTGTGTGTGTGTGTGTGTGTGTGTGTGTGTGTTGTGTGTTTGTGTGTTTGTGTGTGTGTGTGTGTGTGTGTGTGTGTGTGTGTGTGTGTGTGTAGGCACAGCAAAACATTGTAAATATTTGAATCAGTCAGGCACGGCGGGAAGATAAATAGGCCTGTCAATATTTAACTTAAAATGGCCAGGCCACACAGGACTCACTGAAAAGGAGAAAAGGCATACACAGAAAGAAGGACACACGGAGAAGAAAAAGCCAGGGTGTAAGAGAAGGAAAGGAAAAGGAAGGAAAACAGAGTGGAAATTTTTACCAAAGGCAAGAACAGTGAAACACGGAGAGCTCTGCAACTGGGAAAGGGGATTTGGGAGAAGGGAGAACCAAAGACAGGACAGACAGACACAAGATAAACAGATCAAGATACTGGCAGAGAAAGAACAGAGAGGCACGTGGGCAGGGGTGGGCAAAAAGATAAGAAAAGAAATACTAATACTAATTAGAATTTGTGTGTGCAAGCTGCAGTCTGCTGTAACATAATTCGATCAGCAGTGTATCCTCCACATTTGCTGGAAGCTGTGACTCACTCGTGGCTCGCTGTTCCAAACCACTACGAATGAACCCAAACCAGAGGTACACAAACATGTGGAAATGCTCACGCACACATAGGCCTATAGATTTATGTGAAAATACACACACACAAACATACTGTACACCCTGCCGTTTCTATGCAGAACGTCAGCACAATGTTAACTGTGCCCATATGACTCATACACACACTGAAAGGAATGCAAGTTAACCAAACCACGAACTAACCACTTTCTCTCTCTTTCACACACACACACACACACACACACACACACACACACACACACACACACACACACACACACACACACAGACACACACACACAGGAGTTATGAAATACTGAAAGTATGCTCACTCCATGCAATTAAGTCAACATTCACGCCACATCTTTTATTGGCCAGTAGGTGGCGATATATCAAAGCTTGTGTGTGCAAGCAAATTACACCTGTACAGTATGGGCCAGTTGAGCTGTGTGTGTGTGTGTGTGTGTGTGTGTGTGTGTGTGTGTGTGTGTGTGTGTGTGTGTGTGTGTATCTTACCCTGTGTGAGTGGGGTGGGCACAGTGACCTGTACTCCATCCAGACTGCAGAGGTGACCACAGGGATCCAGGGTCACTACCCCTCCTGTGTTATAGGTCACAAAGAAGAAGTAGAGGCTCAGTATACCTTCAGAAAATTGCTACATTATCACTTACTTAAAAATAATCCCCTGTTGAAAGACTACACTCCCAACTACACTAACCGTTTTAATCATAACATGCACATAAAGCCAGGCTATTTCTATCCTCACTACAAGGCTTTGGTCTGAACACTTAGCATAGTAATTATATAGGATGTATCACACAGGAACAAAAACAACCTCAAAGAGTGTAATCAATCACTCAGCTTCTTCCTGTCTCTTCAAAGGTCATTTTCTTTCATTCACACAATGCACTGTACTGTACTGACAGTGTACTGAGAGAGATCCAAACGTTGAAACATTATTTTTATTTAACAAATTAGAGGCCGTGGCGGTGTAATATGGTTATTCTAACTGATTCTATTGAAGTTTTGTTATAATAATCAAAGACTTGTTAATTACCTACTGATCATATTCAGCAAATCATCTGTTTACAAGTTAGACAAAATGTTTGAACAGTTAAAATTGTACACTAAACTACGATTAACAGCCTTTATGATTAATGGAAGAGTCACTGGCCCTTGGACACTGTGCAGTTTAAAGATGTAAACTGGTCAGTACTTAAAGGCAAATTGCATTAATTCAGAGGCTTGCCAATATTTTGAATTCATTTTGCAGGAAGTGAACTGACATCAACCTTCATTGATGATAAGACAGTGCTCTGCCTCGATGCCAGGGCCCTGGATAGTGATATCTTGAGGAATTAGAGCATCCTCTCGGCCTATGCGGGTCACTCCTGGAACATCAAGCAATACACATGTGATCATCAGTAAAACTATGGAAAATAAATGGTTATAATTAGGCTTTACAGTGTGTTAGTCATCATGTAGATCAGTATGTCTCTGTAGAAAACAGATCACTAATAAAGAATATCAAGTAAAACTGATAAGTAAATGTATGGATATGTCTTTTTGAACTATATAGGTGGTCTGTGATCCACACTTGGACAACTTCAGTATTATGAATTTTAACAACTTCAGTAGACACGTTTTGGAGAAATAGACCCTCAGTTGTCCTAAAATGACTTGTTCACATTGTTGGCATTCCTCACTGAAATGGAAGGGCATACCAAGCTGGGAGATTGTGAAAGTTTGCGGCAGTGTGGTAATATGAAATGTCACAATACGTACTTTACTGTAATAATAAGCTTTTTGACTGCTCTGTAAAGATCTATATCATTCCAAATGCTTACTTATGATTCTAATACCATCCACTGTGCAATACTGTTTAACATATTGTTCATAAGTGGCTAAAGTCACAATTACCATAGAAGAGAAAGAGGTTTATCTGCATTTGTTTGGCTGTATGGTGTACTACAGTTAATAATTAGTTATACTGAATGCAGCCTCATTCAAAGAGTTAACAAATCCATCCATTTCAAAGCAAGTACACATTTTCACTGCACTGTTCTCATGGCTGAGAGGACGCTAAACAAAAAGTGTCTGTCTTTCTGCATTAGGAATATAATGAGAGCTTTGTGATACACACAATACATGTTAATTCTACAAGTGAGAGTTGCCTGTGTTTCCACTAAGGACAGATACTCACCAACTTCTAATGCTTTTAATCTAATGTCAGTCAGTTTGTGTTAGTATTCCATATTACCATACTATCTGCAGGCTATAATCAGTTGTACAAGCTTGTCTCTTTAAACTCTCTCACTCATCATGCAGTAGATCTCTCTATCTTTGCTCCAATCTCTTCACTATCATGTGTTTGGCCAACTAACTGGAATAATAATTAAGCCATGGCGCCTGTGGCTTGCTGATGTGATGAATGTATGTGTGTGTGTGTGTGTGTGTGTGTGTGTGTGTGTGTGTGTGTGTGTGTGTGTGGGATAGAGGGGGGACTGATTGAGGGAGAAGTAGTGCAAGACACCTGTGGATATCTGATGACAGAGAAACTATAAATATCTATAAATACACAGCAAATCACCATAAACATCCCCTGTGTGTGTAAATGTATGTGTTTGCGTGTATATGTGCGCACACATGCAGTGCATCAGTTTAATGGAAGGGGCAATGGGTTCTGTCTGTTGTAGTAGACACTGTCATGAAACAATGTAGTGAGTCATCTCTGTTTTGTAGCTGTTTGGGTTGGAGCAGTGTTGTCATTTTCATCCCCAATGACAATAAAAAGAAATAACCAGGAATGTGGATATAATAACTTGTGTCAATATGTGTTTTCAGTCCGAAGGAGTCCTGTGGGAGGAAGCTGTGTTAGCTCCTTGTCTTGACTTTATAGCGACTCCGGCATGGAGTATCACTTTCCCCTATCACACTCCCCAACTTCTCTAGTCGCCATGGAGATAAAGCGATGGGCGGGTGGGGAGAGCGCAAAAAAAAGGGGAGAAGTAGAGCAGGGAAAGGGAGGGAAGCAAAGCAATGAGGGAGGGATAAGGGCGGAAGGGAGGGGACCGCAAAGGTCTGGTTTCTGCTTTACATTACATGTGAGAAATGATATCCATTTAAAACCTCCCAGATCATGGGCATTGAGAAGATGAATAGTTAGTGTAATCCTAACCCACAGATAATGTGTGTTACCTTCTTTCAGTGGCAGCAGGGTGATTGCCACACTCAGCCTCCCGCTGCCCAGGCTCACCAGATGAGGCGTGGCTGTCTGGACCTTCAGTCCCTTCCCTGTGTCAATCAGGTCCAGTGGCGGAGACTACAAGCATCAGTCAGAGTGGAAAGATGATTTTCCAACATATTATATTTCAATATTATTAGTATATTCTTCATTCTCGTAAGACTAGAAAAATGTGGATCTTCATGAAATTGGACTCTTAAAAGAATGATAGATGATTTGATATTGATTTGGCCCTTTACCTTTAAATACTATGTGTTTATTTCCTCACCTTAGGTTCAACTGGAGACATCTGATCTGACTCTGGTTGGAACATCATCTCAGAGTCCTGCAATAAAGACCACACATATAATAATAATTTATTTATTCATGATTATGATCTGAATTATGTTTTATATTCAAATGTGTATGACCATGTTTCAATATTTGTATTCATTTATATTTACTCCCTCAAAAAATACATTTTTATTTCAGTGCAATTTACCGAATTAAATAAAGGTTATAAAACACACATATGCACACATATTAAAGCATGATTAAGACATGCAGATATGCAAGAGTAGGGTAACACAAGTACACAAGAGTTGTACACATCTGCACAAAGGCCTGTGCCCATATGTAGCAATACTCATACACCCATGTGCACACACACACACACACACACACACACACACACACACACACACACACACACAAACACACACACACACACAAGAAAAAAAAGTGTGCAATGCATGCCCAGCTGCTGCCACATGAGAGGAACTCTCCGTGTGAAAGTGTTACAAGGGGAAAATACCACTTGGGGAAAATACACACACACACACACACGCACACACACACACACACGCACGCACGCACGCACGCACGCACGCACGCACGCACGCACGCACACACACACACACACACACACACACACACACACACACACACACACACACACACACACACACACACACACACACAAAAGCTGGTTCGCAGTGGGAGGAACTGGTAGAAACGTTCCATGAAAACAGAGTTCCCACGACTTGTTATGGTCTGCCATCATGCTGTGCTCAGTGCTTTAAAAGTGTATGTGTGTGTGTGTGTGTATTTATGTGTGTGTTTTAGCCAACTTGCATCTCAGTCAAATTATGATACCCATCAGTTGTGTATGTCCAGAACAATCTCAGTCTATTCTATTCCAGATATCGCTGATGTCACTGTTGGGCAGAAAGCTGGTATTTCCAAAATCATAAATTTTGAGTTAATGAAAATGCCCTGTGTTTTACTGCATTGTTGGAATAGTTGGCTTTAATACCTATCCTTTGTTCAATACACCGATCAGCCATAACATTGATTTATGAAAAATATTAAAAATGATCAAATACGAAATATTCCAGATTTCCCTGAAATTGATACAGACATTAGTGGCACCCAGAAGGATGGTTCCACATTTCATGGAATCCACCCAACCCCTCCTCTAGTACCATCATAGTGCCAACATTTGAATGTGTACAAAAAGAATATCAAAATCTAACTGGCAGATGTTAATGAAATTCACTGAGTTTATTCATGCTCCCCAAAAGCTTTCTTCTTGTGCCACAGGTTAAATGTCAGTGTCAATGTGTGTAATAATATCAGCAACAGAATGGGCTTATCACATTTATGCTCCTGAGTAAATAATCAGTATACTGTTGGTTTTGTCCAACAAACCATGGGGTGTAATGAACATTTCAGCTTCTAGGGGCCACTAGAGGGGCTTATAGTGTGATGACTATTCCTATTTTGTCCTGCATTTGTCCATTATTAGTCGACAGTGGTCACAAGATAAAGAATCTAATCAAAATGTTTTGAGGGTGGGAATAAGTAAACCATGAGAAAACTCTGAAATAGCAAGGCAGGATTAGACTGGCATAAAAGGAAAAGAATGATAAACTATAAAGAGGAATGAAAACAGAGCAAGATAAAAATGAGACAAAATCGAAAATGGCTCAGTGTGTGTGTGTGTGTGTGTGTGTGTGTGTGTGTGTGTGTGTGTGTGTGTGTGTGTGTGTGTTTCATATCCAGTGCCAAGGACAACCCCTGCAGTACCCTACAATTCAATACAGGAAAAACAGCCTTGCTTCTATTTTTGCGTGCATACACACATTCAAAGGCACACACACACACACACACACACACACACACACACACACACACACACTCAGATGGATGAGTGAAATCATTCTCAACAAAACAGAGAAATTACAGTACATGGGAAACCACCCCAACCACATTTCCTTTTCCACCTTCTGTCATCTCCTTCCTCTCTTCCTTTCCTCTCCCCTTGTAATACTTCCCTTCCTCCATGTTATCCTGTAATAATCCTGTAATAATATACATTTCACACATTTTTAAACATAGGTATCTTTGTCAAGTTTTTTCTTAGTTTTAGTAGTTCGTGGTTCTTAGTTTTTTTTTTTTAACACTCTTTTACTTTCTTCTTCCCTCTCCTCCTCTGGGCTTTCCTTCATTTCTCGTTTCAATTTCCGACACCCCTGCCTTTTTACAGTAATCTCACTCTCCTCTCTTTTCCTTTCTTTCCTCCAATTACCGGCAGAGGAAGCGCAAATCAAAGTCAGCTCCATACCACTTCCTCTAATTCAGCACCAGTTTCCCCTGTGAGGTCACTTCCTTTGCTGCTTTGACACTCTTATTGCCTTTAAACACACTCACACACACTTGTTATTCTTTGCAATTCGGCCACCCTTGTAACCCCTATGCGCACGCACACAAGCATCCACAAATAAAGTCACACATCAGCTCTTTTTGTTATCACATGAAGATGTGAGGCCCCGCATTCCACTGATTTTTTTTCATCCCTACTGTAGACAAAGCAAACACAAGGTGTATGATGGCAACATCAGCTGGACAGATGCATAGGTGCTACAAAGAACAGAAGAAAAGGGGAGGTCAAAGTCGATTTCAAAGTTGAGGGGGACTGTTGTGAGTAACTTAACAAGACTTTTCTCTCTTCTCTTTCTACCATCTCCTCCCGCTTCCTTCCTGTATGTCCTCTCCCCACCACCTTGACTCCCCCCTTCGATCATATACACAGTTTCTCTTTTCTTTACTCCATCATTCCTCCTCATTGTCTCTCTGCTGCTCCTTTTACTTCCATAGCCCCCACTGCTTCTTATTCTTTCACCAGGTGAGCTCTAGTCTGGGCAGGTCAAGACAAGTCTTTGGCTTTGTTGTGCTCTAGTTTAAGCAGAGCAGTGAGGAGTGGCAACCGCCCTTCTAGATTTTCAGATTTCAGCTCTGGTATTCTGAGGGATCTACACAATCTCAAATCACCAAACCTGATGTTATCAGGGCTTCTGGACAACAGAGCACAGGTATGAGATTACTAGATGCTCTAGGTATTTGCAGGTTTAGAGAAACGTGTATACACACAATATGATGTACTTGTTAAGACCTTTGCTGTTATTTCCTTAGCTGCAAAGCTGCTCTAATCAGTATCTTAATATTGATAATGGATAAAATGTATATAATGTTAAAGCATGGTGAACCCAGAGAGAATTACCCCTTGACTCTGTTTCTCTCAGCTCTGTGGATTATTTTAGCATCTTGCAGCTATAGTTTTGGTTTCATTGCCTGCAACTTTACTGTTTTGGTGCACTCTCATCAACAGGCAGCAACTGTTCAGTTTTTTACAGTTTTTTAAGCAAAAAAAATAGGATAATAATAATATAATGTGTCAACTTGTGTTTACAGCTTGTGCCAGTGCCCCCAAGTGTCCCCAAGAAATCCAGTAAAGCTGGTTTAAAGACATGCAGCCCCAAAAGTAAGCACAGCTAATGTACACACAATAGACAATCATGCATAGAATAGATCAGGTATAGGTGGATCATACAATGCTAACATTTTTGCATACATTATTCTAAGTGACTGAATTAAGTTTGCATTTCCAAATGTATGAATACTGATGTTGTTACAGTTATTTTCTCATTTTTGAGATTGGTATTTGCTATTGGTGGAACTGATTGCTGAGCATCCACAAAGAAATGTTAAACCTTATTTCTTAATAGAAGATATCCCTCAATTCAGGTTGCATTCATGGTAAATATTGGCATTCTTAGAAATGTAGGTAATCCATGAATAACACACGAGGCAGAAAGATGGAATGATATGAAAGACTAGAAGAGTTTCCAATGGTATTTTTTTTCCTTTTATGGAAAAGTTGACCAATGGGGAAAATATCCTATCTCACAGCTCTGACCTACTTTTAAAACTAACTTTAATCCTAAATCTGGTGTACACCTAAACTAGCCCTTTAAATAATTGAAGACCAGCTACAACAACGTCAGAAACTGCATGCACACAATGTTTGATCCCATCTGTAGAACAGCTGAGTCTCCAAAATGCCCAGTTTGCCCTGCATCTGGAGACAGAGAGAAAGAGAGAGAAATATGGGGCGAGGGAAAGAGAGAGAGAGAGAGAGAGTGACAGACTACAGAGAAAAGACTCATAAAACCAGAAGGACACATGCCGCATTCTCAAACTGTTTCATCTCATCCTTTTGTTTTCTTCATCCTCTGCTTTCATCCCTCTGTCGAGTCCCTTCTCTTTTTGTATTTCCTCCGTTTTGTTTTCCTTTCTGTTTCAATTATCTTCTGCTTTATTGTTGCTGTCTGTTTCAGCTGAAGTCTGCATTCTCATAACCACATCTCAGGGCAACCCAGTTGTTGTTAATGTCTCTGATTTGGAACAGATCTTTTTTAGTGCAGTGGGGATGTTTAAAGTCCCTTACATGTGTCTCTTTTTATACAAAAAAGTCTGGGTTAATCCTTCAGGTTAAAATAAAAATGTTTGGTCTAGCTGCCTGAATGTGCATACCAAATCTTCTCATTTATATTGCTAGAAATTTTTGTTAAATATTATCTCTGTAGCTGAGTTTAGCTATAAAGGTAACGGCACCCACACCAATAACAATGCCAGAAAGCAGAAAGAACAGAGGAGTACAATATGCAACAGACAAACCATTATTATTTTCTACTTTTAATGCATTTATTCAACATTTAACGTTGGCTGTCTGCTTCTTTGGCTGCTTTATTGAATGTGCTTACATTGGCCTAGAGGGTCTTTTAAGACAGGCAGCTGCTCAAGATGATGGATATGAGCTGGGGTATTATTTGACCAACTAATGGAGAGAAGGGTGGGAATAATGACACATCTAACTCCAGTCAAGATTAGTGTTAAGCTGTAGACTTATTACAGAAATAAAATGTGGCTGTTTTCAAGAGACACAAGAGCTCCATGCACTTCGTTGCACACACTTGGCATGCTGGGATTGTTGCATGTGTCTGAAAGTGTAAGACTGCAGACACAAAAAGGAGCATTACATTGCGGAACAGATTTTCCATTTATATGCTACTCCTAACAAAATGACTCCATGGGACAACCAATGATTTCCAAAATGCAGGTTTTGTAAATGTTTTGCATGTCTTTGGTTTTTGGAAACATGTGTTTGTGATGCAGTTGGAGATACTTGCTAGTAGCGTATATGTTATTTACATAATGAATGTACTTAATATCTGCATATTGTATCTCTGATATCTCATATGTCTACCCATCCGGTTTCCTCACATTCTTCATCTGCTATTTAAAAGTAAAATGCCGTTCCTTTGCCTGTTTCTCTGCTTTCTCTTGTTGCACTCCTCTCTCTATCTTTATCTCTCTCTTTCTCCATCCCTCTGTCTCTCACTAACATTCCCTCCCCTTACATTCCAGCATTACCCTCTCCTCCTCCCACCTGACAAAGCCAGCATTGTATCACAGATGCTGTTTAATATGGAGTCCCTCTCTCTATGTCCCTCTTATAGAGCAACTCATAGGGCTAAATGGGGTTATCTTCCTCTTTTCCCTTCTGTACACTCTATGCTTTGTGTGCAGTGATATCTTCAACAGAACTTTAATTAGTTTAATACCGGCTTTGGGCATGCACACACACCATAGACATCAACATTCACACATACACACAACTATTGGCTACACTTTTGGACATAAAATACTGGTCGTCTTTGTCACTGGTCCACATAAGAAATTCTTCATTATTGTCTTTGATTGTGTGTGTGTGTGTGTGTGTGTGTGTGTGTTTCCGTGCGTGTGTGTGTGTGTGTGTGTTATGGTGAAAACCCTGCAAGCTGATTATCTTGACCTTAAAACCCTACTAAAACACAACAAACATCCACCAGCATTGTTCTCCAACTCAAACTCTCTCACACTCTGATTCCCTTTTTTTCCCCCCATTTACCGAAATGCAAGATCCTCACAGGAAAGAAAGTCCATTGTTATTGCAGCTGACTCAAGAGTTGGAGGAAATCTAACTTGAATTTCTATCAAGGGTGTGTGTGTGTCTTTGGAATAGCCCAGATTACCTTCACCGCCATATGCAGGGGATCAACTGATGTTTGGGTTTCTGAGGGGCCGGATATGACAGAGAGACAAGGAGGGACGGTGAATTGCTAGAGGGACATAGTATAACCCGCATTAGTATCAGAGGGTGAACTGAACTGTGACTGCTGGATAGAGAAGAAAGAGTGTGGCAGAAAGATGGATATTAAGATAACAAGAGAGACAAACTGAGTGTGCAGGGGAGGGGCTAAAGAATCCAGAGATGGAGGAAAAGTGATTAAATGGTGGACAAAAAAAAGAAAGTCTCCCCAGGTTGCACCACCGGCTGCCAAAAAATGTATGATCCACTGCACAGATGACAATCCAAGCATTCAATCTTATATCAACATTATCCGAATATCTGTGTGTCGTGTGTGTTCAGCTGACTGCAACTGCTGGTTTTTTTCGAGAGACAGCACCTTTTGCACTTTCTTCTGTCACATTTTCCAGCTGACATTTACCTGGTAAACACATAAACAGCACATAATCTGGAGGGAATGCTGAAATGCATATCTTGAGAACACAGAGTAGAAATAAGATTTACTTCTGCCCAGTGGAAAATGATCTTTTCAAGTGCTGTAGCCAGCTGTATCTAGTTTCTACGTGCATGTGTACATATATCACAATGTTTTCAGTCTGGTATGAGTCTTGGAGCTGATAACAGTGTTGGTATGCTGAGTTCTTGTGACAGAACTGTTGTATCCTTCTGGTTTCCACATCATGGCCGAAGCCAACTTGACAGGTATGATGTTTTTAACATTAACTTAGCATTCTGGTGCAGCATTGTTGTACTGAAACCACATGTGGAGATTTAAACTTAAACAATTTGTGTAAAATATTTGATTTAATCCTTTCTCTGGCAAGGTTTCACTATTGTAAAGATAATAAAGACAGAGATGTTGCGCAATCATGTGCTGAGTTTGGACCCACCAAAGATAAATCCACAACCTAATAATTACAGTATTGGATCCAGAGCCATAATACGCAGCAACTTGTCTCCACATAACCAACAGGGCCAACAAAACATGACCCAAGGGCTACACTGTCTACTATTTCCTCACTGGGAAATCAAATGTAGCAAGATGTCATATAAATTTGAATACACAGGGCCTGTTTAATGCCACCCTTTTGCATACACTCACAAACCACAATCGATCATAATCTCTTAGAAATCTGAGATGTTAAAAAGGTGGTTGGTGTTAAGGTTTAACATTTCTGATGTTGTGCTTTGGTCTGGTTTCTTACATTTCTTGGTTGATTTCCAATTTAGGCAACATGATGAGAGAGGAAGCAACATGTTGTGCTTTAATGAACTCTAAAGCGCAGTCTTCTCATCTCTGAGTCATGGAATAATTTAGGTGTACCAGCGTGTGCCATCCACTCATATCAAAGATATTCTCTAGGTTTGTTTGTGTCAAATAAGGGATGAGGTAGGCTACACCATACAGTACAATATACCATTCATAATCAGTCAAAACACTGATATTCCTGTTTTGCTGTATTCACTACTGATTGCGGTGGTATTTTACGTATTTGAGTAATATAAAGAAATTATATAATATAATTTAAAAATCTAGTATTATGGAGGTCTAAGTCAAAAGCAGTAACTTATCTTCATTAGTGTTAAATTATGAGAACATGCCTATATTCAGTAACCCAGAAACAAACAAAACTGTCCCTGTATTTCATCTGCTGAGAACAAAATCCGGAATTAAATAGGGATTAGATTAGGTTTACCGTTAAACAGCTCACTTAAGTAACAAAAACTGCAAAGAACTCCCTGAGCTGATTAAATATTGTTGAAACACCATGAAAGAGTTTGAATAAACTTCCTAAGTGAGAAACATTTGGATGATTATAAAAAAAAAAAAAGGCTAATCCTTCCCACATAATCTTACCATTATTGAAGCGGGACCGGCCACTTCTGTCATCCTGCAGGAAAGGACACAATATCACGCAGTTGATCCAAGATCCAGGATTGAGTCGCCCGACAAAAGTCCCGGAAATATTCTGTCACTTCTCCCAATGCTGTGGTTACAGTCTCTCTCTTGACAGCGAATACATTCCCTGTGCAGCATGGGCAATCTGCGGATGTCTTTGAATGACTTTAACTCCTCTCTGACACATTCATATACACACACACACACACACACACACACACACACATACACACACACACACACACACACATAAAAAACGTACACAAACGTAAAAAAGAAAGAAGAAAAAAAAAAGCCGGCGGCCTCAGCCAATTGCGACGTGTGGAGGAATGTGGCAACAGCTGGAAGTGAAGCTGGAAGAGGGAACAAGGGGAGGGAATCTCTCTCTCTCTCTCTCTCTCTCTCTCTCTCTCTCTCTCTCTCTCTCTCTCTCACTCACTCACTCCAAACACACAGCATAATGTGCAGGTGTTAACAGACCACCTACACTTGACCTGTCATTCTCACTGGGTGAAATAGGAGAGAAGGCTTTTGGGCGCTGGAAAGAGAGGGAGAAGAGGGGAGAATGAGAGAGAGAGAGAGAGAGAGAGAGAGAGAGAGAGAGAGAGAGAGAGCATTCATTCAGACCTACTTGGCGGCAGTGATAAAAAAAAACCATGATAAGAAGCATGTTTAGCTAATGATATTACAACAGGAATGCAGTCTAGTCTCCTTTCCAATCCTGACACTGTGAATTATTCATTCTAGGGAGAAAGGTCCGGACTGTTGCACAAATAAACTGCCACAACTCAAAGTATAATGCAACAGACACAACAGATTCACGGATAAAGCCTAATAAATGACTTTCCTCCCCTTGCAAGGAAAAAATATAACGCAATTAAGAGGATGTTGTATGTGACTCAAAATACTAGCCTACCTTTACAATAGGTGTAGGTTCATAGAAAGCACTTGCCAGAGTCTGCCCTACAAATGTCACTATTAGACCCACACTTTTAAACCATCTTAGAATTATTAAAGTGAATAATAAATTACTAAATAAACTCGAAATCAAATCTTGTGGTGAACAGGAGTAGATGGATACTCTTCCCAATGTAGAAAAAAATTCTGTAAAAGAATATATGTTTGGTTATGGTTTTATTCCATCATAAACAACCTACACATGATATACACATATTTCCTGGGATGGCAGATGATTTCTCCAATTACCCTTAAAAACATTCTCAATTTCGAGTCTTACATAAACATTTATAATGAAACTGAAGTGGCTTTTAATTCCATCACACATATTGCTACAGGAGGAGCTATTTAAACAATACAATCCTATAGCATTTACCTCAGGGGTTCAGGTGCAAGTAGGACTCATCTTAAATGCCCCTCTGACAAGAACACAACAATTTGCTCTAGAGAGGGTTCAGTTGAACAAAATTGTAGTTATAGTGAAAATAAATAAAATAACAAATCTGTTTTTCCACTATGAAAACACACATTGTAGCACACACAGAAAAACCCATGTGCTTAAACTAAATTATCCTTAAATATCTGCACATCATAGGAACTATTTGTGAGCAGTGTCAGGGAGCTCTTTGTATAAGTCATGTGCACCATCTGAAAAATCTCAGCTACATGTACAGTCATGCATCAGTCTGAAGACATCATGAAGGCATGAGCAGATGCCTGCAGTTGTGTATCTGTGGCTAACTTTATTTGGCAGAGGTTCATGCATTCTCTGCAGTTTATGACAGGTTACATAAAACAACACACATTATGCAGCACTATAATACAACCTAAGTCATGCAGAATTGTGTTTAGGCTGTGCTGACCACAACTGAAGCGTAATGCATGATGTCGTCTTATGGCTGATGATAAATGTAGACTTGAAAATGGTCCTCTGGTCAGGACTGAGGCCAAGGAGGGTTTGCTTATACACACAAACACACACGCGCACGCGCGCACACACACACACACACACACACATACACAAAAGCACACATGTACACACGTGCATATCCATGGCAGCAGGATTCTCTTATCTCTCAGGCACCGCAAGGATCTCTTTGTGGATAAACAGGAAGAGAGCTTGTACACCCGGCCCTGCTCCACTTTCTCCACTGCTCCTCAGCTCTCCATGATACCCGGTATGTGTCGATTTCTACAGGCCAAGATAGAAACAATAAAGGCTTTTAAAGCTCAGAAACACAAAATTGGGTCTGAACATATTCCTCAAACTCAACTTTCTCTATTCTGTTATCATATTGTTAAACACTCAAGCTTGGCAGGAATGGAAGAAGAGGTGATGTGCAGAACCCACAGTGGAATAATGAATGCTGTCCAGTATGATACATTAGTTATTCTCATTTGTTTCCATATGGAAATATGTCATGTGTGCCATTCATTTAAGTCTCGACTCCACATTTACAGATGAATCTTTGGAGCCAAAACGTTCTTTCTTGTCAAGTCTTTCCAGAAGCTATAAAGCTATTATGCCTCCATGCTTGGTAGCTAGCATGAGAGCTGCTAAGCTTTCCCAATGACATCATCCCGGAGACCATAGGTTTGAGAGGGCCCGCTGAATGTTTGACAGCATTCCCGGGTGAATTCCACAACTCCCATGTGATCCCAGGAGGCTGAGCAGGAACTCCGGAGCTGTTTGGAGAGGGATTCCAGACGGTGTTAGGAGACCCTGCCACGAGAGACGCATTTTCATTCAGACTAATCCTGCATCTTACTCATTTTAATAGGTTTTTAATAGCCATAACTTTTCTTTTGAACTCATTTAAACTTTCAAGTCTGCTGTGCAAATCCTGTGAAACACTATCTGAACATCAACATCAACACTCTAAATTAAAACCACTACAAATGGAACCTGACAGCTCTTTTAATCTCAGGGGAATCCTTTTCTATGTTTATTGATGCAGGTCTTTGAGGATCTTTGTGGGTGAAACTATTCAACCCACATGCTTTTAATAACATCTTAATGACACATAATTGGATGCCATTTAAACAGTTTGCAGCTTAAGGATAAGCAAGGAGCATTTTCATTTCAGTGGTCTGGTGCAGTTCCTCTACACATTTTGTCAAGTCTTTCTATTTCTTTACTCACCCCCCATTCTTTCAGTGCTAGGATGGTCATAAGATACAGTACAATTTTTATTTTTATTTTTTACAGCTGTTTCAATCCCCTAGTCATCAGTCTAGGAGAGAACACTAACTCATCTCTGTGTAATGGATGTGACCTGGTCGATTCTGGTCACTGACATCATTTAACACTAGGGATATAGCAGTGGTTAAATGAACCATGACTTGGTTTACTCACCAGTGTATTTGCAGAAGAGTGTTTAACCACCTTTTAAGGCTGACATAAATAGCTTTTCCAAGATTAGTTCCGCATCTTTATTAAACACAAACATACCATGCAACCACACCATGTGACGACTGCCATTTTTTCTTATTAAAGACTGGAAACTGCTGCATGTGTTTGGCTGTAGTAGTAGTGAAGCCTGCCTGTGATTTATGTGGCAAAATGTCCCCACTGGACTGGTAAATATAATGTGTGGTGTGGATGGGAATATGTTGACGTGTTGAATTTAGGGAGAGAATTCACTTGTGACCTTGTTACTCGTATTGCCCAGCAGGGGCAAAAATAGTTTTGGAGAGCTGCGTGTCAATGCTTGCACCACTTTGGGTGGTCAGTGTTTGTAGAATAATGAAAAATCTTGGCTGGCAAACACAGGCACAGGAGCACAAATGCAGTTTTATTACTTTACGACTTTATTTACATCTGGAAGAGCATGCCTGAGTCGTCGTCTTCTCCTTTGAAACCCGGGAAGCCGACAGGGATACAGAGGAGAGTGTGAGCGAGAGAGAGGAAAAGAGAGAGAGGACCAATACAAACAACAAAGGAATGCTCTCCATCAGTCGATGCTGCTGCTCTCTGCTCTCCCACTTGCCTGCCGTGGTATGTGTAATTACTCCACAATTAAAGTGCCTGTGCTTGTGACTGTGTGTGTGTGTGTGTGTGTGCCTCACAGTGCTTGGTGACCACACTTGACCATGTCAACAATGCGGCCTGGACATAACAGGCAATTTCACACAAGTGAGTCAGGGAGTGAAAAAAAGAAAGGCATAGTTGATATGAAACAAAAACATTATTACTTTCCTGGAGGAAAAAAAACAGCTGTTCAGATAACTCTCTCTGTCTCCTCCATTTTCATTCCAGTTGAACTTTCTTTCCTCTCTGCTCTCTAACTACCTCTGCTGTGTAACTCACTTCTTCTGCTGTCTATCTCTCCTCCTCTCCTTCCCTTCTCTGACCACAGGAATGCTAGGCGACTGTCACTGCACTACTGTCTATGTCATGCATAGTAATCACTGGGCCCACAAGGCACACACACACACACACACACACACACACACACACACACACACACACACACACACACACACACACACACACACACACACAAACACACAGTGAAGCACACTGATGCAGACACACACACACATACATATAAAATATTTCAGACTATATTGCTGTGTCTACATGTGATATGGTCTGTTTTATTCAGTGAAACCTGTCATATGCTGGACATGGTCACATACTGTGAATGCTGTGTGCATTTCCCCCACATACTTTCAACTAGCTTCTATTTCTGCATATTTAGCTAAAGAATGGAAGTGAAAGACTTAGATTTCTGAGCAAAATTACTGTAAACATAAACATTTATAGCTGTGTATATGTATGGGTGCACATGTTTTATGGGAATTGTGGCACAACTTCCACACATATTTGGCTTTCCCTCTGCAATTATCCCTTAAAGGTGGCACTGTTTGTACCTCTAATTAAACCACACAGACCAATTAGTGCTGAGACAGTGTTGGCATAGTGGGACCTCTTTCACAAGGCATGCTTAACATAGAAACAAAAATACTGCAGTCTCTATTTTCCCCTTATGCTCACTAAATTATAGGAAAAAAAACACCAAGTGCATTGCTAAAAACACAACTTGCCACTGGTTAAGTGTTAACAATTATTAGTGTGTTTGAAATGCATTGTAAACAAATTCCATTGCCATCATTCTGAGCATTTTCTTTCAAACTCTGCAATTCTTTAACAAAATGTTGCATGTATTAGTAGTCTGTGAACCAAGAGTTTGTCCCAGTTGCTTTTCATTCCAGTACTGGATATGCAAATTCTGATTAAGTCGATACCTTAAATACCTATGCATACAGCATTTCAAAAAAAGCAAAAGGAAAAAAAAGTGCAATATGTGATCCTGGCTTTCACAATAATTGAAAAATTTATCTATGATGTGATCAGAACATTTGAAAAACAAAAAGAAAAGACAACTTTTGTAATATTTACGATGCTTGAAACCGTATACATTTAATCCCTGAGTTATGCGACCATTGTCCAGGTGACAGGTAGCCAGGAGTCTGTTTCTGTAGCAACGTGATATTTTCCCTCAAAAGGGAATGTAGGAAAGGCAGCCGGACGAAAATGAGGACAGAGCTGTGGTATGACTGATTTGGTCAACCCTATGACGATGGTAGAAAATGCCTCAGGGCATGCCCTGTGTTCTGAGCTCCAGCTTCCTTCCCTCTTTTGGACTGCATGATACTGTGGCTGAGAGTCGGCTGCAACCAAAACTGGAATGTTCAAATTCCCAAAAGTTAGCTGATGAGTTCTTCTTAGATAAGGTGGTTTTATGTTCTTCAAGCATCTAGAGGGTACCTGGCTTACAGTATCCTTGTGTATCTTTCTGCTGAAGTGTCCTTGAGCAAGACAATTAAACCTTGTCAGCTAAAGAAAGCTATGTGGTAGCTGATGATAAAGCTTTTGTAATGTAAAATAATACATTATTAATTATTAAAATTAACTAAACCAGTTCCCAGAATTCCAGCGTTCAGTAAGCTATTATCCAACATCTACCCTCCATCCTCTACCGCACTGTGGGTCAGCACACGCTTGTCTTGTTGTTGTGTCATCTTGGTTTGTGGTCATGTTCAGACAACAGCAGGTTGTTGAGTTTGATGACAATGTTGGCAAAGTCAGTGAGCTCCACAAAGTCAGAGGTGATGATGTTGACCCCGTCCACCCCGGGCCTCTGAGCCTCAACCCAGGACATGATGGTTGGTAGGTTTCTAGAGCCACAAGAGAAGAAAGACTGAATTAGAAGGCAAAAAATTACACCAATTTTTGTTACACCTAACATCTTGTCACTTGAATTTCAATTGAGACTGATTCCCTGACCTTGCAAACATATTCAAAGCATCTAGTGCCAAGTTTCTGTCTCTGTAAGGTTTATAGTTATGGCTATTACGTTGCCAAGCTCTAATCTGTTGTTTCTTGGCTGAATGTCTATCTGCCAACCAAATTTCATGAAACGCTGTTGATAAGGTTTAGAGATACAGTATCTGGATGGGCCAGGAGAAAAGGGACCTGATGGAAAAAAGTTACAGGGAGTGATGTTTGTGTCTGTCAGTCAGTGAGAGACTACTTTGCCACTATTGTCTCGAAATCATTGCTTTGCATTCACACATATTCTGTTTTGGTTCTTGGCACAGACACACTCACACACACACACACACGCCATGACTCTGTAGCTGTATCACTTCTAACACCCTTAAATTCTCCACTAGGTTTGAGCCGACAGCAGAACAAAACCAGGAAGTCTGTTGTTTATCCAGCGGTGATAAACAATCCCATTTCCTCGGAAGTGCAAAATTAGGCCACCTCCTGTCTCGCCAGAGAGTCCGTTCAGGAGTTTTATACACCAGCGTCAGTGGCTGTTTCTCTCACATGTAAGGGTATGGTGGGTATGTATTCTAAGTCAGGATTTCCACTGTCATTTCCACTTAGATCTTGGGCTCAGCGAGCTAGACGACCGCTAAAGTTTGAGCAAATAATTTAGTCCTTGCTAGGGAAGTAAGATCTCTTATCTGAGTGAAGAAATATGTTCCTCTATAGTTGGGATATGGATCAAGAGGGTTAAAGCTAATCCTTAGTGAAATGAACCAGTGAAGTGAATATTGTAACATAGAAGCCAAACATCAAGAAGCATGCTTAGACTGAGTTATTTTTTTCTATAGATGTAATCAATCTCTTATGTTCTACGGAAATAAAAGACACATCCACTCCATTTTGCAACTACACCACATCCTCATAGAGGATGGGAGAATGCGCTCTTGGAAGCATAATTTTTGTTACTGATTTGTGGCCTTTTTTGCCAGATGTAGTTTAAAGGGAGGCAATGGACAGATAAGCCAACAGAATATATACTTTTATACTGAGTAAACCGAGCAGTCTGATGTGTGTAGAAGTGTCTGAGGTAATGCTGTAGCAGCCTGGTGTTATCGGATTTAATCAAGGTAAACACGGTGAGCGGTCATGCATAATGGCCCTGTGCTCTGGCATGGCACTTTTTTAAATCAAAGGCTTCTGATTTATCAACATGCCTGTCCTGCTGCCTTCAAATGGTTGCATGGATTTAAAACAGCAATGGACAACACATACTCTAAGAATCACTCCTATTAATTTGTAATGTGAGAATGCAGACTGCTTTATCTGGGTTCCTGTATTAATCACATTAAATGTTCAGTTTTGATGTCAATTTTTTTTTTTTTTAAAACATTATGCTGTTATGCATTCTGTGCTGACACAAAGACAGGGCTTTTTCTATTTTCCCTTTTCAAAACTGGCAAACCTCTTTGTTGCAGAAATTTGCAGAATTTAGCCTACTGTACTGCCCTCTACTGGCCACAGAATAAAGTAAATACATGGAGTTGAGCCTAAGACAAGAGGACAAGGTTCAAAGACGCAGGAGCACATACATGCTCACACACTTGGACTGGATTCCTAATTCTCATATTTAAAACTGATGAAACTAAACTACAGAAGAAGTTGACACACTAACTAACATATATACACACATCCACAATATTCCACCACACCCTCCTCAGTCACAACCTGCTAAAACCCCCCAAACCATGTCACTGACCTCTCCACCAGGTAGTTACGTAGCCCCCAGACCAGGCCCTTGGCCACAGTGTTAGGCCTGGGTGTGAGAATGGCCTGAGACACGTGGAAGGAGCCCTGCTTGGCTCTTTCATTCAGTGTTGTTTCCAGGAACTAGACAGGAGAGTGTCAGACACTAACAGTCTAATAAATCAAATAACTCAAAACAACTAAAATCTAAATCATCCCTTAATGTGAAACTTCTGGAGACATGGCTTGTATAATTGGATGAGTATGTGGAGTAGGCGTGTTTGAGTTTTGTACAGAAAGAGGAAGATGAACAGAACAATAGTGAAAGGACGGAGAGGATGCAGGGAGAGGGTTGTTCACTGATATGTTGGTAATAGACCATACATAAAGAGCGCTAGTAATACAACATTTGTTGTAAGAGACTGAAACGTAGAGCTGAAGAACAGGGTTAAATGTACTATTAAACAAAATTACAAACATCAGAAAGTCAAAGATATTATAAACTGCTGAATCTTGCTGAAATAGTGAATCACAGATATCTGTATTGATTTTCCAGTGAATGAGATGAAAGCAGAATGTATGGGGAGCTTTCCTGCTGGTGAGTTGTTATCACTGCCAGGGTTTGAATGTTGTTTTCTGACCTGTATAAGCTTGCTGGGTTCAGTGGTGTTTGCCCAGGGAGCAGGGATCTTGTTGCCAGGCCACATGACAGGGATACTCTGAGCTGTTGGATGATGGTAGAACACAATCACCTGAGGAAAAAATAAATTGAGAGACAGTTAGAAGATATGTTTGAAAGACTGCACGGCCGGGGCCGGACAGTAAATTACGTGAATGTGCTACCTAATATACAGTAACATCAGGTAACACTCAGATAGCCCATGTTGATACTAATTATCAGGTAATGGAAATTATTTGAATTAGTTGTCATCTTCTGCATATACACTAAATAGCTCTGACATGACCATATTGCCAACTTTAACCCAAAAACTTATAGTAACATTTTGCCTACTTTTCCTGTATTGTATAATTGGAAACAGACTATTTAGCTGCACATTGTATGCACTTAATAGAAAACTCACCTGCAGCAGTGCTGAATATCCCAATAAAATAGGTATTTTAATTCATTACTTTAGTTTAAAGTCATAAAAACACATTTTGGCTAGTCTACTGTTTACCACAGTCTTTTAGCTCTCTCTCTCTCTCTCTCTCTCTCTCTCTCTCTCTCTCTCTCTCTCTCCTTCTCCTTTGCCAACTAAGCCAGCCACAGATTAGGGTCAGGAGCAGGAATTCAACTGATAGTATTTGAGTGAGACACAGACACGCACCTAGAATCACGCAGATATAACACTAAGATGCGTGTGTACATGGTGCTTCTCGTGTCTACAAGGAAGTATGTTTATATACATAAAAGGAGGAGGATGAAAAAATGAAGACGGTGTGAGATGATAAAACTACAGGAACGATTACGATCGATGTAAAAGAAGCACAGGCAGGAGGATTTAGCAAGGAGAAAGTGTAGGAAAGCCAAAAAAGACAAAGAGAAATAGAAAGAAAGTGTGAAGAGGACAGGATAAAAGCTAAATACCATGAAAGTAGGAAGGTGGGTTGGATGGTGGAACGAGTGTTAATGGGATGACGCTCACAACTAATTCCTGTCCAGGAGAGTCACAGGAAGCAGGGATTACCTGACCACCGAGGTTAAGTGGGCTATCCAATAAACACACACCTGCATACAGCCTTTACTTAGCCTTTACCTAGATGCTAACTATCTCCAACAAAGTCTAACAAATTCAGATGGAAAGAAATAAAAACTGCTTTCTAAGGTGTGATTAATAAGCTGTGGTTTCACCTGGTATTTCTTCTCCCATAGGAAGTCCAGAGTGATGACCTCCACTGCAGAGTTGTTACAAAGCTTGCTGCCAAACACTTCCTGGAGCATGGTGATGAGGTACACATGATGCTCTGCGTCCATTGCATAGTAGTGGTTGAAGTCTAAAAACACTACCTAAATCAATGTGACACAAAAATCAGTCAGTTAGTAGGCTACATCCATCTATCTATCTATCTATGGTCATGCTGATATATCGGTGCTTTAAAGAAATCATAAAAAAATATATTAAAAGTACTTCTCACCTCTTTCCTGTGTCTGCTTAAGAAGGAGTTAATTTCTAACAAGCCATCCTTCACCTTTGGGAGATAACAGAGTGAAAGGTTGGTAGTCATTTGCTGTATGAAACCTAAAGGTCTATTGGTCATGTACGAATGCAAAAGGGCCACTGCTTCCAGTTTTAGTCATAATTTTAGAACCCCAAATGCACAAAACAGCATCACAAAAAAAAAGCTAATGGAAACGTGTCAAATATTAGTTGTACGGGCATAATAATTACAAACTCTTACAGGGCATTGAGTTGTTGTTCCTGCTATAAACCAAGCTTGAATCTATCATTTTACAGCTACAAGTCCATCTCATGACACACTGCAAAACACTGTGACATATAGAGAACAGGCACATGTCAGTTTGACCCACTTGACCCAACAGGGATGTTTACAACTAAACTCACAACCTTTGATCCCTGTTCACGTCACCTCAATCCTACTACGAACAACATCAGCTGGAAACTATAACACAATGTTGGAAGAACAAAATCACTGTTCTTGCTGTTTTATGAGACAAACTATGGGGAGAAACTTTTGAACAAGCTAAAATATATGTATATAAAATATACATTTAAATTTGATCATTTCAGGACTGGAGAATATCTGATCGAGAAAGACAAAGACATTCAGCACTGAATTATAATACTGGCATACCAGAAAATAAGGGCATGCACAGCAGCCACAATGATAAGCATTTAAATGTCAGTAAATATTGAATCCACTGCTCACCTTGTGGCCAAACAGGCCGTGGATGAAGTAGATCTCATTTCCAGGCTCGCCTGGTTTTGAGGAGACCCTGAGATCAAAGTAGCGAATTCCTGCATCCAGCTGCTCTTTAAATGTCAGATTCTAGGAATACAGATATTATATATCACATTATTCATTACATCTGGATACAAAACCCACCACATCTATTCTGTAAAACTTTCTAAATCTGCCCGACATATGTCTTTTTATATGTCATCTGCACGATGCCAAGCTCCCTACATGATGGGTTTGTACATGTCATTGATCCGAACTCAATACCTGGGTCATGGACCACTTCACCATGACTTTCTTGGCTAAGACACTGAACATAGTGGCCAGGTACTTCACATATGCCTTCTGATCGGGCCCCACAGGAGCATGCACATCCACCCAGTAGGTAAAAGAATCATGAGACCCTGGAAGAGAGATGGTGATGATAAATGAAAAGAAAATTTAACAAATAGATAAAGTAATCTAGTCAATAATAAGGATGGAAGAGCAAAGGGCCAGTGGGAAAAGACACACAAAGCCGGTAAAGATAAGGTAGGAGGAAAGGGACAGTAAAAGGATGACCCTAGAGCTCTAAGAATCATAAAGGTGGTATTATTTTTAGCATGGCATAAAATATGACTGTATTACTACATTCCTCTCAGACTTGCAGCTTTGTTGTTATCCTTTCAAAGTTCCCAAAATACCCTAAATCTAGGTGTGATGGGCAGATGAATAGGCAGAGGAGAGCTCAAACATCTTTACGCACGACAGGCTCACCTGGCACAGCGAGGTGTTTGAGAGGCATGGCACTGAGCTTGGAGGGGAGCGAACCCATCCAGTTGGCATTGACATTGCCGATCCCCGCAGGTCGAGTCTTCATGTCAGAAACGGCCTGTCAACAAAACCCCCCCTCAGGAAACCGCTCTCCGGTGCAGACGCAATCCCGGTGACGGATTCCCGTGCGCTCCCAATAGATAAAAACGACTACAGACCATCTTGTAATGTCGTTTTTTAAACGCCCTCCGACTCCCACACTCGATCTGAGTGTGACCCGTTTCCTCGCCCGGTTCCCGGTAGGCTATTGGATGGCGTCGCGGTGCGCTGTGTTCCGACCGGCGAAGCGGGCATCCATTGACAAGACCAGTGGGTGACTAACGACCGTGATAATCCTCTTAGAGCAAAACTACTTGTTATCTCCCCTTCTCCTGCTTCTTGGCTTAACCTGCCTCGTGTGTGCGTGTGAAGACCACCCACTGGACACACGCAAACACTGAGACGCGCTCACAGAAACGCGGCATATTGTTGTCTAACTGTATTTGCTTTGGTGGCTCAGAGACAGCACAAACCTTGACCTGTGGGCTGTGAGGATGAATGCCCATTAATCAGCTCATATGAATCATCTTATCTGTAACCGCCGAGGGGATGGGGATGACTACCTCTAAGTGCTTCTACAGCAGGGCTGACATCAGAACCTGTACAGGTGTTGATGCTTTGGTCTATATATTCTATAATAGCCTATTAATAAATTCATTACTTTTATTGGGGCTGTTAGAAATATAGAAAGATAAACAGATAGATAGATTTTTTAAATCCCCGAAGGGTAATTGGGTCGTTATAGCATCCAGGTACATTAAAATACAATAGAATAAAATACTTGGATAGAAAATATAAAAAAAAGATAAAAAGGTAGGTAAGGTGCAAAGTTTTTAGTTTTTAGTTGCAAGATGGTGGTAATAGTACTGATGACATGATGGTAGTGTTATTGTTAATAACAGTATATAATGATAATATATATAATATGTATAATAATATAATAATATGTATATATAATATGATGACTGAACAGATATACGTGTATACCCGTAGATATTATACATTAATATTGATATAATGTAAACATATCTTGTATCTGTATGCTCTGATTATTAGGCTACTGGCCTATATGATGTGAAATAGTAAATAAACAGCTGGAGTGAAGTAAACTTGTTGAGATTTCTGTGTGTGTTCGCGTCTGTGTCCATATGAAAAGCCCCCCAGCTCTACAGCTCCATCTATTGGTGCAGCGCCTGAACTGCCACTGTGTCCAGAGAGGCGGTGAAGTGAGGAGCTCACACTCATTCTCACTCAGCATTATAATGTTGTGGACAGCTAGAGAGACACACGCCTCCTTTGGCAGACATCTTTCAGTTTAAGCAGCTATGTTTAGGACCACATTATTGACCTTTCTCATTTTGGGTGTGAAACTTTACGCATAAATATCACACAGCTTTTCACTTTGTGCAGTTCGAATCCCTCTGTCAGCCTATTGAGGGTTTGGAGGTTATGGGAACATATTTAGGCTACTACATGGAACAGGAATATTACTACTAGCAATGCAGTTTAAAATTAACAAAAAATTCAACCTCAATTTGTCGAAGTGAAAGCTTTACACTTCCGCAGTCCCATCAAGCACTGCGCCCTCATAAGCCACTTGTCACCTGGCAACCTAAACAAGCGTCGCGTTTGTGTGTACGTTTCCATGGGGAGTTTGTCACGCGCATTCGCACGCGCGCCTTGTCGTAAGAGCTCGGTTTAGATACTACGTGAGTTTTATCTGGAGAAACGTCGCGCTATCAGCGGGCCCAGACAAAGGAAACCGCAGGAGAGCAACTACACCCCATAATGGTGAGTTTTAAACCGCAAGAACATGAAGAAAAAGGGGGGAAATAGAGGCCAAAACAAAGATGGTTGAGGAACTGAACTGTCAAAACGTGACATGTCAACAGCAAATGTTTCTCTATGCTTTCTCTTTTTCCGATAAACGACACTGTGTATTTTACTGAAGTTTAGCTGGTTAGGCCAGAATGTATAAGACGGTAGAGTTAGCCTACTAATGGGAAACAAAGCAGTAATTTATTTGACCAACTAATCACATTTAGAAGATCAAATTGAATTTACTCTGTTTATTTTCCACTGTCAGGTTAGTGTCCACGTGTGCTTTCAATATAATTGACCTTGAATAGCTTCCTAATGTCATGTAGCCTGGCTACATCTTAATTCCCTTTAAATCCCTCCACAACAGATTGCCATATGTGAAAGCCGAGTGCAGGCCTGCAGTCTGCTGGCTGGCCTCTCCACTTGTGCTATTGCTTATTGTTTCAGTGAGACTCAGGATATCATGCAGGGTTTTGTTTAGAGAAATCATGCATACTTTGCAGTGGAAAAAAAAAAGATACGTTGAGAAGGCTGTATACAGTGTGCAAAAAGGATGGCAAATCTTTAAACATTTGCATATTTGTAATTGCACTGATGATTCATTCATTATATCTGGAGTCACAGAGCTAAATCCAGTTTGGACGTTCTCTTTGGATCCGAGTTCCTGGCCCCATTCAATGAAATAAACACTAATCTCATTTTGTTCAGCTAGCCTTGGCTTACCTGCAACATAATTTCCTTTAATCTAAATACAGGAAGACAGTAGACCTACTCAATGAGATTCTACTTACCACACTTAACTAAAGTTTCATGAAAATAGCTCACAGATAGAATTTAAATCCTTACACCCTCTTCCTTCAACATGATTATTATTTCTTAGATCAGTTGTTTTTTGGCAACCAACACAGCCATTAACTTTTGTTTATACAAAAAACAAACAAACCGAGTTTTCCTTGACATTTAATTGCCCTTATTGTCAGACATACTGTTTTATTGGCAGTGTTAAATGCTTTGCTCAAAAGAAACTTTATGTGAGTTGATGAAGAAAGGAACAGCATCTTCTTTGTCCGTTTCCCACTTTTGTAATCTTTCACCATCAGAAACAGTTGTATATAGTATTTATGATTTATGTGTACACTTTTTGGGGCTTTTTTGGCCAAGACTTTCTCCGGGTTTTCTATTTGAGAAACTGAACATGTACCAGATAACCCAGCATTAATCCTCCATGCAAAAGGATAAACTAGGCTTAAAAGGTTTTAGGGAGGCTACTCAGTTTATTGTCTTTAAGGTGTTACACTTGAGGCCTATGTGAGAATATATATGTGGAGATGATACAATTGCAATAAAGTAAGGAAAACATTTAGGAGAGAATGTTGCAACCTACAACAGAACCGAGGACAGCTATGCATTTTTTACCATTTTTTGCATCTATCTTTTTTTTTTTTAAAGTCCTTAGGCAGAATATAAAACATAACGTGTGATCACTGTGGCCCGTGGCGCTAGTCAAATCCTCTTGCCAGGCAGGGTGCTTGGGGAAGGTAGTGGATGCCGGTAAGCATGATGGTGATGTAACATCCTATTTACATCCCTGTTGGCCTAATCTGCCTAGGGCTGGCTGTGTCATCTCCCTTGGGTGGTCATGTTGGAAGCCTCCTGCTAGTGAGACACACACCTTATCCTCCTCACTGAGGGAAAAATAAGAAATGGTCCTCGCTTTTCTTTGTCCTCAGATCTCTTAGAAATCCTGTTTTGTTGGGATTTACAGGAGTGGGTAAAGCTTCTAACTGTTGTGCAGTTTATTGTATTTGTAGCTGATTGTGTCTGCTGCTCATGATGTGTATTTATTTTCTGTCACTTAAGGATTGCAGAGGCAGAGTGTCGACTGCTGGCTGACCTGCACCACTGGGATCCAACCTTTCTAACAATGGATCGGTTACAGCAAGATGAGTTTTGAACCTCAAGAATTGGTGATCATCGTCACATGCCGGCCAACTGAAAGTCCTTCCTCCTTGGAAAAGAACAACTGAGCTCTTCTGGAGAAGAGGCAGGTGAAACAAAGACATTCCTTCAGCAGAAGAGGACAGGAAACAGGAAAGACATTTTATCAATGAATCAGCGCTGCGTTTCCACAACTTGTTTTAAGAATAAGGAAAGTTAACAAGCTGATGAAACCGTCTTGAGAGATGATGAATCGCTACACCACCCTAAAGCAGCTGGGTGATGGCACCTATGGCAGTGTGCTGATGGGCAGAAGCAACGAGTCTGGAGAACTGGTGGCAATCAAGAGGTGAAAATGTTGATCATTATTTTAATATTTTAGTCTTAAAGATTGAAATATTGTCTCTCTTTGGTAGAGCATGACAATATATTGATATAATATTAATATTGTAAGAGTTTGGTTGTTTTATTAATGCATTATAGTTGATATTTTGTCTTTCTCCAGTTTTTAAGGCTATTTAACATCATAGTGAATTTATACAATTCAGCAAACCTACAGTATTGACTATTCTAGTTAAGTGGAATGAGGCTTAGTACAAAGTCCATATTATGTAGGCCTACCCATATCTTACATTGATTATTGTTTAAAATCATCCACAAAATAAGCAAGTAATTGATCACTGTAAATCCAAATATATTGTATATTTCAAGGTCAGCTAATGTCTCCCCAGTGTTTTACAAAGCAGAAGTACTTAATGAATTATATGTCATTATAAAAGAAATATAAAGTGAAGTCTAGGACTAAGAGCTACTGGTTTCCTGCTATCACCAGGACAAACAAACTAGCTTACATGCCTTTGTTTCGGCAGCATGGCAGCAAGATTCAATAATAAATGAGGAACTGGGGAGATGCGTCCACTGGTTGATCATTTGGTTACCATGCAAGACAATACGTGTGGTGACGGTGAAAGGGAGTGAAAGTAGAGGGAGTGTGTCAGGTTTCTGACATTGTGGAAGGGACGACCGAAACTGGCTGATGCCCAGAGAGCTGAAAAAGATATCTACACGTTCTGTAACTCTTACATAACTCCAGTGGGAGGGAGAAGTAACGCTGATCAGAGAAGAAAAGCTATCATAAAGGTGTCATGTATACCAGCTGATATGCGGTTTCAGTGTACATAGCAAAACACACTGCGATGAAACTGACGACTTCATACATCAGCTGAGTCAAGTGTGTTTTTTACGCCTAATTAACATAGAAAGCTAGCAATGGTAAAGCCTATACAGTTTACAATCCCTTAACAATCTACAGCTTTTGCTAGTTTTCTTCTTGAAATAAAATGAGCTGTAATTAGGTACGCCTCACAAATGCTGAATTATTGATGGAGAGTGGCGACGCACAAAGGAATATTGTAAAGATAGTGACTTTCCTGTACGCCTGGTGTAATTAATACAGCCTGCAAATGTGTTGTCTTCTATTCTTCAATTGATGCATGTCCGATCTGTACTCCAAATGAATGTCTGGTTTTATCCTTCTTTCACAGAATGAAGAGGAAGTTTTATTCATGGGAAGAATGTATGAACCTAAGGGAGGTGAAGGTACGGATGGTGATACTTTGGGCCGGTTATGGGATGCCGTATAACAGCAGTACTTCCAGTCATTGGCAACAGCAGGCATGAGATGAAAATAAATGAAAAGTTTACTTGGGAAGATATTGCTGTGTGATATAATAATAATAATGCAATAATAATAATGCACAGCAGCTCCTTGAACTCTGTTGCCAGTTACAGTTGCCTAAGAAGCTATATAACACATATTTAAAATGTCACACCAACGTTAGAATCAGGAACAGTAATTCAAGTGTTTGACAGTATTCCTACTCCCTTAAATTTTCTGATTCATAATTATAAACATTTAATATCATTGTTGAACAAATCTGATATCTCAGATTATCTATATTATTATATATTATATATTATTTTTATTATACAGGTGTAATTGCACGTACATAAAGCTGTTATTACATTACATGAGTGCCCGTATTCTTGTCTTTTCACACCAGTCATTGAAGAAGCTGAACCATGCAAATGTGGTAAAACTGAAGGAGGTAATCAGAGAGAACGATCACCTATACTTTGTCTTTGAGTATATGAAGGAAAATCTCTACCAGCTTATGAAGGACAGGTAAGAACAGAATGCTTTACAGTGTAATACAATACAAGGTGTATAACACAGTGGTCTAGTTTGATGCCATTACTGTAACACAAAGTTTTCCAAACCTTAGCATCTGGTCAGGAGCTTCGTCTCTGGATCACAAGCCTGAAACATGGCCAAATTATATACTTAGGGTGTGATGTAATTTGAATGATCTGATGTAATTTAAATGGCCTTCTCTGGGGAAGGCTCTGATGGTTTTGCTAGTTTGGAAACCCATGTGTCTCCACTGCACTTGCACACAAGTCAAGCCCTTGATGATTTACAGTCAGTTCAGTGGTTAAATGTATACTTTTATAAATGCTCTGTTTTACCAGCTAGTGTATGTGTACAAAGACAAACATAATGATGTTTCTGTAATGTTGGTTACATTAGTAGGTTCATGAGAATTCTGTCAATTTTATGTTTACAGAAGAAAATTGTTCCCTGAATCAGTGATAAGAAACATAAGCTTTCAGATTTTACAAGGCCTGTCATTTATGCACAAACATGGTAGGTGTACGCTGTTCCCTTCATGCCTTTCAAATGCATGAGAGTGGTTACATACTGCAAGATTCATTGAATAGTTATACAATGAGAAAAGTATAAAACGAAGTATGAGATATTGCCACCAAAGACCTGAATTGTCAAATTGGTGATATATTAATTGATCAGAATCTTGTAGTTTGTGAACCTTTCATAACTGCCCTTATCTAACTCATTGGTCTGCATTTCTATAATTCATGGTTGTGGGAATGCATCATATGTAGTGTTGGCAGTTTTAAAACTCTTTTCTTTCTATTAACTGCTTTCTTTCATTTCTCTTCCCCCTCATTCTTTCCTTTTCGGTCTCTTTGCTCTGCTGTTAGAGAGAATAAGATGTTCTCAGAGAATGAAATTAGGAACATCATGTTTCAAGTGCTTTCTGGGTTGGTTTTTGTACATAAGCATGGTAAGAGGTTTCTTCACTCTGTCCTTCTTTACCTTACCTGTTTACCTGCTTAAGTAGCACAACCTTTCAGTTGTTGGTGTGAGTGTGTTTGATATTGTAACAAGTCTTGTAATTTAGAACACCACAAGCCTATTAGCTCTGTTTATTTATAGATATATTTAACAGAGCTAGGTCATAGTACATTTTATAATAGCATCAAACATTTTAGTTCCTTTAGGTATACTTGTTTTCTCAGCAAAGACGTTTCACTTTCATTTCGCTAAGAACAAAACTAAACAAGGTCTCTGTCCAGGTCTCTTCATGCTTAGAATTTGGCTCATGTAATAACTGTGTCTACAAATTGCCCTCATATGCAACTACTTTTCATTAGCGAAATACATTTCTAGGGAAATACAATGCCCCCTGTATTACTTAATACTGTCAATACTATTAATGTTAATACTGTAACTGCTAAATGCACTGCCAAAGTGTTTACTTAGATACATTCCCTTTAAATCTGCATGTGGTAACTGAATTACTGAACATATAGGATTAGGTAACTAAAACAGCTTTGCTAAGATTAGAAAAACAATGTGGCCATGGTTAAATAATGAACATGATGAAAGTATGTAGAATACTTAGTCCTTAAATACACTGACCTTCAAACCTGTGCCACCACTGAGGAAGGCAAATATGCATCCATTCACTAGCTCCTCAGTGTTCCTTTTCTTGTGGTATCTGAATATTGTGTTATCTGAAATTTATTTAAATAATATCCCCAATGATATGATGGAGAAAATTAGTTTATTATATAAAAATAACTAGTACATAGGGAAGCCAGGAGCAGTGTTCTTCTCTCTCTGTGGTGCAAAGCATCTTAAATGTGCTCCATGCTGAACAGGATTTCCACTTCATTTCAATGGCTTTCCACCAAATCCCTTCCTATTATTGTGATTGCAAAGCAGAGAGCGCTCAGCGCCCATTTTTGGTTTGACCTGGTCAGGAACTGAGTCTGTAACCTCAACTACAAGGGCAGGCATTCAGTGCCACTAGAGGGTATCTGAATTTTGCACATTTGAACTGAATAAAAAATACTAATGTAGAGGGGTTGCATATGATTGCAATTTTGGCATTTTTCTAATCGTCGTTTTTAATGGCATTTGCCCTATACACAGTGGCTCAACTTGATATTTCTGCAGGATTCTTTCATCGAGACATGAAGCCAGAGAATCTGCTGTGCATGGGTCCAGAACTGGTCAAAATTGCAGATTTTGGACTGGCCAGAGAGATCCGGTCCAAACCTCCCTACACAGACTATGTATCAACTAGATGGTGAGAGTACTGTCCAGGCATCAACAGCCATCTAAAACACAGAAGAAAGCCTATGCATCAATTACAGTGTGCAAGGCTGCTTCTAAGGTCAAGCACAACAGATATGTAAAAGTCACATTGTGAGAATTCTCCTGGTTTTATGAAGCTATGAAGTTGTGGAGTTGTTGGCTGGTTCATCAAGTATGTTCTCTGTCCAGGTACCGGGCTCCAGAGGTTCTGCTCAGGTCGTCTACCTACAGCTCTCCTATTGACCTGTGGGCTGTGGGCTGCATCATGGCTGAACTCTATACTCTCAGGCCTCTTTTCCCTGGGAACAGTGAAGTGGATGAGATCTTTAAGATCTGCCAAGTTCTTGGCACCGTCAAAAAGGTGAGAATTTACCTTTATTCAGGGTTTTAATTGTAATTACCAAAAAATGTCTTGCTGCTGAAATTAATTGAAATTTGTTTACTATATAAAAATAAGCAGTACATAAGTAGGCCAGGAGCAGTGTTCTTCTCTCTGTGTGGTGCAAAGCATCTTAAATGTGCTCCATGCTGAACAGGATTCCCACCTCATTCTAATGGCTTTCCACCACATCACTTCCTATTAGTGTGATTGCTAAGCAGAGAGCACTCAGAGCCCATTTTTGCTTTAACCTGGTCTGGAACTGAGTTTGTGACCTCAACTACAAGGGCAGGCATTCAGTGCCACTAGAGGGGAAACTTCTCAAGAAGGATTATTAACTGCATCAAAGCAATGGTTGGTGCTGACCAGATGTGTTTAAGTGGTGTTGGATTTCATCTACATTGTTATACATCATCTACATACAGGCATACACTATGTTATGAACCCTCACAGGCTAAATGGTGCTCAAATTGCCATAAAACCTGGTTGCAGTCTCTCACATCACCCACCATTTTTCTCATATGATTCTAATGCTTTACTCAGATAGCCACAGACAGTGTCAAATAAATTTTGTCCACACTGAAACAATCTTTGAGGGTCCCATGTGATGACGTTAACAACTAAATCTGTAAACACCCTATTTTTATGAAGATGATAATGAATAACCATTTGTCTCTTCCCTTAGACGGATTGGCCAGAGGGCTACCAACTAGCTGCTGCTATGAACTTTCGCTTCCCCCAGTGTGTGCCGACCCATCTAAAGACCCTCATCCCAAATGCCAGCAATGAGGCTATTGCCCTGATGAAGGACCTGCTCCAGTGGGACCCCAAAAAAAGACCCACTGCTGTACAGGTGAGCAAAGCTGAGCTTTACAGTTGTCTCTAAAGGTCTGGTAACAGTAAGCAGTCATGGCTTTAATTGTTTTTCATGTTTTTAACTTGTACATCATGAAGAGCACTCTGGCTTTTCTGGACTTTAAAGATATATTTGGACACACCTAAAAAACACACCTGTCCTCAGAGACACAATTTCTGTGACAGTGCAACACTCACCACTATGTGCAGATTATCTGTAGGTCCAATACTGAGATTGCATTAGCATCCTAATCCCTGTCATTTTTAGTAGTGCTTAAGCCATTCCCTCTGCGACTGCTAAATGTTCTACCTTTGCTGGTGTGCTCTGTTTCACATGGACAACATGTGGTCATCACGTAGTTAAATACAATTTACACTCCAGTGAGACAGCAGAACTGAACCCTGTGGGGCCTGAGTAGGAAACATCTTTCCAGTGGGGGTGACGATGCTTTTCCATTCTCTGCTGACAACGCTCCCAGGTGTAGGATGCTCGTCAAGTTTTAGCCCATTCTAAGAAAGCAATTTGGATTATTTTAAATGTACTCAGCAAAGTTGTTTGCATGGAATAAAAAACAAAGGTGTGAGCGTGAAGGTTTTTATGTGCAGGGTTTCAAGTCTTTGACTCAAGTGTTATGGAGTACAGAAATGTGAAGAAATCTTCATTGTAGCAGAAAACAATGATTGCAGAACATCTACATTACAGAATAACAATCTGTATTCCTTTCCCCTCTTGTTCTAGTCCTTGCGTTACCCGTACTTCCAGGTAGGCCAGATCTTAGGACCTCGTCCTCAGAGCCAGGAGGTCAAGAAGGTCCAGGCCAGGCCACTCGCCCAGAAGCAGGCCTCGGAGCACAAGACTGATCCCCAGCAGTCTTCTTCTGAGTCCAAGGCCTCCACATCCTCCTCCAGAAACCAACAGCAGCAGGAACATCATCAGCCTCTTCAGCAGATCCCCCTTCCCCAAACAGAGAGTAAATCAGCAGGCCTCAGCCATGCAGTGAGTGTCTTTGTGCAAATCAGAACCTTATTTATTGTATTTTGTGTTCAATATAATGAAAAAATGAAAGCACCTAAGATTATGCAGATTCATAGGCTATTTTTGGATTTCCCAGAATACTAATACATAAAGGAGTCCTTCCGGCCCCTGTCTTTGCATATTAGACTCCTCCTAAAAGGAGAAAGCTTTGTAGTACAATGAAAGTAGCAGAGAGCTGGAGTTAGTAAGACTGATTTTATCAATTAGAACATGACTGTTTATGTGCCTATTGTATTTTCTTCCTCTGCAGAAAGCAGCCTCGCTGGGCAGTGAGAACACCGTCGGTGGTGGTGGGATGGGGGCGGTGAAGAGTGGCCGTCGTCGCTGGGGCCAGACTGTGGCCAAGACCTCGGACAGCTGGGAGGAATTTGACCCATCAGAAACTGCTGCCTCCAACTCCAAGAAACCTAGTCTGGGGAACACGGAGGAGGAGGGGAACCCTAAGGAGCACCGCCCACAGTGAGTGGCAAAAATTTAAGAACTGTCAGTCAGGTTTTCACTGCATTGCGAGAAATGTGTGTTAAATTTGGATGTCTCATGCATCACAGAATGGTAGCAGGTTATCTTAGCTGTGAAGCATTCTTCAGTCTTTATCAATCTGTCTCAATAATTCAGTCTGTTTTTAAATGCATAGCACCCATAGGACTAGGACTCAAATTCAAGACTTAATGTGAAAGTTAGATTACTTTTTGGGCACAGACCTTCAGTTGTCTGTGTTTTTTCTGTTTTCAGGCCCAAGGAGCAGAAACCGCTGTATTCCTTCAGCACAGTTACTAAGTTACCTAACAATGTTAAGATTGGCCAAATGGACTCCAATCTCCCAGGATCTGCTGCACGACAGCACTATCTGAGCCAGTCACGGTACTTGCCAGGTGAGACTGCATGACCAACAGCAAACAGGGTCATCTTTGTCATTGGTCACCATAACGTAGTGTTGTACAAACAATTTTTCCATTCTCTTTATGGTTTTGCATCATTTCCCCTCTTAAACTTGCCAGGAAATGTATTCATGAGCTTTGTTGTATCTGTGTCAGGTGACTTGTTGTCAAGCATGACTGCTAGTATATCGAATTACCTTTTGAAAAGTAGCCTAGGTAAAAAATGTCCTGTTTTCAGAAGTCCTTAATGACAATTACTTTCTCAAGAAAACCTCAAACTCATCAGCTGGTCTACTTATGCAAATGTCAATAATTTACTAAAAATCAGGCTTACATGGAATCAGCTGACAGGTGCCCTTTTTATGGCTCCCCAGTTTCTCTTTGTCTCAGATGTCCTGTGATTGTGTGATGAAGGGCCTTGTTGCTATTTTCAGATTCCCTGTAGTGATTTGTAATGCAAACATTATGGTGACTGACTCCACTCAATAAATCTAACACATATAAGGAGCATCATCCTCATATCAAGTAAAAATAATAAGGCATCATTGCATTCATTTGGAGCCACCTGATCAGCCAGTATCATAGAAATGCAACATGGTGATTTTAGTAGTTTGATTAATTATCACACATTTTTCTTTTGCTTAAAGGGTTGATTGGCAAGAATCAGACAACTGGAGATAAGGAGTTGAGTGGTATGACGCTGCGGGACCTGTGGGAGAACTCCTCAAACTCTGTAAACAAACCACTTGCTCCTATTGGAGGAGGATTATCTGTCACCAGAGCCAACGCAGGTGAGGACTGATGTAGAGGTGTTAAGAGGCTTGATGGAGCATGCAGTGGACGGTGCTCGGGTTTCCAGATTTCACTAACATGTTACGGAAATCATATTGAACAAAACAACTGTGTTTACAGTGTGTACAGGACCCATAATGTAGACAGAAAGTGAATGACTTGTGTTCCAGGATATTCATTAAAATGCTTGCTGAGGTTTTCCCTGATTATTGGCGTATTAGAAGTAGCATCAAAAAACTATTTTGTCACAAAAAACCAAAGAAGAAATTAATTTTAATGCAAGTATCCTGTTACATTTACTAGTCTTTGTGTCCTTATTCTTTAGTGAATATTCCCCTCTTTGTCAATATTTATTTTACCCCTTACCTGAGCAAAAATATTACAACATAATAGCATATTGTACCCACTGTGGACATTGTGAACCTCACATAAAATATGCAGAGAAATCTTTCTAAATCTATAACTGAGCTAACAAATTTTTTTTGGCTACAAAATTAGGCAATAAATCTACTTACCCAGACATATAAAGAGATATAAATAATGACTACAGTGTGCCAGGCAGTGGAAACCTGGCGACTGTCAGTGTCACCTACTGTTACATAATATGATCTGTCCTCTTTGTTACACAAAGGCTGTAAATGCTAATGATGCAGCTAATGTCTCCTGATCAGTAGTTATGGGGCCATTGACCAAAGCCTTGTTAGGAGTGAGTCTAAGCGTCTGCGGCCTCTATAAATCATATTTGTCATGTAGACAGACACACAATATGGGCCCCCGCTGTGCTCCCTCCTTCCCTCTCTTCTCCTGTGTCTTTGTTTCACCTTGTCTCTCCCTCACTATTGCTTATTCATGAGATTAAGGCTGTCGGTAAGATCAAGTGTTCCCTTAAATGGCCCATCAACTGCACCCCCCTGCTCATTTGTCCCACCTCCCAGCACTCGCTCACTATCACACACGCACACTAACGTTTGTTTTGACACTGCTCACCCATTACTCATGAATATATTTTTTTTTTACTAAAATCAAGGAAAAAGGTATCTTTCTTTTTTGTTTTATCTTTCTGTTACCATAAGCATCTGTGCTAACATATTCTTCTCTCAGTTTTCTCAGTCTTCTTTCTCTCTGATTGCATGCATATCTCCTCCAACTCTACTTTTGGCTGTGTGACTAGAAGAGAATTACTCCAAATCTGTGGATAGCCCACCAGAGAAAACCCTTGTTAAAGAAAGAGTTCTGGAGAAAATCGATCTCTCCAAAGGTATTTAATTGAGATGACGTCACGTGAACTGTTTTGTTGTGTTTTACAGTTGGGAGCAGTGATGTAAATTTAGATATCTCTCCCTTTGTGTAGAAACATTGTAGTTAGTATTGCGGCCAATGCAACAAGCTTCAGGTATTCAGCCAGCGACTTAACATGTGAAAGAAAACGGCTACTAAAAGGCTCTGCAGGAGACAAGGGTACAAATACACAGTTTAACCAGAGAACTAAGAACCCCAGTTGCTAAATAGGTGGTTAAATTGCACTATAACCACAACATCTTCATAAGGGAACAATGAGGCTTTTCACTAATTATACTGATAGCTATCTGTGACCGTTGGTGAAGCAGACCGACGGCGTCGCCAGAGAAGCTGAATGACTTCAAACACTTGATCTTAGTCACTGTTTGGGTCCTCAGTAGCTGCTGCATATGCAGGAGCTACCTCACATGTTCACACAAATAATTAGTATCAGTAAAGTCATCTATTAGGTGTGTTTACTAAAGTTTCACATTATTTGAACTTATATGACATTGACCCATGCTGCCTGGGTACCTGGAGGGTATAACAATAAAGCACATAACTAAATAAAGACCCATGTCTCTCTTTTATTTTAGGGAACTTTGTAAGCACCAAATACAACCTCTCTGGTGCTTATATGCCTTCATTTCAAAAGAAAGAGGTGGGCTCGGTGGGACAGAGAATCCAGCTTGCCCCTTTGGCTGGCCAGCACGCAAGTAAGATTTTATTCCATTTATGTAAAGCTTACAAAATGACTGCTGATACTTTTAGATCAGATTACATCCCCCACCACCTGTTCGTCTAAAATTAACTTAAGTAAATACTGTTTCTACATTCTGTAAGAATGACTGCTCTCTCGTATGGTCGTCCTTATGCCAGTATGCCTGACTATTCCTTCTCTTTTTCTCTATTAATACTTCAATCAAAACTCTCACTCATTATGACTGTTTCTCCTCTTTCTTCACTCTTTCAGTCAATCTTTCTTCTTCTCCTGATAATAAAAAAGACAAACCAAAATCTGCAAAGGCCAAGCCCATATCCAACTCATCTTTAAGTGAAACTAATGAAGGTATTGCCATTTTCTAGAAGTTTCTATTAGTTCCTTGTGTTCATATTTTTTAGAAGAAAAAGCTGTCCTTCTGTGTTGTTTCCCTTGTCTATTGGTTTTGTTAACTACAATACCTGTACTATATTAATCTCTTTCTTTTAATGCGTTTAAACCACACAATCCTATTCTAAAAATAAATAGGATTGTGTGGTTTAAACGCATGTGATGTGTCTTGCATCACACATAAAAGGGATCTTAATAAAGACAGACACCTGGCTATATGTGTAAATATATATTGGAGATAAACAAACTGGCTTGTTCCTGCAGATTACGAGGGCTGGAAGAGGAGATCAGACCGGACTCAGATGAAGGGGAGCAGCTACTCAGCCCTAGGGAAAACGTCTGGGAATCTCCTGACCAGAGCTCCCGCTGTGCAGCCTGTCCACGGCAGGGTGGACTGGACCTCCAAATATGGTGGAAATCGGTAGTTCAGAAAGAAGGTGGTACAGCTTCTACTGCTTGTTGGACTGCGTTGCCTAGTGGTACACATCTTTGGCTAAGGAATCTAACCCTAAGCAGACTTTTATCCATACTCAAACTTGTTGTAGTAATGTTACAAAAGATGTACGTGACACATCCCAGTCTTTTTAGGAGACATTTTTTATGCCACAATGGCATAGTTTTGTTACCAGAGAGCCTGAGACATGTATGATCTAACTGTAGATGTGCATGGAGTGTATGTTTGGATGACTGTTGCCATGATACTGAACCAAGACTGATACTGTCTGCACGACAATCCCACTGTACTCCTGAAGGATCCAGTGTGAGCCAATTCATTCTACTGTTAGTGTTGGGATATTCTGAGTAGGATTTAAATGTAACATAGCTTTTCATTTTTTTTTTACTCTAGTTTTTATTGTCATGTATTGTTATACTACTGATGACAAAGGATAAACAGACATATTAACGGTTCCTGCAATGCTATATTCCCTCTGCTGTTATTCACCATAGGTGATATGGCTATAAAAGTGATCACTTCAACTTATTCTAGATACCGTAAGACAACTACACACTCTTTGTATTATGCAATGAATTGACTGAACATTTTGTAAACATTTTATACAAATAAAGATATGAAAGTTCATAGTGCATTCATTCAAAAAGGACAAGACAGCCATTTCTATTATATAAACATGGTATTATATTTCATCCTCAAATATACACTTCTTTTTGTTTGTTTGTTTTTTTACAAATCAACATTAATGTTCAACAGTGAATGACATATGCTGAAACGGAAGATGGAGCACACATCAGAATCTTCTATCAGGTCTCCTGGGGTTTCTGGAGCAATGTCACACCAAGCTTTGCCACCATTAGAAGACTGGAACAGGATGATAACATTAGACTCTATGCACAGAGCACTGGGAATTGTATAATAATCTAAACTGAGAAAAATGTGCTGAGATTTTGAGTCACTTTAGAGTATGAGTGATCATCTGGGTTCAACATCCAATCACATTATTATCAAGCTGTTCAGCAGCAATATCTAGAACAAGTATCACCTTAACCTTGAGTCAAAGTTAGTCATCATGACCACATCAGACTAATGCAATGAGTATATTTATTTCTGTAGAGGTAACCACCTCATCTTGTCACGGTCATCTTTAACAGAAATCACCATTACTTAATCTGATATGTGTTTACGCATGCAAAATCAGTCTAGTCACATGAAGGAGATGCATACCTTGCTCCAGCCATCAGGCCAGCTGGCATGAACTTTCTGGATGCATAGAACCTCTTCCCCATGACACCACTCAGCACTCCTGATGTAGCTGGAAGACATTGTGTGGTAGAAAATGTTGACCAAAGAGACACAGAACTGTTCTACTCTAGTTTATCCCGTGCAACACATTCACAGCAAATACAGAACAACACCAACCGAGGGACACCCAAACATTATTGGGCTCATTGGAGATCTGGTAGGCGCCAAAACCTGCAAGGCCACCGAAGAGAAGACCAGCAGCAAGGGAGGGGACGCTGCCTGGAAGAAAGAACACACAGCAGGTCAACACCAGCACCTGACATAAGAACAAGTACACACTGGTGTGTTGTGGCACACAGAAATGGAGACATTTTAGTTTTGTAGTGCATGGAAATTATTGAATGAACATGGATTCTTAAGAAGAGAAAAGATCAGTTAACATGACTGAGGTTATCAGCCAATTTCTACTTATTCTAAAAGGGTTTTGGATAGGCTACATCAGAAATGCAGTGATCTATAAAAGACAGTCACACAAGCAAGCAAACACCACAGCAATATCATTATAATCTCAAAACATAGTGCTTTTTAAAGATTTGAGGAACCACCTTCCACCTCTTTATATATCTAATACAACACATACCTGCTTTCACATAACCAATGACTCCCCCGGATGCGACCAGGGCAGCATATCCATATCCGACCCAATCCACAGACATGTTGAACACCTGTCAGGGGCCACAGCGTGTTAGTGAGCGAACAAACTCAATGTGTACAGTAACTATTCAATTCAGCCGGCTTCCTGTTGGGAACCAGATGTTACTTACAGATGCCCAAATGCTATAACCACCATCTGAATGCTGCAATACAGAGCTGTTATAGACAACTAGCTGAGGCAACAGAATATATAGAAACATTGTAGCATCCGAGGAACGTTCCCGCTTTCACACAGTGCGTCTGTTTTTGGCCAAATATCGTTAGTCTGCGGCCCCACTGAGGGGGTGTGCGTTTGTCTGGCTTAATAGATAAGGCTACTAATATACAGAGCCTTAGCACGAGCACGAGCTAGCATCACTGTTACAACACGCATGCAGTCCACTGAATGCGAAGGTATATCAGTTTATGAAATATAAACATTTCTTTGTAAATGAATTCGAGCTGTAAACGTCTGAGGCTGTCAAATATGGAAACTTTAAACTAAATATAAATACGTACAACCTTGCTCCTTCAGTTTGTCCTCTGTCACTGTCTGCGGCAGCTTGTTCTCCGCCGAGCACAAATTATTGGCACACATAACACGCCGCGGGATGCCCGACGGGAAATGTAGGCGCTTTGCTTGGGAGCGAGGTGCTGCCTTCGTGCGAGGCGGAATTTCAACAAATAATAATAATTATTAATAAACACATAATAATAATAATAATAATAATAATAATAATAATAATAATAATAATAATAATAATAATAATAATAATAATAATAATAATAATGAATGAAACATAAAAGCGTACAAGTTGTCATTTTTTTAAATTAATAGTTAAAAAGCAACAATATGTGCACATTTGCCCCAAATGTAGCCTATATAACAGTGCATTGTGCAACATAACGTTGCCTTCTTCTTGGTTATTGAACGCATCAGCAATTTCAAGCACTTTCAAGCAATCCTGCGTTTAACACATATTAACTGCCCCATGTGGAACAGTTATATATAGGCTACATTATATAATTTATCATTATGTAGTTTATATCTTTAAAACAAATACATTTCATTACTTATGTTTATAAATCGTATATAGATAGATAGATAGATAGATAGATAGATAGATAGATAGATAGATAGATAGATAGATATACTTATATGTTCTGTGTCAGAACATATTAAGAGCAATTTGAAACAATAACATGATGATGATGATTAATTAACATGTTTGACATAATCATTCTATTTGTGTAGCCTATAATTTGACACTGCCACCTCTTAAGACTGATTAGGTGCCCTTGAGCAAAGCTACCCCATCTGTTTCCACAGTGATGTGCATTAGACAACACGCCATTATTTTGAAGTAATTTGCTCTAAGGAATCTCATCTATGAAGGTTTCTGTTGTTTTATATGTCTCCATTAAAAAGGTTTATCTATATTGTGGGAGAGGAGCAAACAGTGCGGAGACTGAACCCATTTTTAAAAAAATATATGAAAAAACATCTTTATTGTCTCATCTGCTGACTCTAGAGTCACGACATAGCAATGAAATTAAAGTATGGGCCTAAATTTACCTAACCCCCCCCCAACTCAAACACCGATGATGGACCTCAAACACCGAGTGGGAGCTGGATTTATTTTTTAAAACCACAAGATGGCGCCACAGGATTAGACTAAATTGTGTTTTAAATCATACCCTAACATCACCAAGCTTTAACTGGACTTATCCCACTGCTATTCCAATTTTGTTTAGCTTTACATTTAGAAGAAAGGTCTGCACAGAGGCCGGATAAAACACACACACACACACACACAACATCACCTCCCACTGCGTCGGGACGTGTGTTTTTTTTAGAATTGCCCTGTGGGGCGATTACCATGAAAATGGGCAGGTTTAGTCTTAGAAGTGTGATTGAAGTTCATGTTCAGGGGCAGGTGGATAAAGGTCAAAACGAGGGCTGTTTAAGTTATGGTCAAGTGATAAACAAACCTGACAATTGCCTGGATTTTGACCCATGTCCATATTTTTTATTTCACTAATTTGCACATGTTCCTTTTGACCACCTGCTTTTTTTTGACTGGCATCGTTGTGGCAGTTTCACTTACTGGAATGCTCACTGCGCGCACATTCTCATTTGGTTTCAATTACCGGCAATATTGTCTTTAATCCACTGGCTGTTCTCCTGAAGCAAGGTGGCGCTAGAATACAAATTATCTTCCTTCGAGAGCAGCGTCTCATACAGTGAGCCTTAAAACCTTCTCCCTCAACAGACCCAAATGTCATGAAAATCACGGTGCTGCATGGGGCGTTTGTACCATGTGTGCTGGTGACGGGATAGTTCCTGTCTTCAGCAGTCAGTCACGTCCAGCTGGTGCGAGTCTGCAGCCAAAAGTCTTTGTTGCAAATCAAACTGGGCATCTTCTGACGATTTTCCAACTTCTCCATTACTTGAGGGGGGGTTAGGGTGAGGAATTAGTCCCTTGACCAGTCAATATTACAAAACTATTACAAAACAACGAGGGAAGGAAGGGGAGATAACAACCCGGGATGTTTCACAACATTTTGGGGACTGAGGAGAGCGCGTAAAATACGCACGAAGATCAATTTGTGTCTCAGCAATGTCCGACCAGTGGCCTACCACACACGCAACACTACCACTAATACATCAAATAATAATAATAATAATAATAATAATAATAATAATAATAATAATAATAATAATAATAATAATAATAATGTATATAAATGGCTGCACAAAGGGCCCGAGGTGCAACCGTTGCCGACGCCTATTAAACATAGCCCGCAGTTTTAGGAAGCGAACGTTGCCGGAGGCCCGGTGCTATGGTGGAAGTGGTTGAAACCAAGCCTTAGACAAACAGGCTGGATATTCAAACGGACCCCGCTCTTGTCTGAGAGGAACCCACTCTCAGACAGCTCTGCTTTAAAACTTACTCCTCCCTTAGTGCACAGAGCCCCAAACAATATTTCTGCCCCCCCCCCAACCCCTCCACACACATACACACCTCCCTCTCTTTTGTCCAGTCCTGGTGAGGTCTGTATAGCTGCAGGTATTGTGTGTGTAGTTAAAATGTGTTCGCCTTTGAAGTCCAACATGAAGGTTTGTTTTAAATATTAACACCAATAAAAAATACAAAATAAAATCTATAGATTCTATGTGGGATTATGCAACTTCAAAAAATAATAAATAAAATAAAAACTATAAAGGTTTTATTGGAGAAAATGCAAAATGAAGAGTATTTTCCCGTAAAAAGTTTGTCCAATATTCTCAGTAGATGCATTAAATATGTTTTGATGTGTGTTTGATGTAGTGAGAGAACCATCCATGCGGCTGTCTGCCAGCGACGTTCATCGTAACTCTGTGCGTCCCGTTTGCAGCCTGCATGTGTGAGTGCTGTCAGAAACCTGAAAGAGGAGAAAGGTTTTTTTGGAATAAAGCTTTGACCATTATCACCTATGTGAGCGCACGTGTTGCACTCCCCCCCCCCACTCTCTCTCTCTTGTGTGTGTGTGTGTGTGTGTGTGTGTGTGTGTTGGTGGGTGTGTGCGTGTGTGAGACAGAGAGAGGGAGAGCTCATTCGCTCTTGGCCGGAGGGGTCTACATAAGTATGTATTAGAAATAAACAGTGGATAAATAAATAATGAGCCTCACAATAGCAGGGTAGCTTTCTGTGTAGAAGTAATGATGTTGGCAGTTAACCTTCAAGTTTTTAACTTGACACAGTTTCATTTGCAGTGAGAATTCATGTTTTCTAAAAACAGACAAAACAGTGAAGGAAAAAAAAAGAAGTTTAATTGACTCAGGACTAACGGATTTTTGTTTTTCTTTTACTTTTATATCAGTTTAAGATAAACATAATACAATATGTTTTTCCTTTGCTAAATGCACTTTAATTTTATTGCAGTTTTTGTATTTTCTAATAAGCCATCTTAATTATTATTAATATATTTTTGTTTCAAGGAGAGGGTAAAACCACATCACATGTTACCTGGCTTTTAGTGTGCACAATTGTATTACTTTCTATTTTTAAAAAATCGATGTAAATTCACCTAATGCAAATAAACTACCGTTATTACTCTGTACAATATGGATTTTATAGGGTAAAAGCTTAAAAGGACACCTCCCTGCAAATATAATTAATCTTAAATTTAAAAAACAACAACAGTGGCTTTGATTGTACCTCATAGTTTCTTTTAAAAAGAACCTTTCAAACGTTGTAATAAATAATAACAAACTCGTTTAATTGTCATTAGAGACCAAAGTGTGACAGCTTAGGCCTATCCAGCACCCATATAAATATGGCTATTTCACTTTTTCCCAAGTAGTGTCTTTCTCGTCCACACCCGGAGTTGTGCGCATGCGTCACCAGGTGGCCCCACACCGTTTTTATGGCCAGGTGAGGCGATCCGGTCCAGGTAAAAAGTAAAGCTTTACTTTGGGGACCGAAGGCTCAATGAGATAGACACGGCACCAGATCGACCAAAAACCAAAACCAACCAAAGGCAGCAGAAGACAAAGAATGTCAATTATGGGCAAAATGGGGGAATGGCAGGTATGTGGTGCTTTACTTTAAGACAAAGAGACGGCTGTGGAAATCCATGAAAACTGTCAAAGTGTCGACTTGTTGTAGGATGAGGCTGCACAGGCACCGTGAAATCTTTTGTAAAAGGCAGGGTGCAACAGTGCTCCTGTGTTAATCTAGAAGCTTATATGTTTTATCCGACAGGAGATCACGCAAAGGAAGTTAAATATATTTTAGTTTGGGAACTCTCTGTTGCGGTGATGTAGCCTTACATGTCAAATTAACTCCAACCTGAGGACGGGGATCGCATGTTGTTGTCGGTTGACTGCATACGCATTTCAGATACTGGTTTATACAGATACACTGGTATGTACAGATGTGCAGATGTGTTTGATCATACATTAGACAGGGGATGATGTGGTGAAGCATGTTGACAAAACGCAGACCCTATTAGTCTCGTTGCGTCTTTGAAGTAAAATGTAACTTTTCCTATCTGTAATTCGCGTTTATTTATTACTATTCCAATTTCGGATTGCATGTTTTAAACTTGTGACTTACATAGCATCCCATAATGAACTTTCTAGGCTCTTAGTGTCCACAGATTGTCTGCGCTATACTGCAAACCTGGCCTTGTTTTGTGAGGTGTAGGGAGATTTAAAGAGACGGTATTTGCTGAAACAAAAACACTGGAGTTTCATTCGTTAAATAACCGATCAGCCAGGCCACATCTCCAGAAAAGACGCATGCATGGCTGTCATTGTCAGCCAGTTTCATCTCTCCATTCTCATTAATAACAACTGCTTGTAAGGAAAAAAAAAAGGTACTCCACCAAAAATGGTAATCCAGGTTTTAAAACGAGAGGGGCCAACGCCTTTAAAGAGCAGGCGACCTGTCTGCTGACCCACGACCTGCTGAGGTGAAGTCTCGGCCGGCGACAGGCAGAGCCAGCCTCTCCTTGGCCGGTCATTCAAATGAAACAAGGCCATGTTGTTGTGTTAATTATTTACATTCCCCCAAACCCCTGCGCCCTCACAGGTAGTCAATGGACCTGTAGAGCCGCTTCGAATGGCTCACCTTTTTCATTTTAACATAACACTGAAAGAAAAGCCTCTCAAGGTCTCCACTCTCAATGGGATTAAAATAACAGCCTGGGAGTTAAAAAATCAAGGGTGACAACAAAGTGCGTGACAGGGCTGTATTTGCATAGGCATGCTGTTTTCACATCAAGTAGCTGGGAAAAAAGCAATCAATAAGACACTGGCTTGTACAGTAAACTTAAGTTATTTCACAGCAAATACATGTGCAACTTTTTTTTTTATAGAATAAATGTAAAGCGTTAGAATAGCAAATCTTGCTGTTGTTGTCTCCCAGAATCGGAAAGACATGTAAAATTATACTCGAAAACCGTCCCAGGTGCATGCAGGTCCCCATGCTTGACTATAAACTCCCCTCGACAAACACACCCACACACACACACACACACACACACACACACACACACACACACACACACACACACACACACACCTCAGTGAACAGTAGAAATAATAAGCATGTGTAGCGTCTTGCTGCTTTAGTTTTTACCTGTGCGCTGTCCATTGGTGTTGTGTGTGAGCAGATGGGGGGAATCAAACGGCTGTTGATATGCTAATGAGGCCCTGTGCCAGTGTTATTACAGAGCTGCTCCAGCCCTTCACTTCCACCATTAGAGGGAGACCTCAGAGCGCAAGACAGACAGCAGCCCACAGCTTCAATAAAAGTAGTTTTTCTGAGCGGGGAGCACAATTCACTGAGTGAAAACAAGACTAAGGCGATACCTATACTCAATATCCACCTCAGCAACCCATGAAAATGCTTTGGAAATTAACTGATAACATTAAATATGAAGATTGCGAGGTAAGGGGCTCCTCTTTGATTTCTTTAATTTAATTTCATTAATTTTTTTGGGTAAAAAAATCAATCTATGGTAATTATTTTATGAATATGATGTATTGTTTTGATCCAAATATGTCATTCTTCTGACAACTGTTAGTGGACACATTTAATTCAACTGCAGGATGAATAGAATGTCTTTTATTAATTTCATAGCTTCCTCTTTTTGTGTGTGTTTGTGTAGAGTCAAATTAGAGGATAATAATAATTATAAGAACAATGGCAATAATAATAATAATTATCATTATTATTATTATTACCATTAGTATGTGACATTGTGGCAATAACAGCTGTGTTTAATATATATATTAGTGAAAATATATGACTATATTAGTTGCATGAGTGAAATCATACCTGTGATATATTTTATTTTTTTTGTCTTTAATTTCACATTAAAAATATATTCACATATTAAACAGCATGAAGAAACATTTAAATAATAATGTACACCTACCATGCTTTAATTAAAAATTATATTTTAACTAAACAGCACATGTAAGCGCTAACACAGGCTGCTTTATTCACTGCTTAAATGGACATGGACATTTACCCTTCAGTTTTAATATCTCTGCAATTTGAGCCGTTAGATTTGTGCGTGTGTGCTTGTATGTGTGGAGTGCATACACTGCGTGATTGTTGTTATGGACATAGACAAAGTTTGGCAGTAATATCAGGGACTTGTTTGGGAGTGGAGAAGCCAGTCGGACGTGTTTTTTTTTTTTTTTCACAAGGATAGAGACGGCCGGGAACAAGAAAACAAAAGCTGGGCACCTCTGTGCTCATGTTGTGGTGATCGTTTTTAATTCACATGCAGGTATCGGTGCAGAACAAAATTTACAATCGAATTCCGGTCACAACCCGTTGTTTCGTAATTTGAAAATACGTGATTGAGCAGGAAGGGGGAGTGGATCTGTTTTTAGCCGCGCGTAAAAGTTGGTTAGAGCGCCGGATCCGGGCGGCCCTATCTTAGACTTTGGGGATTTATTTTTCTCCGTCTTTCCGGGTCAAAGTTAAAAGTTAGCCGGTGTGACTCTGGGTTTGGAGTCGAGGAGGAACTGGTTGGATTAATTCGGCGGAGACAGAGGACAGAAAGGAGACCCATGGAGGACAGCTCGCTGTCGGAGTCTGAGGTGGAAAACAAAGGGACCAGTGGTAGAAATGAGCCGGTCGGAATGCCCATAGCGTCGTCTGCTGGATTTTCACCCAGTTCAGAGGTGCACATTGTTTCCTTCCATGGCTTCTTCTTTCCCTGTCTGCCGTCCACCTTCCTTCATTCCTATGTCTTTCTTTCACTTTTGCGCTTTGGCCCTGGAACCCTTTTAAAATGCCCCCCCTCCCCTCCTCCCTCCCCACCTCCCTCTCGCTCTGATTCGTCAGACGGGAGTGAATGTCCCTCTTTTTGTCTCTCTCTCTCTCCACTCCCTCCACAGTCTCTCACTCCCTCTTTTCTCTCTCTCTCTCTCTCTCCCTCTCTCTCTCTCCCCATCTCTGATTAGATATACTGATTCCTCCTTTCAATGGACGTCATTTAAGCGCAGACTCCTGCCTTGAGTTGCGTCCTCCGCTTCACGCCCGATTTCCGACCATTCTTTCCTTATTATTAAGTATTCCTGTAATATTAATAGTCATGAATGCGTTCTATTAGGAGTCCAAGAGGGAGACGAAGAAGCGGCTCTTTTGCTAATATGAGCTCAAGCGAGGAGACGGCAGCACTGTGATAGAAGCCAGGAGAGCAGGGAGAAAAAGAGGGTTTTACCAAGAGAAACTTTTCGACCCAAATCCGCCAGCACCGCCGAATATCTGCATTTTTTTTTTAGACCCAAATGAAGGGCAGCGGGGATCTAACCATTTATTTCTGATGGATTATCGTCCTGCTGCTGTGGCACATATCTGATCGCCGGGGCCATCGTGATCTTGCAGGAGAGAAGAGTCTTTTCTGGGGGTTCAATTTTTTTTGTTTTGCTGGTTAATTCCCTTTGCTCGCCCCTCGAACACGCCAAGTGTTGTTTTTTTTTGAACTGATTATTCTTTTCTTGAGTCGCACCGAGAAAATGTTAGTGCACAGTTTTTCCGCGATGGTAAGTTGCTGGAGCCTCACCGTGTCAGATACTTCGAATTTGTTTGCATTTCAGATTTTGTTATAATATTTTTTTCTCCCCCCCCGGCTGAATAATGTTTTGTAAAAGCTTGCATGATTTAAAACTGTGGGAGACCTTGGAAAAAAAGCTGAAATAATGCGAGGCTCGGTTATTGATTTGAGGGCATTTCCACCTCCGGAATTTCGATGTTTCATTTTTTTATTATTTACTTTTAGCAAATTATTGTCCTGTCATTTTATTTCTAAAACTTTGCGGACGAGGAGTCGATGTGTGAATGTGTTGTCTTTGTTGTTTAAAATGAATCAGCACAGATGACTTTAATTTAATATGGATTCCACACTTGGTCTAATTCCTATCATCCACTCAGGCCATATTTGATAATGCCCCAGCGCAAGCCCGCAGAGCATCCTGCAGCTAAAACAAAGGAGCAAAATACGTTAATACATGGTTGTGTCTTTTTTATTTATTTTTTTAAATGTATTGAGTCTAAAATACACTTTTCTTTCTGTCCTTCCCTGCCAGGACCGTCACGACGGCACCAGCAATGGGACAGCCAGGCTACCTCAGCTGGGCGGCGTGGGCCAGAGTCCCTACACGAGCGCCCCTCCGCTCTCCCACACACCGAACTCGGACTTCCAGCCCCCGTACTTCCCCCCGCCCTACCAGCCCATCTACCCGCAGTCTCAGGACCCTTACTCGCACGTCAACGACCCGTACTCCCTCAACTCCCTGCACGCCCAGCCGCAGCCGCAGCACCCGGGCTGGCCGGGCCAGAGGCAGGGTCAGGAGAGCGGCCTGCTGCACCAGCACCGCAGCCTGCCCCACCAGCTGTGCCGGGAGTACCGCAGGGAAGTGCTCCTACCGTCCGGCCACGGCATCGACACGGGACTGTCGGACTCTATCCCTATCCATGGAATACCTCACTCTTTAGAAGACGTTCAGGTGAGACAGCTTTGACCTGCGTTTCTCTTTTTGTGGCTTTACTCCAGAAAATCCAAAATAAAAGGGTCAAATGTATGTTATTATTAATTGTAGGCTCTTTTGCTCACCACTAATTTATTTTAAAGAAATTATTAATACTAATACCGATAATGGTGTTATTTGTATTTCAATAGAATTATTATTACCATTTGTTCAAACACCATACATTTCATAATAACTTTTAGTTTTAATATTTTTAGGCTATTAGTAAATGTGCTTTTATTATTTCTGTTGTTTAATAAACGTCAGGGGGATGACAGGCATTTAATTAGTTAGTCTCTTCATGCAGCCATTTTTTCACTGTCTGGAAAAATAGAATAGAGAATTTATATTTCAGTGTTGTCAAGATTATTTTGAATAAAACAGCACCATTTTACATCGTTAATTCCTTTTATGAAATGTACTTTTCATAAGTGCTGCTAGTTGCCAAATTCGATGTGGTTTTCTTCAAGATTATCACTTCAATCGAATTAAATTTAATAGATTTAAAAAAAAAAAAACCAAAGCGCCTGTATTAACACACGCTTTCCTTCACGTCCTCTGACTTTATTTGATTTCTCAGTTTAAAGCAAGATGAGGCTCGCCGCTCTTTGCGAACAATAACACTGTAATACACTGCATGCACACTGACAGGAGAACTGAGCCTGGTGGATTGGGTTTAGGTAATAGCTGCGAGTGCTAAAGATGCATGATAAATGAGCGCTAAAATTGTAAATAACCCTAATTCTTATTTGGAGGATTCTTCCCAATTTTTTCTCCTTTTTTTTGGTAAATCAGAAACAAACACCAATAATCCTCTAATTAGTTCATAGGCCTTTAATAGGCTGCGCTGCCGTAATTACTATCCAATCTAGATTAGAAGTTTCCTTGTGAGTAGAGCCAATCTGTGGGCGAAATTAGGTCAGGATTATGGGGCGACACAGCTTCGTTATTTAAGTCTGAGTTTGTGATCTAGTGTAACGCGTCCATCAGTGTAACCCGCTGAAAACACTCGTGGACAATAATAACAGGTATGGGCCTCGGGAGCGTCCATGTTGGGTGATTGTAGCTAATTGTGTCAGGCTTTGTTCGTGCACAGCATCCTGAGTTGCATTCACTGGCACAGGACCGAGGCTGATATTTTTGTGCCTTTTGTGCTAAAATTGTCTAATTTTTTATTATATTTTTTTTTTGCATATGTGTCACAGTCTGTTGAGGATCAAGGAATCCACATTCCCGACCAGACTGTAATTAAAAAAGGTAAGCAATTTCCTCCGAGATATCATGCATGTTTCTGCAAGCTGCACACACACACACACACACACACACACACACACACACACTCACCGCGCACACACAAACACACACACACACACACCCCCAACACACACACACACACACACACACACCATTCACCATTCTGCTCGAGAGAACTCGATGCAATGCGGTAATGCCTGACTGATCCTAATACGCAGTAGCCTATTTTTCATTACATGGTTTCCAAGTGCATCAAACTGGCTGCACCTTTTTTTTCTTTTTTTTTTCTCGCTGATGGAATTTACTGTCAGCGTTTCAGAGCAGCGGGGAGATGAGTAGAGCTGGTGGGCTTTGTAGGCCCGTGGTATTGATGGTCAAAGA